TTTCCGGATAACTCCTCCTACAGTGAACCATAGACCTATGTGCTCCCATGCTCAACTTTGTGTATTTAAAAATAAAACTTTGCATCTGCGGGGGCATCATTTGTGTCTCCCAGACACAATAATATCTCAAAGAAAGTCCCACATTGACTTCGTTATAATACAGCTACTTCAGAGTGGGGGTCATCGCTTTGTCTAGTTTGTTTTTTGTTTTGTACATAAATCAGGACATTAGTTTTCTTGTTTGAATTGTGTTACATTTGTTTGTTGTCTTTTTCTGGGCCTTTTATAGATTACTGTGTGGTAAGGGTTTTGCTCATTGTTGAAGGCAGTATGGTGACCTATAGTTGTTGACTTCTGTCATTTGGTCTCTGGTGGAGAGTTGTCTCATTGGCAATCATACCACATCTTTTTATTTTCATATATATTGTGGAATTGTTGTATGAAATCCTTTTTGAAGTATACCTATCCATATTAGGCGTAGGACAGCATGATTTCTAATCATCAAGTCAAGTACTCTCAGTAACTGCTAGCATTCTTGAATAAAGTATACTTTGTTATCTATTTTTATATGTTGTTGATATCTATAAACCATTATTTTAGAGTTAAGCGCTTATCCTGTTTTGGTTCTTATTGTATTGTATTTTATCTTTTCTTTTTATCTACTGACAGACAATGGCTGGGTTGCACAGATTGTTTCTTTAAGTTGCATTAGCTGTCAAATTCATGTTCACCAATTTGACTCAAATTCTCATATAAAAAGTATATCTAGATAATAAAAAGTCTAATATAAACAATTTTTGATGCAAAGACTCAATAATATGTATCATCATTTTGTGTTTATTTTAGTCTAGACGCCATCTAATTAACCATCGAGGTGACCTCCGAAGACAGCCGACGCTCATATAACCTGATAAAATAATAAACAAAGATATAGATAGTGAACTCGTGCAATTGGATTTTTCTAGGTCTGTTTGATTTCATATTATAGGTTTAAATAAAATGCTCCGCAGGGCGCAGCTTGATACGACCGCAGAGGTTGAACCCTGAACAGTTGGGGCAAGTATGGACACAACATTCAAGCTTGATACAGCTTTGCATTTGGATTGTGATTAAATATTTGACACAGAATAGGTTTCTGCACAGAATGAATGTGGTTTAAGAACTTAAAAATTTTAAATTGAACATTCACCTATTATGGTCCAATATCCAAAATCTAAATACATGGTTAGATTCAGCATATCAAAGAACCCCAAGAATTCAATTTTTGATGAAATCAAACAAAGTTTAATTTTGGACCCTTTTGACCTCAATGTGGACAAAGTTGATAACGGGGCCCAAAAATCAAAAATCTAAATACATGGTTAGATTCAGAATATCAAAGAACCCCATATATTCAATTTTTGTTGAAATCAAACAAAGTTTAATTTTGGACCCCGATTTGGACCAACTTGAAAACTGGGCCCATAATCAAAAATCTAAAGACATGTTTAGATTCAGCATATCAAAGAACCCTAAGAATTCAATTTTTGTTAAAATCAAACTAAGTTTAATTTTGGACCCTTTGGACCTTTATGTAGACCAATTTGAAAACAGAACCAAAAATTAAGAATCTAAATACATGGTTAGATTCGGCATATCAAAGAACCCCAATAATTCAATTTTTGATGAAATCAAACAAAGTTTAATTTTGGACCCTTTGGACCTCAATGTGGACCAATTTAAAACGGGGCCCAAAATCCAAAAACTAAATACACGGTTAGATTCAGCATATTAAAGAACCCCAAGAATTCAAGAATAAAACCCCATTGAAATTGGTCAAGAAATAAGCAATTTATATGAAGTATCTTCTTTTGCACAATACTGTGCAATTAAATATTTCTTGCTATTGCGCAATACTGTACAATTGACAATTTCTTGCTATTGCCCAATATTGTGCTATTGGATATTTCTTGCTATTGCGCAATACTGTGCAATTGAAGATTTCTTGCTATTGCGCAATACTGTGCAATTGAAGATTTCTTGCTATTGTGCATTACTGTGCAATTGAAAATTTCTTGCTATTGCACAATACTTATTATATATAATAATTTACACATCCTGTTTGGTGTGTATCTCCTACCATATCATAATTATTTGCTTTTAAATATAAATCAGAAATAACCAACTTAAAATGGAAAATTTTAAAAGAAAAAAAAATGAAAAAAAGAAAAAAAATGAAAAAAAAAAAAATCCCCCCCCAAAATTTTTTGAACCCCCTTATGATTCATCATTCATCACCCCCAAACTCAATCCCAGCCTTCCCTTTGTGGTATGGTACCTTGCAGTACAATTTCAGAGAGATCCATACACTTGAACACAAGTTATTGTCTGGAAACTAGAAAAATGTGTTTTTTGGCCCCAAATTCCTAAACGTTTAGGGCAATTACCCCCAAACTCAAACCCAGCTTTCCCTTTGTGATATGGAACCTTGTAGTACAATTTCAGAAAGATCCATACACTTACACACAAGTTATTGTCCTGAAACTAGAAAAATGCTTGTTTTTTGCCCCTTTTTTGCCCCTAATTCCTAAAATATTGAGGCAATTACCCCCATCATCAATCCCAGCCTTCCCTTTGTGGTATGGTACCTTGCAGTACAACTTCAGAGAGATCCATACACTTGAACACAAGTTATTGTCTGGAAGTTACAAAAATGCTTATTTTTGGCCCCTAATTCCTTTACTGTTGGTACCATAACCCCAAAATCAATCCCAACCTTCCTTTTGTGGTATTGAACCTTGTAGTAAAATTTCATAGAGATCCATTCACTTAAACTAAAGTTAGAGTGCGAAAACCAATGTGTCTACGGACGACGACGACGCCAACGTCATACCAATATACGACCACAAAAATTTTTTTGCGGTCGTATAAAAATATGTTAATAATCGTTTTTACCTGTATAAGAATGAGTTTTTGAAGATCGAATCAGTCAACCAAATGGTTTACCCTTGTTTCACTTCAAATGTTGACATTCTTTTCTTTTTAATAGCTGAACATGCCTAGTTCATGCGTAATCCATCTCTAGCTGAGGGGTTCAATTGAAGTTCACATGAATATGGATTTAATGAGGTCGAAATATTCACTTGCAAGTGAATAATTCTTTAGCGATGTTTCTTTGCCTATTTTGACAAAACTGAACCAAACTGGCTGCTAAAAGCGAAAACTATTTCACTTTCATTAAAGTTTGAACAAAAAAAAATCATATTTTATTTTTATCTATAAGCTAATGCTCCTTTAAACATTTAAAAAATGAGTAACAAATCTTTAAACAACTCCATAATGAAAGGTGCACAGCCTCAATTGGTTTGCAAACTTTCTGTAAAGTTCCAAAGATCGGAAGTTAAAAAAAACAAGCATTCTGAGAGTATTGCATGGCAATACATAGTCCCCTACCGGTTAAAAATTCTTAGTCTAGAACAAAATGCTAACTTGATCCGCAACTTATCATGGTGTAAACTATATAAAAAATATTAAGTCAATGAAAAACGACGAAAAAAAGTGGAAAACTGATTATTTGAGTGAATTTTCTAAGTCCAAGGACCATAACTCTGCACAAATTCATCAGACCGGAACAAAATTCAAACTTGATCTGTAACTTGTCATGACAAAACTATATACCAATTATTAAATCAATATCTTCAAGCATGACAAAAAAAAAGGGCGGAAAACTGATTAATTGAGTAAATTTTCTAAATCCAAGGACCATAACGCTGCACAAAATCATCAGACTGGAACAAAATTCGAACTTGATCTGTCACTTGTCATAATAAAACTATGTACCAATTATCAAATCAATATCTTTAAGCATGATAAAAAAAAGTGCGGGAAACTGATTATTTGAGTGAATTTTCTAAGTCAAAGGACCATAACTCTGAACAAAATCATTAGACCAGAACAAAATTCGAACTTGATCTGTAACTTGTCATGATTAAACTATATACCAAATATCTTCAAGCACAAAGAAAAAGTGTGGAAAACTGTTTTGCCGGACTGACGGATGGATGGATGAACAGACAGACGATCAGAGTGCAAACCTAAAGTCCCCTTTGACTTCGTCGGTAGGGGACTAAAAAATCTATTGAAATTTTTTTCTGAAGAAATGGCTAAGTTCCAAAGTCTGAAAAAAAGGGAAAATTCCTCAAACAATACCATAATAACAGGTGCACAACTTCAATATATGTGGATCACTCTATGAATTTCAGAGATATGGGTTAAAACAGTAGGAGGAGTTGATTACACATATTAGGTGTCAAGTTTTCCCAGCTTCCCATCTGACATCACCACACTGCAATCCGACCAAAAAAGGGGGACGGTTGAGATTTCAAAAACTAGTTGAACCCTACCACATGTTTAAGTGCCTGTCCCAAAGTCAGGAACCTTTTCAGTAGTTGTGTTATGTCATATCTTAATGTGTTTCCTTATTTGGAGAATTTGATGTTAAATGCAGATCTATGATTGCCTGTTAAATTTATTCTCAACTTTTATAGACACAAGCAGATTTAGAACTTGACATTGTATAGACAAATCTCTGATGTCTTTTTGTCATTGGGTTGTTGTCTCTAACATATAACCCATATAATTCCTTTTTTCATATACATAAAATAAAATCATACTACTCCGATGGGCTGGAAATTGAGCAGAAAACAGTTATTTTTATGAAGTAATTAATAAGCGGTATGAATGCAATATTTGCTGAAAGTGTTCAATAGGTTCAAGTAATGGAAATAGCCCACACTAACTATTTTAGCCAGGTGAGTGAAAAATGTGATGGATAAGAGATGATATTGTGTATCAATTTATACACAAAATCATTATGCGTAAAAAAAAAAAAAAAAAAAAAGCCAAGGAACATCATGTACTTCTTAGTAGACTGGGCATTTTTTTAGACCAAGATTGATGGTTTCATCCCTTCTGTTTCAAGACAGTTAACTGTGTTGGCATGGTAACAAATACTATACAAATATGTGAGATTCTTTTATTGTGTCGCTTTTACTTGCTTACATATAGCAAGGCAGTACATATATATATATATAGATAATATATACATACTAAAAAAAATCACACCCTGTAGTCATGGTAACCATTCATACAACATACATAGGAATGATATAGCACTTCAGACATGTCAGAGACATATCATAAAAATTTGTTGCTAAATTACAAAATACATATAAAGTCAACTGATTGATAAACTTTTCTGTTATTTAGCAAAAGAAGAAATAATTTGAAGTACTCAATTTTGCATCATTGACTTGAAAATCTGATAAAGGGAGAAATGATTTCATATCTAATAACAACAGCAGCAGCACCAATTTAATAGTTTCTCCCTTTATCAAATATACACCAATCAAATTCAAGACTTCACCAAACAGTAACCAATCATTTCAACTATCTCAAAAACAATTATCTAATAACATGCATTCTTTCTTCCACATCAAACAAGATAGAAAAATTGTTTACTCTAGTATATACAATTATAAAGCTTTAATCTGTGTATAAATAACTATATACATATAACAAAAATATGGAATTTAGTATCACATAATGAAGATATAATTAATGACAGCAATGGAATATGATCTAAATGCTTAATATCACAAGCTTGATATTTAAATAACCTAGCAATTTTCCCATATTATAAGTATTTCCATCTTTTTTTTGCAGGTTTCACATGTAACATGGTAACAAAATGTCATAATTACAGGCATACCGATAGTCTGCTTTTACGAGAACTAAAGCAGCAAAATTAAATAAACATCCTATATGAATAATGAATTATTTTTTCCGTGCTGGAGATGGTTTTGGTATTTTTGATACTTTTTTGGAGGCTGATGTTGGGGTTGAAGTTCTACGTGTTTGTATCACATGAGTTTGGTATGTCATAGTTGTGGTGTTACGACCACCCAGATTTTTTGTCTCTTGTTGCACTGTTGTAAAGATTTCTGGTTCACTGGCTTCTGATGCCTCACTGTCTGCACGACTTGGTGGTCGACTACTTGTACTAGCTCTACTCGAGCTGCGACTTACAGGGGTAGCTGGAAAGAACAAAACATACATACACAATTTATTGAGGTTTCTGTAACCGTAATATCTTATTTTGAGTAATTGAAAGAAGAAATACCCTTTATGAAGAAGTTTTTTCCTAGAGAAAGCTTAATCTATTGCATAATAGTTATCTATCCTCTAATTAGCCCTTCTAATATAAACCAACACTATATTTCATATACTGGATGAAAATTCAAGATATAAAATTATTGTTAACAACATAATTTTATTGATTTTTCCCTCAAAAGCTTTTTAATTTTGGTTAGTGTTAATAACTGTAAACCATCTAAACATAGAAACAACTTCAAAAGATAGATTACTGTCAGGTAAACCGTCTAAACATAGAAACAACTTCAAAAGATAGATTACTGTCAGGTTAACCATTTAAACATAGAAACAACTTCAAAAGATAGATTACTCAGGTAAACCATCTACACATAGAAACAACTTCAAATGATAGATTACTGTCAGGTAAACAATAAAACTTGGAGCTGTCTATCATCCAATTAAAATACTTTGATAGGGAATCTAATTCAGGCTTATTTTTGTATTTCTTGTTGTTACAAAATCTTCAATTTGCATCTGTATGAAATTGCAGGCTAAATAACTATTCATTGACTCTCCTAAATAAGTTGAAATTGCTTTTGTTAGAAAAAAGTCCTTTCAAAAAGATCACCTAAAACCTGGTTTCTGTAATTAGATGAAAAAAAAAAACATTGAAGTCTGGATCAGTGATATAATTGATAAATTTATATAAATATATCACACTAATACAGAAAGAGATAAATTTCTTGAAATCATGATCCCCAATCACAATACTCTACTTTGAAAAAGATAACAAAAAATACATATTCCACATTAATTTTCTAAAAGTCAAAGCCATGTATCTGAATATCCAATATTTTTTATTTGTTTTTGAAGACCTGTAAGCCTATACTGACCTGGGCTTTTCATGATATCTCTGCTGACTTTAGGTTTACTCATCCTATCACCAGACATTATCTGTCGTACTTCAACGTCAGGGCTGTTTTTCATCCGTTGTCGCCATGGTGTTGGGTACTGGGTTTTCTCTCTTATCTGTAGATATAAATTTAAGATACTTCATTTCTGTCAAAGAAACATTTGAATAAGAAAATGTAAAAATGTTTTTGAATGAACTGTGCCATCATGTTAATCATTAATAGTTCTGATAATCAGCTATTTAATTGTATTATTAACATGGGAAACAGATGATGCCCCTGCTTGCATATCATATAAAGTTATAAAGGGACTTAACTGAAGAACGGTAAAACTAACCAAATTCAAACTTGATCTGTGTTTTGTGGTAATAAGCATTGTGTATAAGTTTCATAATATTTGGATGAGGCAAACTAAAGTTAGAGAACGGAAACGAAAAATTCAGCAATTTTTCCATTTGTAAAGGGGCATAACTCTAGAACAGTTAAAGTGACGCCACAAAAATTCATTCTTGATCTGTGTTTTGTGGTAATAAGCATTTTGTATAAGTTTCATAACATTTGGTTGAGGCAAACTAAAGTTAGAGAACGGAAACCAACTTTTGGACGTACAGACGTACGTACAGAGTTATGTACAGACGGACGGACGTACAGACAGACAAGGGTAAAACTTAATGCCCCCTCCGCTACGGCGGGGGCATAAAAACAGGAGATCAGGACCACAGTAAGATAAAGCAAAGATGTAACATAAGCCTCTTAAATGTAACAAGTCTAATTAAAAATAAGGAAATGTGGTATGATTGCCAATGAGACAACTATCCACCAAAGGTCAAATGAAGTGGGTGTAAGCAATTATAGGCAACCTACAGCCTTCAACAATGAGAGAAACCCATACCGTATGTATATTTTAACACATATTGCTTTCTGAGACCATGCTCAATACCACAATTAAAAAACATTAAACATTTCTTTAGGAGACCAAACTCTTGTTTTACCAAATTAAGTTTTACAGAATTTGACTGTATGATTTCAAAGAGATGACAACATGTGTGCAAGCTTTAACATCGTGTCTACAGATGTTTGCATGTTTATCCTCCTTATATAACGTACACATCACCCAAACCAATAGACTACTTACACTCGGTACGGAGAGAGCTCTCCTTGTCCTCTGCTGCATTAATTTAAATGTTGGAAATGAACATAAGTATTAAACGTTAAATGAGTTTAGAATTCTATTTCTTCCTAGGTAAAAAAAAAAAACTCAATGGGGTGAACCAATGCTGTTGTGTTTACTTTTCTTATAGACTCCTTAAGTGGATACTTTGGTATGCAGGGTTGTCAATAAATTTAAAAAATATTTTCAAATAAAGAGCCAATGTGACAACAACACTTCATTAGACTGCATTTTTTTTTAAATGCTGGTCGACATGTTTCGCCTGAAGACAGGTGTGATTAGGACAATTTACATACAGAAATCAAGTACTGAAACACAAAGTTTGGTACATTAAATTTGACGTCACAATGTGAATTGCTCTGGGTGAGAGAAATAAAGAAAAGTGAAAGTAGAGAGTTATAAATAGATCAGATAAATAAAGTTCGTTTAAAAGTCAACTTGAGTTCGTTTTTGTTTTATATGTTACATGACAATGTTCTGAAGGCTTGATATCTTATGAACAAATTTCCCATGGTCCCTACAACTTCTCAAGTCTTCACTTCTAATCCAGTGTAACAGGTTACTGTATCCTAGCATGAAGAGATGGCAACATGTAATGTGTGAAAACTTTAATAACATGTCAACATATGTTTGCATGTTTATCCTCCTTATATAACGTATACATCATCCAAACCAATAGACTACTTACACTCGGTACGGAGAGAGCTCTCCTTGTCCTCTGCTGCATTAATTTAAATGTTGGAAATAAACATTAGTATTAAACGTTTAATGAGTAAAGAATCTTATTTCTTCCTTTGTCAAAATTGTATTACAATGAATCATAAAGTTTTTTATTTTAATATCTGAAAAAATTTCAAGTAAAACCTTTATGATAAAACTATAAACAAATATGAGGTCGCCTGAAATGATCTTGATTTGTTTAAAGCACAAAATTGAAAAAACTAACACTACATTGAAATCATCTTGACATGTTAAATATTTATAGTTAGCTTACCCTTGGAACAGCAAGGGAATTCCTTTTCCTATGCCTCTGATTGCATTAACAGAAATTAAATAATCATGAAAAAATATTTCACAGAACAAGACCATTTACCAGTAGTAGAGATACTTAATTCAGATTAGTATGGCTTGGAGAATTTTCTTCATGATTTAGAGATCCAACGAAGCCAAAAAATATTTGAATCTGTTCAATTTAATAGTAATTATTCATCAAATATCTTATTGATACATTGTATTTATTAGTATTTAGATGTACACATTGTTTTGCATTTACAGCATATTCTTTAAGCACCTGTTTGATTGTTTTACAATTCAAGCATCAAACAATTAGAAAAACTTGAATTTAAGACTTATAACTTTCCTTACTGTCAGTAATAGGTTCTAGTGTAGTCAGTAATAGGTTCTAGTGTAGTCAGTAATAGGTTCTAGTGTAAAACTTGGAGATCAAATAATCCCTCATCTCAGTGAATATGTTGATGTATTGGAGTAAGAAACTGTCACTAACATTTGTACCTAGACTCGCCTCTGTAATGGATCTTGTGGCAATACTTGGTGATTGGAGTAAGAAATTGTCACTAAGACTTGTAACTAGACTCGCCTCTGTAATGGATCTTGTAGCAGTACTTGGTGATTGAAGTAAGAAACTGTCACTAAGACTTGTAACTAAACTCGCCTTTGTAATGGATCTTGTGGCAGTACTTGGTGATTGGAGTAAGAAACTGTCACTAAGACTTGTAACTAGACTCACCTTTGTAATGGATCTTGTGGCAGTACTTGGTGATTGGAGTAAGAAACTGTCACTTAGACTTGTAACTAGTTTCACCTTTGTAATGGATCTTGTGGCAGTACTTGGTTATTGGGAGTTAGAAACTGTCACTAAGACTTGTAACTAGACTCACCTTTGTAATGGATCTTGTGGCAGTACTTGGTGATTGGAGTAAGAAACTTTCACTAACACTTGTAACTAGACTCACCTTTGTAAAGGATCTTGTGGCAGGACTTGGTGATTGGAGTTAGAAGCTGTCACTAAGACTTGTAACTAGACTCACCTTTGTAATGGATCTTGTGGCAGTACTTGGTGATTGGAGTTAAAAACTGTCACTTTGACTTGTAACTAGACTCACCTTTGGTATGGATCTTGTGGCAGTACTTGGTGGTTCATGATCCAAAACAATGTGAAGAACTTTTTAAGTTCAAATTGTTTCTCAATAATGAAGCTGTGGTACAGACCTTACTGTCCTTTAACCTTATTATTCATAATGAAAAACTTTTAGTCATCAAGAAAGCCTAAATGTTTGAATAATGAAAAAAAAAAATTCAGATATTTCATCATCACTAGCCCCAATTTATACTAACCTTGGTAATGGGTCCAGTAGCAGAACTTGGTGATCGTGTGCTCCATGTTCCTGCAGAATGTGTAGAGCTACCAGAATAAGAACTGCCACTTGGACTTTTAGCTGTAAATCCTGTCATAGATTGACTGACACCTTGGGCAAGGATAAATTGTTCTCTCAATTCAATATTTGTTCTTCCTTTAGCTGTAAATATAATAATCATTAAATAACATTTCAACTTAATTTTCTATGCTAAATTTTATTCAATAAAAACAATCACAGAAATTTCAATTTTCTTACAGCTGTTAAGATAACTTCCATTTTTGGATTCATATTTGAACAAAGTAAAATTCTAACTAGCAAACAATTTAAACATCTTCTCAAATTTAAAACTTATAATTTGTTGCACATGAAAGTCATCATAATACAGGAGTTGTAAAAATAGTACATTCTATAACATGACTGGTATCTTAGTACAGAAATATATCAGTAGGTCAACATGGCCAGGCAATTCATAAGTATGTCAACATGGACAGGCAATATATCATTAAGTCAACATGGACAGGCAATATATCAGTAGGTCAACATGGCCAGGCAATATATCAGTAGGTCAACATGGCCAGGCAATTCATAAGTATGTCAACATAGTGCAGTATATATTAGTAAGTCAACATGATAAGGCAATACATCAGGCAATATATCAGTAAGTCAACATGGTCAGGCAATCAATCAGTAAGTCAACATGGACAGGCAATATATCAGTAAGCCAACATGGTCAGGCAATATATCATTAAGTCAATATGGTCAGGCAATATATCATTAAGTCAATATGGTCAGGCAACATATCAGTAAGCCAACATGGTCAGGCAACATATCAGTAAGTCAACATGGTCAGGCAATATATCATTAAGTCAATATGGTCAGGCAATAAATCAGTAAGTCAACATGGTCAGGCAATCAATCAGTAAGTCAACATGGACAGGCAACATATCAGTAAGCAAACATGGTCAGTCTACATATCAGTAAGTCATCATGGTCAGGCAATATATCATTAAGTCAATATGGTCAGGCAATAAATCAGTAAGTCAACATGGTCAGGCAACATATCAGTAAGTCAACGTGGTCAGGGAACATATCAGTATGTCAACATTGTCAGGCAACATATCAGTAAGTCAACAGGGTCAGGCAATCAATCAGTAATTCAACAAGGTCAGGCAATATATCAGTAAGTCAACATGGTCAGGCAATATATCAGCAAGTCAACATGGTCAGCCAACATATCAGTTAGTCAACAAGGTCAGGCAATATGTCAGTAAGGTAAGTCAGGCAACATATCAGTAAGTCAACAAGGTCAGGAAATATATGAGTTAGTCAACAAGGTAAGTCAGGCAACATATCAGTAAGCCAACATGGTCAGGCAACATATCAGTAAGTCAACAAGGTCAGGAAACATATGAGTTAGTCAACATGGTCAGGCAACATATCAGTTAGTCAACATGGGAAAGTAATCAGTGTATAAAATACAAACAACATTTTTCTGAATGTTACTGTTATCAGGATTTCTAGTATACAATGTTAGTCTGGAACAACATCAATTCAAAGCTGAAAGGGAAACTGAATATAAATGATGTCTAACTCCATCAATCCTTGGTTTTGTTACCATTATGAATGAGGTGTCATACATGGTTCATCACCTTGAAAATCACAGCGATCAAAGTAGTTTAACCTTTCTGAGCTAATTTCATGCATAATAACATTCAAATACTATTTGCTTTTCTCATTCCTATGTTTCTTTGAACACATTTAAGCAACTTTAACCCACTTTTCTACTTAGTAAAAATTGCTAATGCTGCAAATGATTTAGATTTGTTTATTAAAATTTCCTTCCACTAAAATATAAAAATTTCCTTCTCAAAATAATAAGCTTTTACTAAACTACTAAAACAGCATATCCATTCAAAAAATAAAAATTTAAACATAAAGTAAACTTTAATCATTCAAAATTTATTAACTAGCATGGGAAGCAAGTAACCATTCCAGCGAAAAAGCAAATTGAAAAATACCAACAATTATTCACAACATATAAAGGGAAATAACTCTGGCAAGACAACATTAATATAAAACAAGATGCCAGACATACTGAGGTCCTCTGGGTTTACTACTGCAACTTTGAAACGGATTCGTCTCCGCAGTCCCACTTGTGGAAAGAAAAAGAAGCAACATTGAAGAATACAAGCAAAATAAATGATTGCCCTCAATATCGGAGGAAATTTATATATAATGTCAAGGATTCATACTGCTATCAAGGATAATATAGAACTATGATGATATATAATGGTGTGAAAACTTTATTGAATGAAATCATATAATGACTTGATAACATACATGAGATTTATTGTTCTTATGTAATATGAGTAAGAACAATTTTTTCAAATGAACTGTACAATTCCGTCCAAATGCCTTGGATTTCTATTTACCTAAAGATGAATATTTAAAAAAAAAATCTTTTTAAGGGCATAATAATTTTTTTCACTAGATTCTCCTCCCCTTGCCCTGAATTTTTATTAGCCAAAAAAAAAATATTGTTTTGATTTCTACCTATTATCTTTTATTTTGGTAGGAATTTTTTCCAAAATTGGCAAAAAATATCAACTTGCAACAAACCAATTTAAAAAAAAAGCTGGATGAGAATCTAGGTATCATTTTTTATAATGGCCTAAATGAGTTTCCTGTATAGTTTATTATTAAGACAAAAAAAAATACATTTAAAAATTGAATGTTTTATTTCATATCACATGTAAGACATACTTGAGTGCAAAATTAACATCATGCAATATTTTAGTTATGTGCAATGTGCAGTATGAACTCCTTGGACAATTATCGGAATAATAGCATGCAAATAAAAATTCAATATATATTGTGACTTCCACCATAAAAAATGAAAAGAACTGAAGTGACAAACTAAACTTGGCCATTGGGAACGTTGTATCTACTTACAAACTGGACAAGACTCAAAGTGTTCACTAAGGTCTGTGTTTAGAATATAAACATGTCATATATACTGTCTATACATGTCGTGCAATACATGTGTACTCAGCCAAACAAAATGTACAGCACTTTTTATATAGCCATATCACATACATGATTTACAGAAATAAGAATAATGGCATACATGAAATGAAGATATAGATTTGCAGGAGAATATAAATGTATTGCATATCGCTGCTAGTTTTTATAGAAATATTAAGCTGATTATGTTTATTTCAAATATAAAGCATCTTCCCAAATCTACCAGTTGCATTGAGGTTATAAAGTGTTGTAATCTACCAGTTGCACTGAGGTTATAAAGTGTTGTATACAGTGAGCACTACCCTTGAATTTTATCATTAGAAGATCTTGAATACTTATGATAAACATGTTAAAACATTCTGCATTGATTATCAATATAACCCTTACCCATCAATGTTAATATGTGACTTAGTATGTTAAACCCCATGAACCTTTTGCTTAAAATAATAAATTTTGTAAGACCTACCTCTACAAGGATCATTCTTGACGAGGAATTCATCCAGTGCCACCCATCCTCCTCCGACTCGAACCATTACTGTACTACGGAGAATCCTCACTAATCTTAACTTCTGGGAATCACCAAACTGTAAAAAATATGCATTACACATTAAAGCAAATGTACAGTTATGATATTGGGTATTCATTCTCAATGAATCTGTAAGTCTTTTTCCATAAACGTGGGTCTGTTATTTGGAATGTATACTGACACAAATAACAGAGCTTGCAGCAGTGATGGACCCTTTGGGAGATAAAATACCCTTCAGAATAGGCAACATCATGCAAACAAGAAGAGGAAAAAAACCAAAAGGATTATGAAATAGTGAAAAATATATATTTCACAAAACATTTCGGTATAAATAGTATTTGATGACATTTCATTGTCAATTGAACTGGAAGTGACTTTTAAGTTTTGTCAACTGGTGTCAAGAAATATGCATAAATAAAAATATGTAAAGTATAGTGAAGTCATTAGAAAGGGCATTTTCTTTACTTTAATGGACCACCCTACCTGCAGGCTAAATCATGCATCATTGTTTAGAGGAATATCATTTTACAAATTTTGGTGGGAAATGAAAGTAATCATATCAAAAGATGTATTTGTATATACCGGGTATACCATAAGTTGTCCTAAAATTTATTCAAAAATGAAATTATGTCTTTTCTTTCTTGAGGAAATGAGAACTAAAAGTGAATCATTTTTCATTTATCATCATCTTGCTTTTGCCGTTGTCTTAATAAGAATCTTCAGTTAGCTTATAAGTTAATGAATGTAAACCTGCCTTTGTTACAGAAGTATGCGACAAATACAGTACAAAAAATTTTTTTTTAATAATCCATGTACGTTCTAAGTAAGAACAGTTTACAGAAGGCCATACCCTGACCTGTCTTGTATGCATAGGTATACATTTTGCTTTCACTTCTAAGTAAAACCAGATGCAAAAGCAGCAGATTTGTAAATCTTTAAAGATTTCTTGCTGACTGAACCAGCAAGTACATGCTATTTTTGGAGAGTAAATGAAAGCTTTGAAAAATGTACTTTTTACCGTAATGCTTGCATCATAAGTTGATGTATCGATCTGAAAAAAAATCTTTCCTTGAAAATCGTATCCATAACTCTGAATGCAATAAAAGGCTTTTTAACTATTTTGGTCTAAATAAACAAATGAATACAAACACCTGTAAAATGTCAATGTCTTTTAAAGTCAACTTATTGATTGAGCATTTGTAACAAATGAACAAGCATGTTGGTTTTATCTAAATAACCATACCTGCCAACCCTCCCGTTTTGAGCAGGAGACTCCCGCTCAAATGGCGAAATTCGGGAAATCTCCCGCTTGCCGGTACCCTCCCTTGCGGGAGTATAGAATCTCCCGCTTTGGGATATTTTAACCTTGAATGACAAGTCAACATTAATTACATTTTTGTCTCATTATGAGGGTTGTTTTACCTGTAAATCATTGACCATGTGAAATTAAATGGCTTCACTTGACAGCTTGGGTGTCAAACATAGTACTAATTAACGATCATTAACGACTTTTGCTTCAAGCAAAACACTTCATAGAAATTTCGGGTTACTTCCCCTGTTTAATCCTGTTTTAAGTTACCCTTCTTAAAATAAAGTGAATTGATAAAACAATATAAACTAAATACAAATTAAACAAAGAATCATAAAAGGATGGCAATTAAAAGATTTTGTATGCCTTAAGACAAAAAAAATAATTATATTTTAAAAATCACGTAAAAGATCTATACATCTATTCAATGTTTATATTGAAATTTATAAGATATGTATTGAACCAAATTTAGTGAAATAGATATGTGCACACACAAAATGCACCTGTGACAACATGATTGCTCTCTTATAACAGAGGTATCTGGAGTGAAAGTTGTCCGGAAGGGATTCAAATGTCAAAATTGATGAAATAGGAAAGAAACAAGCAACACACCTTCTGTAGGATATAACCATATTTAAAGAAACAAAGTATATTTATTAACTCTTATATGTGTTTCGTAGATTTATAAATAAACACGTCATATATTTCACTTGAAAATGTCGTTCGCGCAAAATCTCCCCCTCAGCCGTCATAGTTGAGAGGGAGATCTCCCTCTTTGAAGGTTTCAGAGGTTGGCAGGTATGTAAATAACTAAATGGGAAAAACTGCTACATAGCCCAAAACTTTCTATGTGACACAATAGTCAGTAGATGGTTTTCTACATATAGTATTTCTTTTCCTGTCCTTATTTGTTTGTTATGAACAAGCAAAATAACAATAATGCTGGATGTAGCATTTGTGCTTTACAAGAAGTCTTTCTTTTTTGTTTTGTTCAATCTATTTGTGTAGGGCATGCATTCAATTTTTACAAAAAGTTTTAAGCAAACAAAATGACTTTTGATGAGATAGGTCCTATTTTTGGGATGCTTTTCAATGCATACAGTTGGTATTTTCAGATACATGTAAAGGATATTAGAATGCAGCCTTGTTTAATGCTACTGCATACTCTGAATTTACTGTCTTGCTTTTCCCAACATGTTTACTACACACTGATTCTTATAAACAAACGTAATCTATTGTTTGAATGGTAACATACCCGGTATACATTTCAATCATCAGACACAAATAAAGTCTATGAATTATTTAACTACTTAAAAAAGTTAAATCAAAATTTAAACTACTAAGGATTAATCTAAGACACAAAACTGACCTAACTGTTAAATCTATGTCTCCATGGCAATTGTCTATTTGAATTCAATAATTGTAAATCAAATACAAATTTATTTCAAAGGAAAATCATAAACTGCAAACTATTGCTTTTCAGTGTACTTTTTAATCTGCCTTATCAAAAACAACAGCACCAAACAGTTTAAGGCTATCTATAACTATGAAGCTTGTGCCCCTTAACCAATAGCTACTATGACTGACTTTTTAAGCAAGCAATACTAAGTTTTGTTAACAAAGGTATGAAAAACATATTCTTAAACCTTATATATGTATGTGGCAATAACAACTACAATGTACATCAAAGAATTTAAAAATATTTAAAGTCACATACATTGTAACATGATTCATTTGAATAAGATTTTGATTTCTTCCATTAAGCTACATAAGTCAGATCTATTTTTAATGAAATGTTTATATTTAGATTTTATTAAAAGAAAAAAAAATTAAAATCTTAAAAAAACCCAAGAGAAAACAGACGGCAATTGAAAGAGGAGCAAACACTGCGTTTCCCAAAAACGAAGCAAAACACAATGTCAAAGCATTGGTGTTGAAGCCTACGCCTAGTGACAATCGCCATGGAAACAGACATGTGACACACAGTGCTAGCCCATTACCAACATGAGCCACATGCTGTCTGTGCGATTCTCACCGTTATACATATAATCTGTAGGGTATCATCACCCTAGAAACATAAATTTATCTTTTCCACACAGTTGAAATTTGTGAATTTTTATACAAATTAATAATCCAAATCTTAAAATCTGTCATTTATTATTTTCCCCATCTGGCTGCAATATTCACAAAGCAATTAGCAAAAAAAATTGGTGCATAAATGTAACCTTCTAAAAACTACATAACATATTCTAGCTCTGTTTTACACAAATATAATATATAAATTAATCAATTTTGTTTACTTTGTATAATAATTTACATACCTGCTATGGTAACTACAATGACTTATTTCTTTGTAGCGCAAGACTAACTAACCTCAATACTGTCATATTCCTTTCACCATTTAAAAAAAAAAATCCCATTCTATTTTCAAGTACCGTTTATGATGACCTATCTGTTCCTGTACAGAATAAAACCCAAATTCTCTGAAAACAAACTTTTAAGAAATACCCGTGGAAACATACAATAAATATCGTGCCATGATACTGTGCAATACATACCCTGTATTTTCCTTCTCCTATTTTGTGGATACGGAACTGTTTTACACAGGTACATTTCGACACCTGTTCATGTACTTCATCGTGGATCTTTTCTGAATCAGTCAAATTTTTATCAAGCTGAAAAACAAAACAAAAATGTAAAATTAATTTCATTTCAAAATGTTAATTCCATTCAAAGTATGACAAATACATCCATTAGTAAATAAGAAAATATTGAACATAGAAAATAGAAAATAGAACAAAAAGAATAGACGTATTTACACTTGTATGCAAATTTGTCCGCCATTACGTAAAATCACACAGGTTCCCGTAAACTTTGACATCATAATTCAAAACATTTGACGTCACAATTAAAAAGTGATTGTTGCCTGACGTCAAAAGGTGATTCGGAGTAGATCTAAGGTCATTCGGAGGCAAAATATAGCTAAATACCAAAAGTGTAAATACGTTTATTTGAACATGTGACTTTCCATAGAGTTTTAATGGGAACTATGTGTAAACAATGCTGTCATATGTGTAAACAATGCTGTCATATGTGTAAACAATGCTGTCATATATGTAAACAATGCTGTCATGTTTGCCTTTAAATTAACCTTTAACGAGGACAGTATGTAGAGAGTCTCCTTTTCATCAAACCTGTAAAGTTTCAAAACATTTCGCCTTCCAGTTTCAGAGAAGATTTACCTCTTTGTGTGTATCTGGTCTGAGAGCAGACACAAATTCTTTGTAATCAATTAATCCAGAGCCATTGCGATCAAACAAGTTGGCTACAATGTCCATCTCTAACTGACTTGTAGGGAATTCTGAAAAGAAAATATCAAGAAATCATCATTCAGTTAAAAAAAAAAAAATTTGTTTTGTTATATACTTCTGTATACAATAAAATGGTTGTCAAGTGGGCTTCAAATTTATATTATATGTTTGATAGTCAAGATAATATATATAAATCTTACTTGTAGATATGATAGCATCAATAAACTCTCTGCGTGTTATTCTTCCATCCTTATCTCTGTCGATACGACGGAACATTTCCATAATGCGGGATTTATTATGTCTCATCCATTGCAAGAACCTTTTCCTCCATGGATCAAAACTAAAGTTCTTTAATTTTTCGACTTCATTCAAATGATCCAGAGCATCCTGTAATTTCCGTTGTCTGTCCATTGTCATTAACCACACTCCTCGCCATTTGTTAAACAGGGCACCAGTTCTAGGATTTCTGAATGATGGTTCAGGTGTTCTTCTGCCACTGTCTGTGTCTTTCCTATAAATGTATTGATATTCATATTTTACACCTGAAAACTTGTTTTTTATTGAAACTTAGGAACATGGTAAAAAAGTTTTGATACTAAATGTTTCATATTTATACAAGTACATACACATCACATTTAATCATTATTTTCATGTATATATTGAAGAAGTATTCCATATGCTGAACTGATCACAGATACTTTTTCTTTTTTCTTAATGGTTGCTCTCATTGATTTATATGTCCTTATTTCTTTAGATCTAATACAGAGAAATTTCAAGACCTCTTTCTCTCTTGTGCACACTGATGCAATACTTATTACTGTACTACCAAACAGTTATGATATAAGCATAACTTTAAGAAAATGGATAATGTTTGATTAGTATAGACCATTTACCTGGGAGTTAGTTTGACAGGTGTGTGTCTTCCTGATGTATTTCTCAATACTGGAATGTATGATGCTGGTTCTGAAGTGGACGCTGTTCTTTGTTTGTCAGCTTTTATCAAACGGTCAACATCAGGCTGTCTACTCGATACTTCATTCATGAAGTGCTACAAAAGTCATGTAAAATGCAAGTCCCAAATAAGGTTACACACAAGACGAGTCATTTAATTTAACAGTTTTCCCTCTCAAAAGGCCATTCTTCCAGCAGAAAAATGTGATCTTGTAAGAGGTGATTTCTTCTTTGAGGATTTGAAAATAAAGAAAATAGTACTCGTTTATTAAAAAGACTGTAAAATTGGGATGGTCTCTGTCAGGAGGGACTTATAACAAGGGGCTTTTGTTACTACTCAAAATGTGTGTAAATTTGTCAACAAAAACAGAATCAAAGTTGTAAATATAAAAATGAGAAAACTACATTTCTTGTAATTCATCAAACTATCTCTCCGGTTATGGTTACTGTAAATTACATTTGATTATGGATGCCAATTTTCTGGAATTTTTTGGTAAATCAAAACCACAAATTTTATATTCTCAATGAAATCAAGAAGGCAATACTTTTTAACAAAAAATGAACAAAACCAATCCAGAAACGAGAGTATTTATACTGTACCTGATGGTCTTTGATGAGGTCATTGATGACCTGAATGTCCCCTGGAATGGGTTCCTGGTCTACATTAATCAGTGTTGTCTCTGCTCCATTCAACCAGGCTAACAGATCATCCAGAAGTCGTGTATTAGATCTGACAGTTGATAGGTTTTCAGCCATTTTCTTACCTCTGGTCTTGCACATACCAGTCAACTGAAACAAAGAGATATGTATTAGTTTTTTTATCATGCAACAATTTAACTCAATTTCTAATTGGTATAAAATAGTAACATTTATCATTGACAATAAGTCTTATTATTTGTGATTTGTTAAACCATTACATCCAATTGACTACTGCTTATAAATCCAGTGGTTAATGGAACAAACCTGCTGTAAAGCAAAAATTGGGAATTCAGCAAGTTTGCATATCACAGAAGAGAAAAAAGAAAATATTGAGCATTGTGTAAAACTTTGTCTTTAAAAATCAACCATAGCAGATGAACAGTTGTTATCAGGGTCCAGTAACAAATGCAGAGATAGTAATTTACTACCATAATCTGTCATCAGTAAGCATGGCTGATCTTAATAATCATATAAACTTCCACTATAGGACAAACTTAATTTCACAATAGGATAAACCATACATCTATACACCATTTCTCCTACAGTAGAATTCTAAAATATATTTAACAATACCCACCTCTTCCCATCTGGCTTTAAGAGCAGATAGCCAATGCTTAAGTGTGGATAGGGCATCAGGGTGACATCTTTTCATTATATCCTGGCCTATGTTCAATGTCTCTCTCAGGTGAGCTTCTTGTCTCATTAGTTCTTCCTCAAATTTCTGAAGAAAAAAAAACCAAAATGACACCATTTATAACACTACACATTTAAATAATCAATTCACTTTCTCCTACACATTTGTATGTTTTTAAGTTGTACCTTTTTTAAAATCATATCTATTACCATACTATCATATATAATAATTACCATACAAAATTTCTTGGTCTTAAAATTGTTCAGAATGTTATGCATTATGTGGATATTTTTGTACATCCTATTTCTTGACCTTAACTTCTTCAAACCATAATGTTCTTTATGACATTCTATTTTTTACCTTGTGGTCTTCTATATGTTTGATTAGAGCAGGTTCCTCATCAGGTATTGGACCTCTATATCTTAGTTGTCTCTCAGCTGATGCTAGCCATTCCAACAGTCCTTGGGCTTTCTTGTGGAATTCTTCAGCCTAAACATATACAATATTATTTATTATAAATTGAACATAAGTGAAAAGCTTGATAGACAAATTACCAACTAATAACTAGGATTGTTGTCCTCATACAATTGCCGCAAAAATTTCCTCATCAAATTGTTATTTTGCCATAAAACATCTTTATTAGGCAACTTTTCAAAAGTTATCAGATTTTCCAAACATTGCCTGTAACTGTTTATTTGCTGAGGTTTAACCCCATCTTTAATACATTTGTACAATTTTGTGTCTTTAAGTTATCTGTTGGAAGAAAGCAGATAATTTTTTAACCACTGACTTTGAGCAAGTAAACAACAAAATCTATCTTATCCCAGAGAACCAATTTTTCAAATGACAGGTGAAGACTTGATCAACTTGGAAACTCTTTGTCACAAAGATAACTCTTATTAAGAGATTCTATACTTACAAGTTTGTGTGCTTGTTCCAGTCGTTCCTGTTTGTTGACACTCAGCTTACAAACCCTATCCCACAGGGTAGATAACTCTATCAATTCTGCTTGTTGCTGTGACATGTCACCTTCAGATTTATCCATTAATTCCTTGGCACGTTTCCTTACAAATTCTACTGTATTTGCTCTGGCACCAAGTTCCTGCTGATATGCCTTTAAAAAGAAAGAATATGTTGTAAAGTAAAACCGAATTGAGATCAATCTGTTTTGGTCAATCAAATAGTAAGCTTGGCCATTTCCATAAATTATAGGATGTAAAAATCAGGCCTTGAAAACAATGAGAAAGTATAAAAGGTCATATTACATTTTCCTATATCTGTTTACTGTTTATCCTGTTAAAAACTTGAGATCTCAAAAAGATTGTTTAACCCCTCCACATATTCCTGTGGCTGTCCCTAGTCAGGAACCTCATCAGCAGTTGTGTTATGTCATGTCTAAATTTCTTTAGTATTTGGAGAATTTGTTGTTGATCTTTGGTTGTTTAATTTATACACAACTTTTACAGACTCTGGATGATTTAGAGCTTGACATATATTTATAGACACCAACTGTATGTTGCCATCTAGATGTGTTTTTGAATTTTTTTTGTCATTGGGTTGCTGCCTCATTGATGTATATGTATATCTCATTTTATTCATACCGTAGAAAGGCTTGTATAGTTCGCACTGGTACATAGTCTGCACCCCCTTCTCCCCACGAAATTTTAGGTAAAAAAACTTTTTGTAACTGTTAGAAAAGGTCTAATGAAACTCCGGTAATTTCAAATCCTGTGCGGTCGTTTGCGGTATTTTCTTGGAAAAACCTGTTTTCCATCACCAAACAGAAGCTGAAACTGCTTGTAAATGATTCTAGAACGCTTCATGATTGTTAAAATAAGTTTATTTCACTTAAAAAACAATTTAGAAACTTGTGTATGTTTAAACAGGAAGTTTAAAAAGCACGTGTAAAAGAAGAAATTAACCGGTGAGAGTCGAAATCCGTACATAACAGATATCACTATAATACGACTTTGAAAGTAAAAAAGTTCCATCCTTTTGTAAAACAGTCTTTAATATATCTATCACATTAATGTTTGAATGGTCTTAAGCTAATACAAACCATATTAGTCAGTATGAAACACCAAAACGGAACGAACAATAACCGATTACGTTTTGTAGTTTACAAATTCTAAGCTGGTTTACGGTTGTCTTTTTCACTATGTTTGTATCGTTTCAATCAAGCAGATACCAGTTTATTTCAACCAATGCATTGAAAAGAAACGAGAAATTTGTAATGAAAGGTTTAGTTTTTATATTTATCAGTTATTATTTGATATTGAATAGAAATAACTTATTAATATGGATGAGTTAAAATTATTAGTTTGAAAAAATATAAGAGCGCCCTCTACAATATAAATAACAAAGATGGCGGAACGTAAACAAACCACCTCGTCCGCGAAATTGAAATTTTTCTCTTATATCTTGCTTATTGTACTCTATAGTCCGCACCCCGTCTAGAAGGTCCAATTTTGGAGAATAAAACCGCGGACTATACAAGCCTTTCTACGGTACTTAATAGTTGAAAAGGAAAGTTGGACTTAATAGATAAGTAAACAAACAAGATTGGATTTATTCAGCAAAATATACTGCTACTTATACAATAAAACAATATACAAATGATAACATCTGTCATTTCTTCTAGACCTTACCTTATGTGACTCCATTAAGTTATTGACTGTATCTATATCTCCATGAACAGGTTGATCCTCACCCAGAGTAGGTTCTACCTTACCCAGCCAGTCCAACAGAGCTTGTAATGCTTCAGAAAACTGTCCAGCAAACAACAAAGCCTCCTCCAACTGTCTTTGCCTGAAAAAAAATATAAATCTTGTAGTGATTTAGAGAATTGACCAGCCAACAATTTAGACTCCTCAAACCATCTGCCTTGATGGTAGACATTCACAAGATTTAGAAGAAAGTGGAATTCCAACAATTCAAAGTCATTGTTTCAAATTTTTTTTTTTAAAGCTGCCTTCTAAAGATCTAAAATATTTCATTTCACAGCTCTTAATAGTTTATTACAGACAATAAACATATGGCAATTAAAAAATCTCCAAAACTAAATAAATAATAGCACCTACCTGTCAACAGATTTGCTACAGACTGTGTTCCATTTAGTTTTCAGTTCTATTAACATTTTTTGTATATCTGTGACATCTTCTGCTGGACATTTGTCCTTCAATGTCCTTCCAGATCTGTTGATACTGTCATATAATGGCTGTCTGGTACCAATCCCTCGTTGGTATTCCTGCAAATAAAAAGTAAAATATATGATCCTGAATCTGACCAGTTCAGCAATGAGTGTACGTCAATGACTATCTAATTCTGTGAAAGAACTTCATTAAGTTATGCCATTTTATGGTTTCCCTAAAATGTATTGGTTTGCGGGCTTTAAATAATATACAAATTAATAAAATTATACAGTCTATTTATACCACATCTCCTTATTTTTATATTCAGTATTTAAAAATTCCCTATTTAGTGAATCATGGCATCAAAAAAATTGATAAACTATGTATGATAACAATTTATCTTTACAAACTTATTCATGGTGTCCGATCTATACTTTCTGTATTCATGAGAAAAAACGTTGTAAAAATATTTCAACCTTTTCAATACCGATCTGTTAACTATCAACCTTCCATATATATATTTAAGGAACAATTCTTAGAATACAAAATGATTATATACCTTATGTTTTGCAATCTCAGCCTTTATTTTGATTGGATCATTTCCTACTTGATGATGAGAGTCTAGGGTCTTCTCTGCTTCTCTTAACCAATCCAGTAACTCTCTCCACATTGCATGGAACTAAAAATATTGATTGATACTACTGTATTACAGCATACAAAACTTCAACCTACTACAATTTATTCATATTGATATTCTTATTTCTCATTAAAACCATGTTTGCATGATATTATGTTAAATGTATAAATTCTGTATCATAAAAGATGAAAGTTAAAACAACATACACATCCAAATAAAACAACAATTTTGATATGATTCTTTACCTGTTTGGCTTCTTTATATCCCTTCTCTAGATGCCTGGTTCTCTCAGCACTCCTGGATACAATTTTCTCCCAGCGATGTTGAACACTGGCCAGAAGATTTTTGATCAGGATGACATCTTGTTTCTGACTGAAGTATTTTAGATGTGTTCCTGTCTTGTCTAGAGCTATCATAGTCTCTCTGTTCTTACTGACATCTTTCTGTAAGGCCTGACAAAGAAATAAATATAAACCATAAATAAATGAAAAGCAATCAACATTTGAATCAATTTCTACTGAAATAATAAACAGAATAGTATTTTTCTTTATCTATTTAAAAATGTTAACAATGTCATGTGAAAACAAATGTTTGACATCTTTCAACACTAAACAGTAAGAAAAATCTCAAGAATTACAGAATCATTTTATATTTTCACCATAATTTACAAGAAACATATTAAAGGCATTTTGATTGAACTTCGTATGGCAAACCATTATAAAATGTAAATAATTAGCAAGTTCCTTACTTTGTGGTCTTCAATTTGAACTGCTATTCTGTCAAGCAGACGACTGACTGGTTTCAGGTTGTTTAGTGTCTTCTCTGTGTCTGTTAACCAGGCTATAAACCTGTTAAGGTCATCACTGAAACTGTTGGCTTGTCCTACAGCATTCTCTAGCTTAGCCTAATAATGATAAACATGATTGTCATCAATTTGATAACTATGTTTCTTTTTTCTTTTTCATTTTTAAAGAAATTATCAATTATCAAAACCATACATACCAGTTAATAAAGCTTACAATTCAAATTAATCCTTGATTTGGAAAATATTTAAAACACTCAAATCTTACTAAGATGTTCTTTCTGATATAAATTTTAGAACAAATCAAGACAGTGAAGCAATATTTGGGCAAATGATAGTCTAATCTTAAATGCAATTAACCAATCACACTATGACATACTTTTCTATCCTCAGCTCTAGTCCTGATATTTTCCCATCTATGGTGTAGTATTGCCAGACTCTGTTTGATACTATTAGCAGCAGTGTCAGACTTTTTAGCTGCCAGTTTGTTTCCAGCTTCTGTCAGTTTAGCTATCCTTCTATCTGTGTTGTCTAGTTCATTGTACACATGCTACAGTACACAAAATTCTTCGTATATATATGCATTTATTTACAGAACAGTTTGAAAGCTAAACATCAGAATATCAGAACATTTACAAATTCAGTTATGATGTATGTATGTTCTAATGAATAAGTACCAAATACTGTTCTTTTAACTGATAATGATTAGTAACAAATGCTATGTTCTAACATATTTTTTTTTCAAAACAAGATGTAAAAATAAATTCTAGATCTCTGAGTGAACTTACAGCTCTTATATAGAAGCATGCAAAGCAAACCTTTGATCAACTTGCTTGCTATGTTTGCTTGGATGTTTGCAAACAATAGGTAGGCGGAGTTTCAGTCTGTTTTATATATACTGGGATTTGATTGGACAATAAAAATTGAAATGCAATGAAGTTAATGTTTATTGTCCAATCAAATTCCTTTATATAGTAAACAGACTGAAACAGACTATCTACCTTTTGTTTACAAACATCCAAACAAACATAGCAAGCAAGTTGATCAAAGGTTTGCTTTGCATGCTTTTATAGAAGAGCTGTAAAACTAAATTCTCCTTGAAAAGAAACAAAAAATAATGATATTTTTATAAAAGTTCTTAGTATTCACCATGAATTTCTCAAACTGTTCTTTGGCTGTCTCAGGTAAGCCACCAACTGGTGTTGATGTTATCAAATTATCTTCCAACTCTGACATATGGGCCAATGTGTCTTGTAGATCACCAGCAAAGGACTTGGCCTGAAAAATAATAAATGTGTTATAAAATTACACTCTCACAATGAGATATGAGGTAGTATGACTTGTTGGTCCCAAGCAAATAAGATAAATATACAAAACTTTGTCATATTACACTCTTACATTGACATATGAGCTAGAACTCTTGTTGGTGCCAAGGTAATGAGATAAAAAGTAATCTTTAACAAACTATACTGACATATAAGCTCATTTGTCTTATTATTCCTGGGCAAATAATTAAATTTTCATTATTTTCGACCATAAAATCTATTTACAGAGAATTTATACAGAAATGTCAAAGTCCAAAATCCAAGGTTTTTACCTCTCTAAGAGCGTCCTTGAGCCGTTTATATTTGTTGTTACATTTATCCTGTACACGGCCCCACATGGTGTTGATCTCATTTAGCTTCCTTTTCACAGGAGAGTCAGTACCTGGTTCCTTTGCAACCACACGAACACCTGCTTCTTTCAAGGAATCTACACTTTCTTTGTGGCCATCGATGTCATTTTGAATGACCTGAAAACATGGAAAACATTTACCTTTTCACTTATTGTTCTTTAAAACCACATCACCATAAAATGGCTATATCATGTCAAATTCATATATGTATATCAATATAACATAGTTCTACAGACAAATCTTAAAACAAGTTAAATACTCTGGCTTCATATATTTTGTAGGGTATTGATTTTAATGAATTGAGGAAAAATTCTTCTTACAAGTCTTAATGAAACTTGTTTTTGTTGAGCACTTAAATTTGTGGTTCACCTGAACCTACAAAAACTATTAAAATTAGCACCCAAAGAATGATTAATCCAGATACCAGAATAGTACTTTAAAATAAAAAATTGCATACTTTTCTCCTTCTTTAACGAAAATAAGGACTACTTATAAGTGTAATATTAAAGTTAATAATTACCTTGAGTTTAGCAAGTTCTATTTCTATTGATTTGTGGTCACCGTTCACTGAAGTAGCATCATCTAAAGACTGGTCAGTTTTATCAAGCCAGGCAAGTAGTTCATTGAGAGCATGTTCAAACTGACCAACATTCAGCATGGCCATCTGTAACTTTCTCTACAATAGAATATCACACTATCAATACAAAAAATTCAGGGAAGAAATGTTCATTAAACAAAGAGCAAATGGAAATTCAAACAATGTAATTAAAACATCTTCCTATATATATCTTACTAAATTTTTACCATTTACTCTCTAGAATTTCATTTGAACCTAATCTTGAGTGCAAATTATTTGCAATTTGCAAATATTTCTAACATTCTAATGCATATCTTGTAACTGGTTTAATAATCCAAAGAAAAAACTTCCTTATACCCCAGTCCTTCAAACTCCATCCTTTTTTCTTCTTAGATAAACTTTTGATCTCCCAACCCTTAATGTTGCATCAATTTACCCTTTATTCATCAATGTCAATACATTACCTCTCTATCTCCAAGTCCCTCCAGTAAATTATCCCATCTTTTGTTGACACTTGACATGGGTTCTTTAACAATGGCTGCTTGTTCTGGAGTGCTGTCCTTGGCAAGGTCATTGGCTTTCTGATTTAATGCTTCTACATCAACTTGCTTTGGTTCTATTTTGGCTTTCATGTCCTGAATTAATACAAAGAAATTATTTTAAAATACAGCATCTAAACACTTGATTTTTGAATTCAATATCTGTATTAACCAAGGGCATCGGTGGCCAAGTCGTCTAATTAGTCAAACTACTGTATCACTAGCCTGTCAACACTGAGGTTGTGAGTTCGAATCCTGCACATGGCAGGTGCTTTCACTCCAATCTTAATTGACTAGAATTGTCAGTTTTTCTACCAATTAGATATAGGAAGATATGGTATGAGTGCCAATGAGACAACTCTCCATCCAAGTTACAATTTATTAAAGTAAACCATTATAGGTCAAGGTACGGCCTTCAACACGGAGCATTGGTTCACACCGAACAGCAAGCTATAAAGGGCCCCAAAAAATTACTAGTGTAAAACCATTCAAACGGAAAAACCAACGGTCTAATCTATATAAAAAAGAGAAACGAGAAACACGTATGAACTACATAAACAGACGACAACTACTGTAATCAGATTCCTGACTTAGGACAGGTGCAAACATTTGCAGCAGGATTAAATGTTTTAATGGTACCAAACCTTCTCCCTTTTCTGAACCAATAGTATAACATCACAACATAGAATAAAAACACACTATAAAATATCAATTGGAAGGCTTAACTCAATCAAAAAACGTAAATTAACACACAATGAACGAATAAAATTTGACCTGTGACACCTGAATGCAAATACACAGTTAATAAAAAATTACAAGGGATAAATAATTAAAGTCAAAAGTAAATAAACAAGTTTAAACAAAGTTAAAGTATGATATCACTGTGAAATTTCAAACAATTTATAGAAAATCATCACTTTTGAAGAAACCTGCGTCATATTATAAGGTCGTTGGTTCTCTTTCCGGCTTCCTCCACCTATAAAAACTAACCACCACGAAATTGCACAATAGCCCTAAAAGTAGCATTAAACACCAATCAATCAATTAATGTATTAAACAATGCTTTGACCTACCTGGACTAAGTTCCGTTATATATTTATGGTATCAAAGTCAGTACTGATACTGCAGAATGCTTTTTTTCTTTCTTACGGCTTTTCCAGAATTAATGGAGAGGGGTTCAAAGGCATTTTTATTAAAATTTGATGGGTGGTGGTTATTTTAGACAGATAGCCTAAACAATAATTTACCATATAAAATAACCAATTAAAATCTTATGCATGGCGGGGTTAAATAAAAAGTTAGAGTCAATATTACAAATTGATTTCACTCACTTTAACTTGGTTCCACTGAATTTTGATGGTATCAAAGTCAGTTCCAACATTGCCAAACTCTCTCACTTTAACCTCATTCTTCTGCAGCCAGACTAATATTTTCTATAATGAAACACAAGAACATGTCTGTCATGTCTTCTTGATTGATGTAATACATCAATTTAAATTGTAAATGTTACAACAAAATTATGTAAAAATATTAAAGAAATATTTTCAATTCAATGAGTTTCATGAATTGGGGTTTGTGATACAGAAAGAAATTAAAAAGAACAAAATTGATATGTTATTCTATGAATAATTTTACATATACAGGCAAAACATAGCTTTGCTATGTTCAGATTTCTTTCTGGATTGAACTTCGTCTATGAATGCTAAGTGCCAAAATGTACAATGGCCACTGTTTCTTTTACAGAAAAGGTGGTAAAAAAGAAATTTGCCTGACACAGCAAAACTGAAGTTTTTAGGATTGAATATAAAATTGTAAATCAAAATTAAACTGCAAAAGGTCATATCTACCATCAGTTCATCCTGGAAATGAACAGCCTTGGTCAGAGCTACTTCGAGGTCTTTAGATCTCTTCTCAAACTTGTCTGCCACATTTCCTAAGGTCAATTGAAGGTCGTTCACATTCTTCTCCACCTCTGGCCTTTCTGGAACCCCACACAGTGATACCAACTGTTCCCCTGTCTGACTGACATCTTCTATGTCGGCCTGGGTTGCTTCAATGTCATCTTTCAGTGCCTAGTAATAAACATTTTTGAAAATTAAATATGAGGTCTCATCAGTAAATCATTTCTTCAGTGTTTGAATACAATTCAGAACAACAATGTTAAATTTTGAACAAATGATGCATTTACATGTACAATACACAAAAGCAGACATATATATTCCCTCACAGATACCATTATACTAATTCACAAATGATGTTTGTCTTGTTTGATCATGGGAACTTCATACGTCAAAACATTTCTCATTTCACAAAACATCAATTGTAAAGAAAGTGAGACTGTAAATTGTAAGTATAGAATGTTTATTTCTGAATCGTTTTATTCAACTTTAAAAAGTTGTAATTTTGAGGATAATTTATTTCATGGTTTTTTCATTTGTTCCTATTATAATGGGTATTTCATATAGTATTTCAATTTGTGGTTTACAATATACTAGGAAATTCAAGGAAAAATAAACTAATAACTAGAGGTACTGCTAGCAAAGCTCACAATATCATATCCCTTGTCCCAACATAAAGCAGAGGAAATAATTTGTTTAGGGAAACCTCAAAATAATTTGGATAAAAAAACTAAATATGAGATGCACAATGGCATTACATGGTTTATATAAGAAAATTTCAATACAATGTAATAGGGGTTAAGGAGGAAAGCATATACGAAAGTGCACTATGGTGTGTGGATATGTAGAGGTCCATATCATGCCAAAGTAAACCACATAAACAATCTGGATGAAGATATGAAATAGAAGGAGCAAAACTACATCATTAAGATTCTGTAAAAGTTTCAAAAATTCTGTCAAGGTTCAAAAGCAGTAGCAGTTACAAAAGTAGGAAGAAAGGGGGAACATCCCAATCACTACATCTACATACCCCCTACCCCCCCATAATGATAAATATGCAGTAAGAAATGTACCTCCATGTAATCCTGTTGTTCTCGAATGATTGCTGGTTCTAAAGCAGGAGGTTCTTGGTGGATTATGGCATTTTGTAGGTCTTTGATTGTACCAGCCAGAGAATGTAAGTCATCCCAGAATCGTTCTGACACATCCAGTGTTTCTTCCAGAGCTTGAGTACGGGAATGTGTGGCATCCTTGATACCCTCATACAGATCTATCAGTTCACCCAACTTTTGTTGTACATCTAAAATCAGAAGACATTTGTTTAGAATGCTTTTCTTTTTAACAGTGACATATTGATACAAAAAAACGAAAAAGGTCCGAGTAGCAAATGAATTTACTGAAAGGATCAACTTTACTATTTGGAGACAAATCAAAGAGTATCTCTTTATTATGTCCCTTCTTTTAAACATATTTTTTATTAAATTAATCCAAGGCATTCCATATAAGAACATTTTACCTTTGACTGCTTCATCCTGGTCACTGCCAGCTTGATTAATAAGGTCCTCAGCAGTAGATTTAATGGACTGTAAAGCAGTCTGTCTCATGTCCATGTCTTCCAACAATGCCTATAAGAATCATTCAAACTTTACAAATATATTTGTACTATTAGTTTTTATTTAAATTTATTTTAGTATTATAAAATATTTTTCGAGATTTGTCAACTTCCACTTGAGTACTAGAAAATATATTCAAACATTGGATAACTTTCTCACTGCAATAATGAAATCATTGTATAATGATGATGATGAATGGCTGTTTAACATCCAGTGACAAATTAATATGCAAATTCAGGATGAGAACATGTTAATGTAATATAAATAAGAACCCTGCTTTGTACTAGACTGACATGCTGAGCCGGATTTTTAACGTGCTAGTACACAAGGTAACAGTCCGCAGGAAGACATATCACCTTACCTGGACACATTATTCTGACTCTGAGCCAACCAGTCTTTGCTCTTACTCCTTAGTGCCGCGTGCATGGTGGAAAAGCAGCAAACACCAATTTTAAAGTCTTTGGTTTGACCCAGCTGGGGTTCGAACCCACGACCTCCCGCACTTGAGGCGAACACGCTACCACGAGACCACCGAGGCGGTAAATCATTGTATAATCGATCTCCAAATGATAGCTTAAATTATTTTGTTTTTGTTATATGATAGGGACCTGCATATTGTCTTTAACAGTCTGAACACACAGCTAGAACTTATAAATGAAATAAGTAATTGTAAAACATGTTGTTATGATTCAAAGTTGAAAAAAGAGTGATAGCATAGAATGGGTTTTTTTTTTTCAGAAATATTCAAACGAATGTAACCTTATTTTCTGCCAGTTGTTCTTTCAGTTTGTCTGGATGGGCAGACACAGGTTCAGCATTCTCTACTTGTTCACTTGTTGTTGCTAAAGTCTCTAACATGTCTTCCAATTTGTCTGTAAACTACAATTAGAAGTCAAACAGGTAAATATTATATTTTTACTACTTAGAAAGGATTAGTATTCCATTAATTTGGACTGTCATTTTAAATTACAATCTCGTTATTTGCAGCAGTTCATGAAATTGTGTTTATAATTTTTGCATAAATGAAATGATTTCTGAATCTTCAGTTTTTAATCCTTGGACAAAAACTATTGATAAGGTCATGAATATGTGTGTGTTAGCAGTATCAATGTATTGTATATGTGTACAATAACAGTATGAATTCAGTAGATACAAACTATTAAAACATTATTAAACTGAAATAAATTACTGTGGTCTTGACTAGGTGTAGCTGTCTGTTGACAATATTTTGGAGTCAATATGATTACTGTTACAATAAGCTCCAGCTAATAATTCATTAGGCATCAATATCATATTCTAAGTCACCTCCTGGGTCCACTAATTTTTTCGTGTTTTATAATTCAGAGTCTTAAAATCGTAACATCTTATTTATAAAATTAAAAAAAATAAGGTTTAAAGTTTAAATTGGTGTTCGTTATATACCTCAGCTGATTGCTGCAAAGCTTCATCAATAGACATTGATCTGTCTCTCAGAGAGTTTCGCATATCATCCAATTTTTTGTTGTCCTTATCAAGCATCTTCTGAACCTTGAGACAATCTTGTTCACCACAAAGTTTGACCAAGGCATTTCCTGTCTTGTTAAGTCTGTCAATCACTGGTTTGTAGTCTTGTACTTCTTGCTTTAATACCTAATGAAATAGAGATCATCATATTTAAATCGAAATCATTTACTTAATGCATAGAAGTTTGTTGGCAAGTCATGATAGTAGTGTCTTTGCACAAATAAAGCGTTGATATATTGTTTGAGTTTCGTTCATTCATTACTTTTAAAACTTTACTAGTGACAATTGTTCCGAATAAAAATGAATTGAATAAATATGTTTGAAATAAAGTATTTGTCATACCTTGACTTGATCTTGTTGTCTCTTTACGTGATCTGCATCAATAGACATAACATCCAACTCAGCAAGGGTAGGATTAACTTCTGTGAACCATGTGACCAGATCCTGATGTGTATCATAAAAAGCTTTAGCCAATGGGAGAGTCTGTTCTAGCTGACTCAATCTGTCTACACCTAGTTTACCTACAGCATCTACTTTCTGTTTTAAATGTTCAACTCTTTCTCTTAATTGTGGATCATCCTCAAATGATGATTCTCGTAACAACTTTTTACCCTTGGTAATGAACTCTCTAGCTTTTGCTTTCTGGCTGTTGATGTCGTCATTAATTGCCTGTAATATGTAAAATTATTTACAATGATGGTTGCTCAAATGATTTAATCAAACTTTTATGGCATTGATATTCATGTATACATGTGTAAGTGCATTTACTGTTTTCCAAAGCAAATTCCGGTCTCATGAAATACAATTTTAAAAGATGTAAAATAGACATGAAGTCAACAGATATTTGGCTCTATCATTATAGTATGTTACTATGCATGTGCATTAAGACACAGTCTTGTTTAAAAGTAGAAACTTTTTGCCATTTATGACATGATAATTCATGATGACCAGTCTATTTGTCTGTATACTTGAAGCATACCTTTTGTTCAGCTATCTGTTTGTTGAGTTTGACAGGATCACTACTAACAGATTCAGCAGTTTTGATCTTTTTAGCTTCATCATCAAACCATTCTATCAAGTCATTCATATCATTTACAATCTAAAAACAACATTAATAAAACTTATTACTACTTTTTATATTTTGTCATGATTTTTCTAGCATTGACCTTTTTAACATTTACTTGTTAAATTTCAGAGATTTTGTTTGTATCAGCTTTCAATTTTGTAACATCTTATATAGAACTGTTCTTCCCAAGCAACTCAACACGCTAACATAGCAATAAAACCAAAGAACTCATCTATTATTTATATACTACTCTTACTCTTAAATTGTACCTCAAATGATAACAGTTTTATGGTTCTGACATCTGTTTTCAGGATCTTACTCAAGATAACCTTTTGTTTTATAGCTCTAATCTTAGATGACCACAGTTTTAAAGATCTTAACTTCCATAATCCATTTTGTATACTTCTTCATTCAGATGATTCTTGTTTTATGCCTTTGACCTATGCTTTATGGGTCTTTTCAAAGATAACCTCCTGTTTTGTGGATCCAGCATTTTGACCTCTGAATTATAACTCTTACATGAACGCTGTTCATACCTCATATGCCCTTTATATTATGTATCTTATATGACCCCTGACCTTACCTCAGACGACCTCTGTTTTGTTGATCTAAGTTTCTGTGACCTCCTCTGTATATTGTCATTCACAGCATCGTATCGTTTCATGTTTTTATTGATAGTATCTTCTACTCTAAGTCCAGCATCACCAGGAGCCAACTCAGCTAACAGGCTACCATCATTACTCAGTGTCTCTATCACAGGCTGAATTTCTTGTAACTGTTGAACAAAGTTCTAAAACAAAAGTAAAAGTAGATGTACTTCAAGAAAACAATTTAAAACATCCTCAATTTCAATTCTGTTTTCATAAATTAAAATTTTTTCATTTTTGTGTTCACAGCTCAAAGGTGAAAAACATGGATCGATAACAATGGGATTCAAGATCTTAGCAGTTTACTGTATCTTTATTTCATACATATGTACATTTCATTCTTATATGATGTTCATTTTTCACTTTGTGATATGCTCCATGTTAATATACTCAATGATTTATGACAGACAGAAAATAACTTCACAATATGTTGAATTTTTAAAGGATCACAAATTCTGGTATTTTATTATTATTCATATTAGAATAGAAATAATACTAAACAACAACCTGCTATTAATTCTTTCTTAAATAAACAAATGCTAAACTAACTACATTTATATCATGGTTTGCCTTTTTGTAATTGTGTTGTGAATAATTTTTTGACTTGAATCTTTAAACTTTCCTTAGTCATTTTAATACTATTAATAGTTGGTCTTACCTGTACTTGTTCAAAAGCTTCTGGTCCTGTGGCTTCCTTGGCTCTTAGTTGTGGTTCTACTGAAAGGACCCAGTCTAAGAATTTGGCATGTGCTTCATTAAAGTTTTTGGCAAGAGGTAATGCTTCTTCCATTTGTTCAGTAGAATCTGAGACTTTGTTACAAAGATCTGAGAATCTACTCTGGAATCCTTGAGTTTTCTTATCTAATGTATCAGCATCTTGTCCTATAATATTATTTCTTTAGTTTAAACTTTAACATACTTTGTATATATATTTGGTTTTTAGTATTTCAATCTCTGACCTAAAACTTACCTATATAAAGTGAATTTCATTCATTATGTTCTTAAAAATTAGTTAAACAAAGTAGTACCTACACAATATTTCTATATTTTGAAGAATCAATTCTCTACAAAACAGTACATGGAAAGTTACACTGAAGAGAAAGTCCCTTATATCTATGTAGTATTTGCTTGTAATATTAACATCTCATCCTCTTAATTTCCACTTCAAATATGGTTATAAATAATCCATCCATGACGATATTATAATTGCTGGTCTTATTCTAGAATATCCTTCTTAATCGACTCAAAATAATAGGATCAAATTCTGTTGACTTATACTACCATCAACTTATAATATGCTCTTTAAGTTTACTAAATAAAATTATTCAAGTTTAGTAAAGTCATGACAACATTTTGTGCTTGTATTAAGGTCTCTCTTTTTCACCCACACAGTCTATTATTATACAAAAGTATTTAGTATATAGAAATGTATACCTGAACAATATTTCTGTAAGTTGTCAGATTTATCTCCTAAGTTCTGGAAGTTGTATTCTTGGTTAGCAATGTCAGCTTCCATATCCTGTAATTACGCAATTATTTAGCACTCTTACACAAAATATTTATAAATCTGATAATGAAACATATCAAATGCCTAAAAACTAGTGGATTTATTCTTTCTAAAGACAATTTCCGTAACATGGGTTTAATAATATTTCAAATAAACTGAGCTTATAATAATATATTTCTCTAAATCAACTGAATTAAATAATACATTTAAAGATGACACATATAAAACTATAAATTTTAACCATAGAAATCTAAATTGAGATATAAATAGTTACCTTTAGTGAAGTAATGATATTTTCTATGCCTTCAGTATCCATTGCTGATGGTTCCAAAGCAGCAAACTTTTTCTCTGTCATGTCTAGCCACTGACACAGAGGGTCCCTGACTTCCTGGTAGTCCCTAGCTAATCCAACCACGTCCTCTAACTTGTCTAAACGATTAGCAGCATTCTGACGTAACACATCCCATCGTTGCTGTAACTGGGCTGATTGATTCTGTATAGCCTTTTGTTCTCTGGAGTCGAGGTTTTTCAATAGATTATCAGCAAGTTGTTTAGCTGATTTAACACTACTTTCTCTGTCGTCTAACATCTTCATCAAGAACTGAAAACAATGGCAGTATAATTTGATCTTTTATCAGCTAATGAAAAAATGTTTTGTTCGATAAATTTACTTCATCAAGATGCTGTATCTAAATAGTGAACTGTCCAGTCTTAAATTATCCCTCTTAAAATGTTGAATACATTTAAGCTATCTGTTTTGTGATTTTGTAAATTTGATAATTTTATAATTGATTATTAATTTCCACTGTTGAAACAAATATTAGTTCTATATTCATTTTACAAATGATAATCACTTTTTAAAGTTTGAATCCTTACTTCAACAATGAAAACATATAGTACAAAATGGTATTAAATGTACAAGTCACATCACTTATCACCAGTCATCACCACTTTCTTACTTACTTTTTGTTCTTGTAATTGAGCTTTAACCACTTTGTAGTCAGTGGATGGGGATTTTTGGTTCTGTACCATATCTTCAGTTTCTTTAAGCCAACTCAGTAGTGAGTCTAAAGCATCATTGAATTTACCAGCTTGTAACAATGCATTGTCCAAGTTATGTTCACGTTCCAGCACCTAAAATTCATGCAACAAGCTGTTAGTTATAATCTAGAAGCTAAGAAATGCTTTTCATTTCCTCTTCTTAAACAGGCAAATTTTATTTATTTTTTCTAATCTCCTCTCTATAAGGGCAGTTATTATCTACATTCATGCTTGTTGTCACTAGATCTATCTCAACACCGTTGAAAAAGCTTCATACATTTTTTGATCCAAGTAGTATATTAAAGTCGATTAAAACAAAGTTCTTTCTGGCTAATTTCCTACTAATGGATGCTAATCATTTTCTCGTAAACATCTAATAACATGACAAAAATAGTCATCCAAACTAAATTCTAATTCAAAACTTGGAGTTCAAAGAGATACATATTCAAAAGCCTAAGAGTAATGAAATATATGTATTCTGTACCTTTTCATTCAGTTCTGACCACTTATCAACCATAATTTCTAGATCTGATTCCAGGCCTCCGGTATTGACACCAGGGGCTGATGTTTGTACAAGAGTCTGAGCATCCCCCTGAACAGATTCTACCCTCTTCAATAATGGTTCCAATACAGATTTCTGGTATAACTGTGAATTAAATGACACAATGCTTTGAAAAAGTTGTTACTATGTAAAAGTTTACCTAGATATCATTTTTTTATTTCACTTACAAGTAACCGATTTTCCCTTTATAGCTGAAATAATCTGGAAAAAGGGTAAGTGACAATTATTAAAAATTACCATTACTTAAACTCAATACAAACTAGAGGCTCTCAAGAGCCTGTGTCGCTCACCTGACTCTACTTTGGTTTTAGAAATCATGCAAAGATAGATAAAAATCATAACAGATACCCAAATAATGATTGAGGCCAAATTTTGATTAATATTGGTCCTGTTATTTAATAAAATATCCTGGTGGCCATCTTGAACAGTAAATCGGCAACAAAGTAGCAACACTTGGTCAGCACTTCATAAGGAACATTCATGCCATGTTTGGTTTCATTCCATTCAGTGGTACTCTCAAAGAAGACATTTGTATGTATTTCCCATAGGGTCCTATGTTAAACTAAGCCCCCCCCCCCCCCCCTAAGCGGCCATCTTGGATGATGGATCGACTGCAAAGTAACAACACTTGGTCAGCAACTCATAAGGAACATTCATGCCATGTTTGGTTCCATTCCATTCAGTGGTTCTCTAAAAGAAGACAATTGTATGTATTTCCCATAGGGTCCTATGTTAAACTAAGTCCCCCGCTGTCGGCCATCTTGGATGATGGATCGGCTACAAAGTAACAACACTTGGTCAGCATCTCATAAGGAAGATTCATGCCATGTTTGGTTTCATTCCATTGTATGTATTTCCCATAGGTCCTTTGTTAAACTAAGTCCCCTGCTGTCGGCCATCTTGGATGATGGACCGACTGCAAAGTAACAACACTTGGTCAGTACCTCATAAGGAACATTCTTGCCATGTTTGGTTTCATTCCATTCAGTGGTTCTCTAAAAGAAAACATTTGTATGTATTTCCCATAGGTCCTTTGTTAAACTAAGTCATCTTGGATGATGGACCGACTGCAAAGTAACAACACTTGGTCAGCACCTCATAAGGAACATTCATGCCATGTTTGGTTTCATTCTATTCAGTGGTTCTCTAAAAGAAGACATTTGTATGTATTTCCCATAGGGTCCTATGTTAAACTAAGTCCCCTGCTGGCGGCCATCTTGGAAGATGGACCAACTGCAAAGTAACAACACTTGGTCAGCATCTCATAAGGAAGATTCATGCCATGTTTGGTTCCATTCCATTCAGTGGTTCTCTAAAAGAAGACATTTTTATGTATTTCCCATAGGGTCCTATGTTAAACTAAGTCCCCCGCTGGCGGCCATCTTGAATGATGGATTGGATACAAAGTAACAACACTTGGTCAGCACCTCATAAGGAACATTCATGCCCTGTTTAATTTTATTCCATTCAGTGGTTTTCTAAAAGAAGACATTTGTATGTATTTCCCATAGGGTCCTATGTTAAACTAAGTTCCCCGATGGCGGCCATCTTGGATGATGGATTGGCTACAAAGTAACAACACATGGTCATCACCTCATAAGGAACATTCATGCCATGTTTGGTTTCATTCCATTCAGTGGTTCTCTAAAAGAAGACATTTGTATGTATTTCCCATAGGTCCTTTGTTAAACTAAGTCATCTTGGATGATGGACCGACTGCAAAGTAACAACACTTGGTCAGCACCTCATAAGGAACATTCATGCCATGTTTGGTTTCATTCTATTCAGTGGTTCTCTAAAAGAAGACATTTGTATGTATTTCCCATAGGGTCCTATGTTAAACTAAGTCCCCCGCTGGCGCTATCTTGGATGATGGATCGGCTACAAAGTAACAACACTTGGTCAGAACCTCATAAGGGACATTCATGCCATGTTTAATTTCATTCCATTCAGTGGTTCTCTAAAAGAAGACATTTGTATGTATTTCCCATAGGGTCCTATGTTAAACTAAGTCCCCTGCTGGCGGCCATCTTGGATGATGGACCAACTGCAAAGTAACAACACTTGGTCAGCATCTCATAAGGAAGATTCATGCCATGTTTGGTTCCATTCCATTCAGTGGTTCTCTAAAAGAAGACATTTTTATGTATTTCCCATAGGGTCCTATGTTAAACTAAGTCCCCCGCTGGCGGCCATCTTGGATGATGGATCGGATACAAAGTAACAACACTTGGTCAGCACCTCATAAGGAACATTCATGCCGTGTTTAATTTCATTCCATTCAGTGGTTTTCTAAAAGAAGACATTTGTATGTATTTCCCATAGGGTCCTATGTTAAACTAAGTCCCCCACTGGCGGCCATCTTGGATGATGGACCGACTGCAAAGTAACAACACTTGGTCAGTATCTCATAAGGAACATTCATGCCATGTTTGGTTTCATTCCATTCAGTGGTTCTCTAAAAGAAGACATTTGTATGTATTTCCCATAGGTCCTTTGTTAAACTAAGTCATCTTGGATGATGGACGGACTGCAAAGTAACAACACTTGGTCAGCACCTCATAAGGAACATTCATGCCATGTTTGGTTTCATTCTATTCAGTGGTTCTCTAAAAGAAGACATTTGTATGTATTTCCCATAGGGTCCTATGTTAAACTAAGTCCCCCGCTGGCGGCCATCTTGGATGATGGATCGACTACAAAGTAACAACACTTGGTCAGAACCTCATAAGGGACATTCATGCCATGTTTGGTTTCATTCCATTCATTGGTTCTCTAAAAGAAGACATTTGTATGTATTTCCCATAGGGTCCTATGTTAAACTAAGTCCCCTGCTGGCGGCCATCTTGGATGATGGACCAACAGCAAAGTAACAACACTTGGTCAGCATCTCACAAGGAAGATTCATGCCATGTTTGGTTCCATTCCATTCAGTGGTTCTCTAAAAGAAGACATTTTTATGTATTTCCCATAGGGTCCTATGTTAAACTAAGTCCCCTGCTGGCGGCCATCTTGGATGATGGATCGGCTACAAAGTAACAACACTTGGTCAGCACCTCATAAGGAATATTCATGCCATGTTTAATTTCATTCCATTCAGTGGTTCTCTAAAAGAAGACATTTGTATGTATTTCCCATAGGGTCCTATGTTAAACTAAGTCCCCCGCTGGCGGCCATCTTGGATGATGGATCGGCTACAAAGTAACAACACTTGGTGAGCACCTCATAAGGAACATTCATGCCATGTTTGGTTTCATTCCATTCGGTGGTTCTCTAAAAGAAGTCATTTGTATGCATTTCCCATAGGGTCCTATGTTAAACTAAGTCCCCCGCTGGCGGCCATCTTGGATGATGGATCGGCTACAAAGTAACAACACTTGGTCAGCACCTCATAAGGAACATTCATGCCATGTTTGGTTTCATTCCATTCAGTGGTTCTCTAGAAGAAGTTCAAAATGTAAAAAGTTAACGCCGACGACGGACGACGCCGGACGCCAAGTGATGAAAAAAGCTCACTTGGCCCTTTGGGCCAGGTGAGCTAAAAATGAAGATATATTCTGATTTAATGTAAACAATCCAATAACAGTAATATTACAACATAGCTGTTGTTTTGAAATGATGACATTTTATACAAATACCTTAAGTTCCTCTTGTTGTCTTTTGATTGGTTCTACATCATGACCAATTGGTTCATGCATGTCTAACTCTGCTGAGGCTCTATCAATGCTAGTTCTCATCCTACGTAGGTTATCATCAACACCTTCCATTTTAAGGAATGTTTGATCAAGGTCTTCTTTACGTTTTTCTGCCTTGTCTTTCAAGTTATCAAACTGCTTTTGAATTTGTTTCATCTGCAACAAATATATTGTGTTGAAATTTTATTTTGGAACAGAAAAATAACTGAACACAAATCTAACAAAGAAAAGTACAAGGCAACCTAGAACCTTCATGCTAAAAAGATCATCTGTTTGACATTTTGAAATAAACATGTAAAATGAGTTCTTTAAGGCAAACTAAGCTCCAGGAAAGCATTAATATTTGAGGTTAAACTTACAGGAGATAAAACACCAGTATCGGTAAGGTAACCCGATGCTTTGAGTCCATCTGTCTTACGTTTAACGTCATCTATCTTAGCCTCAATGTCATACAGCTTAGACACAAACTCCTGAAAATGGAATAAATACATGAGTTTATAGGCTTGTTTTTACTTAAGTTTTACTGGGTATTGCAGAATTTTTTTTTTTTTCATTTATGTTTTAAGAAAAGGGATATCTTTAAGAAAACAATTAAAACGTTTACCCTTTATGATATGCCTTATACATTTTGATGTCTAACAATTTATCAATGTTCTCTTTCTTTTAACCAAACACAAGAAAATTCAAAAGAGAACCATCTAGCACTATCTTACAAATAACATATATTTTAATTACATTATACATATTTTTTACACATTTTTAGATGTTAATTGTTGATCATAGTAAAAATACTCAAATCAGAAAAATATTTTTATATACACAAAAAATAAAGTAGCATCACCAAGATAAAATTATCAGCATAACTTATTTCCAAATGAATAGGCTTTTTAGAATAAATTTTTGACAGGATCATTTTGTTTTGTGTCTTTGAAGCTATTTTTCACTTTCCCATACTAGCAATAACATAAAATATAAGCTAAACAAAGTGAGAACCCTTTATAAGAATGGTGCTTGGCAAAAATTATGCCATAAAATGTATAAAATCATCAGCAACATAAGCCATTTAAACAATAGCAAATACAACTTTGTAATCAGAGAAAATTGAGTTTTTTTCAATATTTTCCCACTCATTTGAGATTTCAAGAATATTTTTTTTTCTTCTATTTGTTATTTTTTTTAGACTTCTTTGAGAGTTTGAAAGTAGTTTGAAAATGTACAAAAACTGATTTTTTTTTCATTGTCTCTCTAGTCTCACTGAACTAAAGTACAGTCCAGAACAATGGAACCTATGTGAAAACACTCAATTGAACAAACTAAACTTAGAAAATGGTAGTGTTCTAGAATGAAAGCTAATTTCATGCTGTGAACATTGAGGTGTATATATTTCCTTTTTCACAAACAGTCAACTAAAGATTTGACAGGTATAACTTACTAAGATACAGACATTCTGTAAAATGGCATGATGCATTGAATATCAATGTTATACAAAATTGACTAGAAATTCAAGAATAACAACGTACTAATCTTCAGAATGTTTTAGTTTATTACAGAAAATATTAATAGACTTTTTTTTTAAATAACTCATTCAAAATGTGTTTCACTAGCAGCTTTGTGCATTTGAAGCCAGTTTGACTACATTTGAGGTTAATAGACAGGCTTAAGACTTATATCATCATAGGTGTCAACTTTCCAAACCTCCTAAAGGTTGAGCCTTGTTTTCTGTTATTCAATCTTAGTTTTTGCAGTTAAACAATTTAAAACCACAATTCAAATTATTCAAACTATTAATAAACAAAACCTTTAACCAATTTTCAGACAGTATCCAAATTTTATAGGAAATAAATATTGAGAAGCTCCCCCTCATATCAGTTGACATCTATGCATCCTTCTTTCAAAAATTATTTGTGTACTTTTAAAAATTTTTTAAAGTTTAAGTCGAAGTAATTCTTTGCCATTTGGTGATCAATTTACTATTTCAGAATCTGAAGGATTGGCGGCAATTTCACTGTTCGTACACCAAAATGTAAATAATGTTATTCATTGGAGGCCTTTGATATTTTAAAATCTATTAAAATTAAGAAAACCATCATTTACTTTGACTTGACCTAAAGAACATAAGAGACATAAGGTTCTCTATAATTTTTTAACAATCAAACTAATAAAGATGTTATTCATTTTATTTTCCAAGTCTTAAATCTGCCTACAATGTCCCTGCCTGGTTGATTAATCCCACAAATCTAAATTAAAAGCACTCAAACATTTGGTCATTATCATCATACAAGTGCAAAGCAACAGAAACAAATATCATACCTCTATTTCTACCACTAAGTCCTTTAAAATATAATTATACATGATAACATAAGAAACTGGAGTGCAATTGCCCTTAATGTAGTCAACATTTATTATTCCAAACATGCAGACAACAAACCTTATGACCTGTTGAGTTTGACTCTCATCTCTAGGCACATTTTCATAGGGTTAAAGTTAAAAACAGATTGTTTTTTTTCTCTCAAAAAAGGGGGATATTTGATACACTAAATGTTGACCACTATACTCAAAATTTAATCTACTGTAAAATATCAATAAAAAAAAAATACAAGAAAAAATTTACAATTTACTATATGAATATTTTTTTAAAATGTTCTTTTTTTTAATGTAAAATAAATAGAATTATACTAACCTCATTTTCCCTCTGTTGGCCTCTAAGCATGGATTCATCACGTCCAATAGGATCAAGTGAAGTAAATTCTGCATCTAAATGAGCCAGTTCTGAACCTACATTCTGGACAAGATCCTGTAAATACATTTTCTTTTAATAAATCTGACAAAAAACTTACTAACCCCCAGTAACTGTTTCTTGTTTGGAAATAGGTTTTTATGTAATGGAAAAGAAGTTACAGTATTAATATATATGATGTTTATTAAATAAAACATTTTAGTCTTTGTTTTCCTGATAAAATATTCAAGCTGTTTATTATGTTTTAATTCTCCACTCTAATTAAGCCACCACGATATATGAGCACCTTAACTTCATACTTATGAATGGATTTTATGACAAGGTATGAGCTTGACCTCTGACCTACCTGATATTGTGTTAGAACCATAGCACCACTCTCCATTTCCTCCACTAAATCGGCCAGTTCTTGTTGGAGCTGATCGTGTTTTTGTTTAGCTTTCTCTAGATTGGTGACAAGAGGTGCAGTGATATCCCCTTGGACTTGTAACCCATCCAGCAATGCCTCAGCATAATCTATCTGTGATGTGATGGCATCTACATCTTCTTGCCATGCCTGTGTTAGATAAAGTCCAATAAATTACTAAATTGCTTTAACTGAATTCTCACTGGTTATTTGTCAATTACAAATATACCTAAAATAAGACTAATTAGTGAAACTGCAAGCTACTGCTCACTGATGATACCCACGCCGCAAGTGGATAATTTTAATAGTGTAAAAATATGTAAGTGTTCGGTAAACAGGAAGTTGTTGAGTGATGAATCAGAAAAACGCATCACACAGTATAGCTGACTTATATAAACCCTGAAACCAAATTCAGAAATCCTTATGATGTAGTTTCTGAGAAAAATGCAACGAAAAATATTCATGGGACGGATGGACAGACAGAGGTAAAACAGTTTACCCCCACTTTTTTAAAGCGGGGGTATAAATATTCTATGATATATATGTAGCTAAGAATTTTTGATGTCATCCGTGACAAGTTTTCAAGATTTGCTATACAATAAAAGGTGTTATCACATATTTGTTACGAATACGTTGAGTTTTGCATATGTAATAACCTCAAAATTGCCCGGGGCAAAAAAGAGGTTATTGGTTATTGTGCCCTGATTCCAAATGACGTGACGTCATTGCGTCCTTAACGACAATGGCGAACAATGACGGTGCTCGTTTCATCGCAGTGGAGGAAAGCGATAGGACAGACTTTGTAGAGCAAATGAAAAACACTAACACAAGGAAAAAACTGAAAGTGACATTAAAATTCTAAAGGAGACTTAGGAGTGGTTAAAAAGTGCCGGAGAATTAGGCAATTGTGTATTGCCATATTCCAAAATAAGTGGAAATGTGACAATTAATTTCTATGAAGTAAATGATGAAAACTAAAGTAAATTTGAAAATGTGATAAAACTTTTGTGATAAAAATTTTAAAGATTTTACCTGTTATATTTCATTAAATTGTTATAATTGAATTTTTTTTCTCTTTTCTGCAGAACTTAAATATGTGATAAATAGATTATAACATGTCTTTTCCATATTGGCCCTGGTATCATCACTCGACCCATATCGGCACTCGGCTAAAGCCTCGAGGCCGATATGGGAGTCTCGGGACGATACCAGGGCCAATATGGAAAAGGGCATGTTATAATCTATACTTATTGCAGGAATTTTAGTGAATAATAAATGGTAAGAGAATTTGAGATAAATATACTGATACTCCTGTAGTATTATTTACCTTAATTTTATCTATGTGCTTGGGATCTCTAGATGAACTACCCTGTTTCAGATGACTGTCAAGTTTATCTTTGTATCTATCTAACGTAGACTCTGATTCTCTCATGTTGTCATGGAATTCTTCCAGTCTCTGAGACAAGTCTTCTAATTCTTCTATCTTGTCTGCTACAGCTGTATAATAAATAAATATTCAAATCTGCATGTCTTATGTGTTGTTAAATAAATGTAACATAAAATACTGACACGAATAAATCATCTAACTGTTTAACTGATACTACCACACTTAAAACAATACATTTTCTTGTTTTTCTACAAATACAGTCAAACCTGCCTTAATGGTCACCTTGTTTCAGCGGTCACCTGCCTCTAATGGTCACTTTCAGAGCCTCCAAAACGTTTTTTCTATATAATTTAACTCATTAAACAATTAAAACACTTAAAACAATACATTTTCTTATTTTTCTACAAATATTGTAATTGAAAGGAAATATAAAATAATTCTAGTTCCAGTTTTACAAGGTAAAACATTTAAATTGTGAAATCACATTAGAAGTTCTTGTTTTAGGATTGCATCAGATGTGTATTTAGATACATATAATATAATGATAAATCTGAGGAATAGTTCTGGTTACCTTGACTGAGATTTTCCCATCGTTTGTTGGCATCAAATAAGGAGTCGGTAACATGACTTTGATCTGTATCAACTAATCCAACCAATGACTGGCCCTCTCTGTTCAAATTGTCATGGTCATGGGAATGTTTAAGAATATCTGTCTGCAGTGCCTGTACATAAAGAATAAAACTGATCACAATCTTGATGAAACAAAGTTAAAACAAACTCCCTCTCTCTTTCTGAACTATACTTGCTTTTGCTAAAACAGTACTTTTTCAATCTCAAACTTGGCAATGTATAATTCAATGTTCTTGACATCAACCTTGACTTTTTTCTTATTGATTAAGTTTTGGAAGCAGACTGAACAAAGATAATATTAAATAGTACATACTACTTTAATGTAGTATTACTGTTATCATTGAGGACCAACAAAATCTAATTTTTGTATTGATTTCAGAGTATCTTTCTTATAGATATATTACCTGAGCATCCTTGAGTTTCTTTGCCACCACATCTTTATCTAAACTTTTTGGTACAATATTAGCAAGTTTTTCATTATCAATGTTCAGCCACATCAATATCTTGTCAAGCTGTTCCTGGAAGTTCTGGCCATGTTTCTGACTAGCCTCGATCTGCTGTGATCTCTGTAAGGCCTGTCTGTTTAACTCCTCCCACTCTGTTTTAATGTCTTCTAACTTCTCAGCTAATTCTTTAGCATGTCTGGATGGAGGCAATGTGTCAAGTAATTTGTTACCTTTACGAAGGATATCTCTTACCTCAGTACCTCTCTCTTGGATATCTTGTGTGATCAACTAAATAAAAAAAAAAAAACCCCTCTTAAAAATTACAGTTTTTTTTTTCCCTATTTGCAATAACAATCTTCAGCATTTCATGTATTTTGCCTGTATGATTATTACATTTCACTGTTAAAAGATGAAGCAATCTTAAAAGTAAAAATGGTCATAACCAAGTTGCTTGTTCTTTGTTTCAAGTACTGTTTAAATCATATACCTAAACAATTTAATTAATTGACTCTTTAATGAATGAACCTTAGTGAGTGCGCTCACATACCCCACGTCCCCACATTGTCATTGGAAAAATCAAATAAGTGTAAGAAAAAAAAATTGTATAAGAAAAAAATATTGAATCATAATTTCCTGTCAATATGCACATCTACATAGTATGTCCTTATTATATACACAGTTTCATGAAATTCCGTTGTGTGGTTTGAGAGGAGTTGCGATGACAAAAGGTTGCAGTAGTATATTGGGCAAATAAGTTCAAAGGGGCGTAACTCCTGGAAAAAAAATTGAATCGTAATTTCCTGTCAATATGCACATCTACATAGTATGTCCTTATTATCTACACAGTTTCATGAAATTCCGTTGTGTGGTTTGAGAGGAGTTGCGATGACAAAAGGTTGCAGTAGTATATTGGGCAAATAAGTTCAAAGGGGCGTAACTCCTGAAAAAAAATTGAATCGTAATTTCCTGTCGATATGCACATCTACGTAGTATGTCCTTATTATCTGAAAAGGTTTCATGAAATTCTGTTGTGTGGTTTGAGAAGAGTTGCGATGACAAAAGGTAGCAGTAGTATATTGGGCAAATAAGTTCAAAGGGGCGTAACTCCTGGAAAAAAAATTGAATCGTAATTTCCTGTCGATATGCATATCTATGTAGTATGTCCTTATTATCTGAAAATGTTTCATGAAATTCTGTTGTGTGGTTTGAGAGGAGTTGCGATGACAAACTGTTGCAGTAGTACATTAAAGTAAATAAGTTCATAGGGGCGTAACTCCTAGAAAAAGAATTGAATTGTAATTTCCTGTCGAAATGCACATCTATATAGTATGTCCTTATTATCTAAAAAGGTTTCGTGAAATTCTGTTGTGTGGTTTGAGAGGAGTTGCGATGACAAGAAACAGGACTGATGGACTGACGGACGGACAGACGGACAGACAGACAGATGGACGGGTCAAAAACATTATACCCTCCGCAACTCGTTGCGTGGGGTATAATAACACAAGAGTGCACACGCTGAAATGTCTCACCTGTTTTACTGACCATTGATTTTATGTGAAAGTCTTAAAGATAAAGGTTTCACTACAAGCATCACATAAACTTAACATTTTTAAAGATCCATAACAATGAGTTCAAGGTCAGATAAATCCTACAAGACAGACATGTTCACCTTACAATCATTCCATACACCAAATATAGTTGACCTATTGCTTATGTAATTGAAAAAAAACATCAAAACACAAAAACTTAACATTGACTAATGAACCATGAAAATGAGGTCAAGGTCAGATGAAACCTGCCAGACTGACATGTACCCCTTACAATCATTCCATACACAACATATAGTTGACCTTCTGCTTACAGTATCTGTAAAACGGACCTTAACACGTAGCTTTAACCTTGATCATTGATCCATATAATGAGGTGAAAGTCACGTGAACTCTGTCGGGCAGACAGGAACCGATATACCAAATATAGTTATTCTATTACTCATAATAAGTGAGAAATTCACATGACAAAAAACAATTTTTTTTTTCCAGCCAGTAGTCGAACCATGAAAATTAGGTCAAGGACATATGACAGACAGAAACTTTGTAACAGAAGGTATAAGCATACAAAGTATGAAGCATCTAGGTCTTCTACCTTCTAAAATATAAAGCTTTATATAAAGAGTTTAATTTTGTTGCAGGCGAGACAAAAAATAACATGTACTCAAGAACATCACAAAGTACAAGTCTATTGCCTACCTTTTGTTGTAGAGATTGTTCTCTCAGGAGGTCAAGGTTACCAGACACAGGTGGTTGTTTCTGTATTTTACCACGGAGATCAGATACCCAGTCCAGTATTTCCTGACAACCTTCTTGGAACTGTTCTCCTTCTTGACTCGATTGTTCTATACTGGTCTTCTTTGCAGCTAATAATGAGATCAATAACCTTTAACTAGTAATTATAGTCTTTTTTCATCAATAAATCTAAACTACTACCTTTTTAAGTGCTTATGATTCAATAAAGTCAACACAGTGAATTTCTGTATAAAATTACATGCTCAAATGAAGAAAATATTCTAAAAATGGATTATATTTGTAAATTGTCGTTTCTTATATAGAGTCACTGTCTGATTAAAAAAAAACAACACAAAATGTCAAATCTGTTCTACTTTAATGTTTTTATACAAAGCTTTTTTCCCTTCCTATTATACCTACCAAGTATAGATTCCATTTCTGTGACTGGTTTCTCTATGGCTGATATTTTGTTCTTCAGTTCAGATTTAGTACTAAGATCTTTGGTATTGTCACCAACCTTCTTACCAAGCTCCTTCAGTTTGCTCAGTAACGGCTGCTGATTTACAAGTTCACCTTCCAATGACTGAAAATAAGAGAAATTAGAATCACATCTTAATTGTTTTTTTTACATGTTTTACATAATCTAATGAAACTTTTGTATCTGAAAGGAAAATCCTACATCACCACTTGATATATTATCTTGTACTAGACAGACACGCTGAGTCAGATTTTAAATGTGCTAACATAACCTACCTGTAATCTATGTATCTGTCTTTGGTGTTCCTCTGGATTGGTGGGTTGAGTATTTACTCCATCAACTCTTTCCGTGTAGTCATTCAACCAGTCATGTAGTGACTGCAATGTTTCATTAAATTCAGCACTCATTCCCTCGACTGCAACAAGTGTCTTATCTCTGTCACCAAGTCGTGAACTGAGCTGGTCCCACCCTTTACTGATAACTGCCATCTTCTCACTGATATGAGCAGCATCTGTGGAGTCTGGTTGACATTTGTCCAGGATGCTATGTCCACTCTGGATTAAACGTTCATACGTTGGTTCCTGTCCAGCCACTTCCTCTTTCAAGATTTTAATTTGTTCTTGTTGGTTGTGGATCTGGGATGGTTCTGTAGCTACTGGTCCCAGTACTGCCACCATTTTCTCTTTCTGAGCTATCCATTTCTGTAGATGTACACCAGCATCCTTGAAGTCTCTGATGTCTGATACCATTCCCTCTAAGGCTTTTCTACGTTGTTCTGAGGCAACCTTTACATCCAACCATTTGTCATCTGGAATAAAAGAACAGAGTTCCAATGTCCCCCTCACTGCACATATCTTATCTATTCAAGGGCAATGACTAAAAAAAAAATTTTTTTTAAAACACTTTTTAAAAATATCTTAAGAGAAATGAAGGCTTGAGAGCGAATACAATGCAATTTCCAATAAGGCAATATAATTAATGTTTTGAAGGGCCATAACTCTTTAAAAAAAATTTGATTGGCACTGATTTTGAATTTGTCCGAAACATTGCTTTTATAAACCTTTGATATAAGTTTTATAAAAATTTGGCAAGAATAGTACACGAGACCGCTTACAATGCAATTTTCCATATAATTAATATTTCAAAGGGGCACAAGTCTTTAAAAAATAATTAATCGCCACTGATTTTTGAAGTTATCCAAGACATTGCTGATATAAACAGATGATATAAGTTTTATAAAAATCTGTAAGAATTGTACACGTAAGAGGGCTAACAAAACCAGATGGAAGCCCAGTATTTCTATGTCCCCTGCAACGTGTCGTGCAGGGTACAATAAGTAGACAAAAATTGCTTTATTCTATCTATCATTACAATTAAGGCTAAAAGAGTTTGCATATTTATATAAGTAAAAATTAACATTATAGTTTTATTTTCCTGTGCATACTGACAGAATCTTGACAGAGGGATATTGAAAACTTGCATTTAATATGAAAAGAAAATTCATAAAATCTTCTACATGGCTGACGGTTACCTAATTCTGCAAACTGTTGTTGAACCCTATCCATTCCTGGGACACCTTTCTTGGTCTTCATCAGTTCTTGAGATTTGTTTCTGATGTCCTCAATCAGAGCCTCTTTCTCAAGTAATTCTTTATGTAGAGTCTGCAAGTATAGAAAAAAGTTCATTGATTAATATTTTCATTTGGTAATGTGTAAAATAGGAAAATGAGTTAAATTTAATTTAAATGAAAAGAACCTTTCATGCTTTATTTTACCTAATTTATTTTATTTCATTATCTTTTCAAATTCTGCATATATTTAAAGTCTTTTCTGATCAAATACTTATTTTTTATAAACCATGCAAAGCTCTACAGTGGGTTAAGCCCACACAAGACTTCAAATTTCTATTGTAAATCTTGCACACTCAGATGATCCAAGTCACATTGAGCTTTGCTTTACCAATGAACCACTCCTTCTTTATTAAATGGTGATGGAAAGGGATAAAATATTCGATACATATAAACATCTGGTGTATCAGATATGCTGTATGAAGAAAGGCTAACATCTAAATTAAGTGTATGTAATCTAGTATTCCATTATAAAGAATATATAAATTATAACAATTAATTTACCTATTTTATCTACCTTTTTTTAATTTTTCAAATAGCTAGCTATATTAAGTGGAGAAATGTGCCAGGATATAATGGTAGAAACGTCATGTAGTACTTTTCAGTAAATGCATCTGATAAAACCCACTGCTACTGTCACTTTAATATCATAACTTACCTCTTGAAGTTTCAACTGTTTCTTAGCCTCCCTTTCACTTGTAGGTAAGGAAGGAGACAGGCTGGCATCCAGTTCCTTAAGATCAACCCAAGTCATAAGGTCATTCACATCCTGTAGGAATGTTTTGGTACTTGACAACATGTTCTGTAGCTCTTGGTGACGATCTGCCAGTCGGTCACCAAGAAGGTCATAACGATGATTAATGTCAACCAGTTCTTGTTGGATTTCTGTCAAATCTGTAAAAACATTCCATTATCATCAAAAATATGAGTGCCAATATGTATAAAATAAATATTTTGATCTTTATAGATGAAAATGAAAAAGTAAGTTAAGTCAGAAACACAGAACAGCAAACAAGTCTCTTACACAATAAAGACTAAAAAATTGAAGATACTGATATAAAATGTTATAGATGATACTCAATTCAATCCAAGTTAAATTTACTACTTCTGAATAAAATACATGAAAATCCTTATGCAGAGGAAAACATTTACCTTCTAGATTAAAGTTGTCACTGGAACTCTTTTTACTACTGAATCCACTAGAATCACTAGCAGGACTGATTACATTAGGTGATGGTGAGGATGGATAAGTAAATGATGGGGATGGACTTCGGACTCTTGGTGACATTAGACTGGATAATCTTCTGCCTCCTAAAAATAAGAACAAATGTCATGTTATATACAGTCACAGCAATCAACAAAATACAAATGTTTGTAATTGACCAATGTTATCTGTCATATCCAGATATATCTTCATTACCACAGATTAACACTTATAAACATTTCTATATTTTCCTGAATTATGCTGGCATATAATTTATCTTTCAAGCAATCCATTTATTTTTAAACATTCTTTAAAAAAAGTTTTTTTACTTTCTACTGTGTAAGGGAAGTCATATCATAAGTAAATAAGATTAAAATCACAATTTTGACTTTGTTCAAGATATAGTAAAAACAGCCTAAATCAAACTTTTGACTTGTTTAGAGATATAGTAAAACCTGTCTAAATCACACTTTTGACTTTGTTAGAGATATCGTAAATCCTGTCTAAATCACACTTTTGACTTATTTAGAGATATAGTAAAACCTGTCTAAATCAAAACCTTTGCTGGATGAATAATTTGTTTATGTCAAATAGGTGTTCAGTTAACACAATGATAGAATTTTAAAGGATTTTCTTTTTTTATGTCCTGATACACCAGTCCATTGTAGACAGATTACTGGTTTATAAAGGGTTCAGATCAGATAGGTTTCACTGTAATAGATATTTAGCATGTTTTGTAAAACTTTGATTTTTTAGATTATACAAATGTACTTACTCATAATCTTTCTGAATGGACTACTAGGTCTAGTATCTGGGTTTTGAAGGTTATCATAAGCTGCCCCAAGGTCATTTACTTCATCAACAGTTTCAGCATATTGTTGGTATTGTTGTAACATAGGCTAAAACAAAACAAAGAAATTTGTTTGCATTTATTAATTTACCAAGTAGCCTGTTATCGGTACTATTTTTTACACATCTTTAAAAAAAAATATACATGTATCACATTTTTACTTTATACTTAATTTACTGTAACATGCTAATGCTGAATACTATCCAACAAGTAAAATTTATAGAATTACTAATCCAAGAAATTCAAATGTAAAAAAATATTCAACATGTGATCATTCATTAAACAGAAATAATTAACGCAAGCATGTCCACATTTGAATTCTTGAATTAGCATTTGTATTTTTTTAAAATCCCATATGATTCAATTTTGTTATTGCCTACAATATATCGATAAATCCATAACAATTGCAGAATTAAGCATGATTTAGTTTATGTATACAGACATCCTCCAAACAAGATGATAAACATACCTGTAATTCTTCTATTTGGTTTTCAGCTATATCAACATCTACAGCCACAGGTTCAAATCCATCGACTTTGTTCTCCACCTTAGTTAACCAATCAACTACATTCTTTTTCATTGTTTCATATTCACTTCCTTGTCTGTCTTTCTCTAGTGTCTCTTGTTCACGTTCAGATAGCAATGCCACCATTTCATGCCACCGTCTGTCTAAATCACTCAGAGATTCCTTGACAGCACCAACTTCTCCAGTTCTAGAATCTTCTACCAGAGCTTGGCCAAGAGATCTTAATTCCTCAATGATCTTTTGTTTGTCTTCTTTTTCAGAGGTTACTTTTTCAACAATGTCTTTAACAGTTTCTACTGGTTTTTTATTCCATTCCCGATCTTCTAATGTTGTAGTATTTCCTGCAATCCAGTGTTTACACTTATCAAGTGTGTCATGAAATTCTTCCAAAGTTTCTGAAAGCTCTTGTAAGTCCTTATTTCTGGTTTTACATTTATTCTGCACAGTATGGAATTGTGCTTCAAGATTGCCAACTTTGGCCTCTATTGTTTTAGCAGTGTCAAGTTCACAAGTTTTGATCAGTTCATTAGCTTCATTTCTGATAGCTTCTATACTAGGTTTGTGACTGTCAATATCGGCTTTGATTAGATCTAAATTCTGACATTGTTCATTCAAGTTATAACGACTGAGACTTGCGCGTCTTTGATTGTTCAATGCACCCTCAGTGTCACGTAACCATGTCAACATATTGTCCAAAGCATCTTCAACATTTTGTGACTTTGTAAGAGCGGTTTGTAAATTATTTGTCCTTTCATGAATTTCTGCTACAACTTCTTCTTGTCGATCACTGATATCTGATATGATTTCTTGTAGCCCATCTATATCGGAAGTCTCAATTGCCAGACTGTGCAGATCAGCTATCAGTTCTCGGGAAGATTTTTCTAATTCTTCTAATTGTGACTTATGTGCTATTGCATCACTACTTAAGGATTTCATCATTTCCATCTGATTTTGAAAGTTGTCAGAATCAACAGAACCTGGTTCCTGTCTTAAATCTGAAAGTTTTTCTTCGGTACCAGTCAACCAAGATAACAATTTAAATGTGCTGTCATTGAATTCTCTCTGTTTAGCAGAAACAGAAGATAGTTTGTCACCAAATGAGCTGCATCTTAACTTTACTTCATCATATCTTGTAGTTGTATCCTTTAACCTCTCAGCTACGGTTTCAGCATCCATGCCCTCCATTCCTATCCAGCTGAGACGGGAAGTCTTTCTACGATTAGCTTTAAAGGCATCTACTTCCAGTTTATGCAGCTAAAAAGAAGGATGTAAAAAATATGTAATTTTTCTATTTTTCTATAAAATAAATATCAACTTTGCATAATCAGGTACATTAACACAGGTGCTAGTTTTAAATATAAATTGAAACAAGTTTAAGTTTCATGACATAACAGATTTATCATATAGTCTTAAAAACAAGGAATTATTTGATTCTGGAATAATTTTCAATTCTGGATAATTGGTTAGAAATGTAAAATGAAAACTAACCCAACTAAATAGGGTAGCCATGCGCACATGGCTTAGGTTCAGGTTACTTTCACTAATAGTTCAGTATGAACTAACTAACCCCCTTAGCCATGCATGTATGGCTAACCCTCCTAAATTTGGTTAGTTTTCATCATACATTTCTTATTAATTTTCCAGAATTCAAAATTATTCCAGATTCAAATAACTCCTTGTTTAAAGCTGAAATGAAGTATTTTCTTATTCCTCAGAATAATGATGATTATACAAAGTCACAATAATATCAAGCCAATGTGACTGACAGTTTTTGTAGAATGACTTCTCTCTTATATTATGTAATTTATTGGTTACTTAAATAAATCTTTCTCAAGATATTTACAGCTATTATTTAAGAATAAGGCTTGCCCATCTTACAGCTGATCTGAACTTGCTGCAAGGTGTGGACTCTGGATATTTTTGAAGACCTTTTAAATCTGTCAGTTGTAAAAGTTTGATTTATATGAAAAACTGTTATTTTTATGTATGTCACTGAAATTTCTCTCATGCCCATATGTCTTCCACTCCATATGTATTTAACTAACCTTTGATTCCTCCATATATTTCTGTACTGTCATTGTCAAGAATCTGGTGTCAGCTTGGTGGGATATTATGTCATTCATCATTTTCTGTGAAAATATATAATTAGAAATTAAAAATATAGCTCAATATTGTTTAACTTTATAAATTAAGGGGAAATCAACGAAAAATGAAAAATATGTAGTTTATAATAACGGTGAATCAGAACTTTTAAGGTTGTAATTGCAAGTTTAACCTTATGAAGATAACACTCACATTCTTTTTAAATCCCAACAGCTTATTGAATACATTTCTTTTATCAAATTTAAATTATTTTTGTGGGTATCAATTTTTGTGGATAGAGAAAAAAAGACGTTTCCTGGTATACGTAAATTCGTGGATCGCTGATTACAAAAAAAAAAAAAAAAAAATCAGATACGTAATTCGTGGATTTCTTTTTGATTTTGGAGATGATATAACCTCCTTGGTTTGATCAATAATAAAACAAACAAAAAAGAAGGAATTCATTGAAAAAGTTTTGAATTGTCAAAATCCTCGCTTGGTCATCCTAGGTTAAAGTGTTCATTGAAAACTTCTATTACAATAATGGACAAAGACAACTAATTATTTTTTTGTTTTACAATTTATAGATTCTTGTCGGAATTTTATAAGGCATTCAAAATTCTATGATTGAAAGCTCAGTTCCCTAATCACGATATAATAAACAGTCATATAAGTAAAAGGTGTGAAAATAAATGTTCCTGTCATATTACCTACGGGCAATATCCCCGTACTTAATCCTATTGATTTTTAATCACCAGTAAACCAAACTATGACACGGTAATTAACAACTTGCAGTTATTTTCCATGAACAGTTTTAATCAATTTTAAAAAGTAAATTATCACTGATATTCGATATATTAATTGTTGATTTAATCAAAATACTTGTATCTTCTTTCAATAAAAACATGTGTTATGTTACAATGTTTATTGCTAGTCAACACTATACTAGAACTGCATAACATAACCGGAAATAAACATCCGACTCCATACACATTTCTCGGGATTATTCTTCGTTGAATTCTTAAATTCGTTGTTCGCTGTGACCCATGAAACCCACGAAAATTGGTATACCACGAATAAAAATGAACCCACAGTACTACACCAGTACCATATCCAATTTCATTTATCAACTCAAGGACATTCATAGTCATTGTTAAAAATGATCTGCTACACAAAAATTCATATTACCATTTGTTTGTCTGTAACTTGTTTTATACTGTCCAGATTGCGAGCTTCTATTTCCAGAGCTCTCAGGTCATTATCTGTTGTGACAACCCATTCTAAGAACTTTTCATGCTCTGCCTCATGTTTGGCCAGTTCATCAGAGGCTGTGGTCAGATGTTTTAGTCGTGTACTTGAGGTTTTCTGACATTTAGCAAAGTTTGACTTGAGATTTGATGTGAGATTTTGAAGTTCTGTGACCTGTTCTGGGGTTAGCTCTTCCTCGTGGTTCTCTAGTAGCTGTTCAGTCTGGTAAATCAGAGCTGCTATTGGTTGTTGATGTTGTTGTATGTCTAAGATAAGATCCTGCAAATATAATTTGTATTCATTCTTTTGAAATCCTTTTGAACATATATATATAGTTTTAGGGTTAGTTCCCATAGAAAAAAAATTCGTAAGGGTTCCGCGGAACCCAGTGTCTCGCCTACTTTTGGTGTTAATCGCAGGCTCAACAAAAATGAGGAAAAAAATTAATAAAAATATTCCTCTCTATACTATCTTTTGATTGTAAGTAGCTTCTGTCCAAGTTTGGTAAAAATCCAGGATAATTTATGAATCTAATAAATGTTTTAAAAACTTAAACTGCAGAATGTATGTAATGTTGACTGGAAGAAAAACTAAGTCCATTTATAAGTAAAATACAGAAAAAATGGAACAAAATTTTATCAAAATTTCCTTCTAGATACTAGCTTTTGATCATAAACAAGCTTCTGTCCAAGTGTGGGACAAATCCAGGATAGTTTAAGAAAGTTGTTAAAATTTTAAAAACTTTAACCACAGAGTGAATGTAATGTTAACTGGCAGAAAAACTAAGTCCATTTATAAGTAAAATACGGAAAATATGGATTTTTTTTTTTACAAAATTTACTTCTGGATACTATCTTATGATCATAAACAAGCTTCTTTCCAAGTTTTGTAGAAATCCAGGATAGTTTAAGAAAGTTATTAAAATTTCAAAAACTTTAACCACAGAGTGAATGTAATGTTTCCTGGCAGAAAAACTAAGTCCACTTATAAGTAAAATACGGAAAAAATGGAATTTTTTTTTTACAAAATTTACTTTTGAATATAATCTTATGATCATAAACAAGCTTCTGTCCAAGTTTGGTAGAAATCCAGGATAGTTTAAGAAAGTTATTAAAATTTCAAAAACTTTAACCACAGAGTGAATATTTGTGGACGCCGCGACGACGACGACGCCGACGGAATGTAGGATCGCTATGTCTCGCTTTTTCGACAAAAGTCGAAGGCTCGACAATAATCAAGTTCACAAATACCTTATTAAAGAGTCATTTTTATCAGCTCTTACAGAAAAGACACAAAATTTAAGAAGCAATATAATTATGGTTTACAAGTCTTTCAAGGATAAATAATAAGTCTCATCTCATGAAGTTGTTTAACTATTTTCTGTGAATATCTGTTTAAAACTTTTTTTTTTTATTACAAAACTCAATATACCTTTTGAGCTTGTAGTTGACCTTTAACCTTGTCCAGGTCATCACTAATTGGATGATCATCTCTAAGAAGCTGTTCAACATCCGACAGCCAATTTAGTTCATTGTTTAGGTCCTGACCAAGTTTATCATAGGAATCCACTAATCGACCCTGAAACAATTGAATGGATTATTTCCTAGAGTGCTTTAGTTGATATATATCAACACAAACAGTGCAGTTAACATTTAGATTAAGCAGGAATTTTGGAAAAAGCAACTTCAGGCAAAGCTGGAACATTTGACTTTCTTTTCACTGCTTAAATCTTGAAATCACTAGTGCTATGTGTTAGGTATGGCAAACCTTAACATGCTCTATACTTAATAGTTAATTGGAATTGTTCATTCATTTTAAAAATAAGTTATTAATAAAAAGTAATTGCATATTTTTAATCTGAACTACAGGTACTGTTTCTACATTTTTTCTGGCATCATTTTATATATGATTAAATATGTAATACTCAAGGAATAATTTGAAATGAATCAAAAAAAGTAAGAAAACCAACACAAGGGTGTTCTGTATATAGATAAAAAGCCAACTATTTTGGGGGTAATTTCAATATATATGTAAAGAATAAATGTAAGACATTCAAATATAAACACAAGCCTACTAACTCGCATGCAGAGAAAAAGAAAAAGAGAGATAGAGCAAGCTAAAAATTAGGTAGGAGGTGCAGGGAACAGCAGGCACCCGCTTGACTACCACCAAGTCACTGAAAATAGAACAAACAAGATAATTGTTAAATGTATACATTACATTCTCACGTGTGCAGTAGTAAAATAAAATCACAATAATAACTATCATGCTGATTTTACTACATCATAGACAGAAAAATCATCACAATGAAAAGAATGGTTGTGTTTGCTGTAACTTACTCCATCAGAAACAAGTTTACGATCAATTGTAAAAATACTTACAATTCATAGATGTCTTTTCCCCTATTCCTAAATCAATCATTTTACCAATATGACTAAATGAAATTAACCAAAATATTCATACTTCTATATGAAAAATCTATGTAAAGTCTTAAATCATTTCTTTCTTTTCTCAAGATTGAAATACTCTACTTTTGGATATAAGAAAAAGAAAAAAAGTATGCCATTTCTGGTTTACTGCCTTCAAATATATCTGATCAATATACACTTTTTAACACTATTTACAGCAAACACAGTACAACAATTACATACGATGTGCAAACTGGAAAGGTTAAAGTGCAAGATCATCTTTTGTGTTCATGCTTTGGTAAATAAGACAAGGTTGTTGAGATATCTATCTGTTCATTCAAAACCTATAGTTTTGCTGTACTTTAAATCTACATCTCTCTTTTTTCAATCATTTCTTTTAATAAACAGTATATGCTCTTATAAAACATGTGCATGCAGATATCTGTGATGTTTTGCAAGAAAAAAAACAGTAAAATGTGCACTAAATGAGAGATAAAAAAAGGTCAAATTCTATTTTTTTAATTCAATTCATTTACTTCAGGATAAAATGCATCATCAAATTTGTGTATGTGATTATGTTAAAACTCTTAGCTTTTAATTGCTAAAAACTTAAAATTATTATTTGGTAATGATAAAACTAAAGCAGCAATAACATGCAATAAAAGATAAAACATGACAGAAAATGGAATTCAAAAAAAAATTCAAACCAATAAAAAATGTTAATATAATATTAACCATGCATCACTGCATACATAACTATAGTACATGCTTCTAAAGCAGTTCAGTTATTCACTTTTATTTGTAGATTTGGCAAATTTTACAACATATTCAAAAACTTTTTTTAAAGCTCACACAGTGCTAGAATGAAATAAGATGGATCATAAATTTGTATCACATGAATTGTTAAATCAAAGTATGGTCTTTAAAAGAAACATTTAGAATGTTTTAATATTAAGTTTAATTTATCACAAAGTTTAATTGCTATGAATAGCAAACCCCAATGTGATGAATAGTCTGGAAACAAAGAAGATTAGTTTTGGCATTGTTTATGAACAAATTTAAACCATAACAAATTTTGTTTCATTTTTATCCTCAGAGCAGAGTCCAATATGAATGACAGAAAGTGTGTTCATAATTTAAATTAAATGAGATTCTTTATTACCTGAAGAAATGATGGACTCACTTGTTCTAGTGTAGTCATCACAATCCGGATTAAGATCTACATAGAATATTATTATAGTTTCTATCAAGGAAGAGTCTACTCTCTCACATGCAGTCAGTTCATACTAATCAGGTTTGAAAAAAAATGTTGTTTTTTTTCCAGTAATAAAGTCTATAATCAATATTTCTTCTTAACAAAACCATCTTTTTTTTTTAATCTACAATGTATTTTTCAAACTTACATTTTAAACATCATATGAAATAGTTATTTCCCTTCAAGAAAAACAACTCGTTTCTGACCCCCAGAAAAAATCTGTAAACTTGATATAGGTAAGATGATTTTACTGTTACTATTTCAAATAGATGACATGTGTGTCATATGTACAAAATTTTCTCTTGTCAGGAACTGATTGACTTTCTTCTAAGGGAAATAACTCAGCAACAATATTGTTTGAAATCATTAGATTTGTCAAGATATGCAAACCAATGCATTAAGAATCATGCATTTAAACTTCAAGTCACTGCTGAAATTCTTTACTTTTTAAGGCCTTTATACCATTTAACTTGTTTTCTTGATCAATTTAATGACCTGTATTCAAATAAAAAATGTGTTTTAACTCATATAACTGAAAGTCCAGCAGTGAGCATGCATTCAAAAACTATACATATTAAAACTAATACAAAATTATTTCATATATTTACATCCATAAAATATATCACTCGTAACAAAATAAAACTAAAGTTTTATGTAAAGGATTGTTTCAATCATATCATGCAGGATTCTGGAGCTCAAGTTCACAAAAGCTTTGAAACAGAAATATAATCCTGACTGGTCACCATGCAAAACAATAAGAACTAATGTCACATGCTTAACACATGGTATTATAAAGCAGAACAGAAGTTATTTTGCATACAACAAGTTTTCATTCAAAGGTAGTCAAAAATATAAATTGCAATCCATTCATAACGCAGAAACAGGTAACACACTGCTTATCATCCAATTCATGAATCAATTATTTCATTCAAACAGAAGGTTGAAGCCAACACAGAGTTATGTCCCATGCTTTTTGTTTACCTTCCGTACAGCTGTCATTTTACTCTCCAATACAGTCCTCAATAAGTCCTGTTTCTGTTTTGGTTTGCCAGCTTTACTGTCTAGTAAGGGCTTCTCATCAGCACTGTCAGGTTCCTCGAAAGCATCATCTTTAACATCAGAAACAATTTCATCTTTCTCTGTTTTAAAACCATCATTTTCATCTTTCTTGGACGACTCCTTTCTATTCTTTGCTGTTGCTATGATCTCTCTGATAGCATCTGATGACAGAGGCAGTAACCATGACAATCCATCTTTGTCAGTTCCCGATGAATCTGTATTTGATAAATCTGATGAACTACTTCCACGGGAACGATTTCCCAAATTAAGAGGTCTGTTAAGTAATGGCCCCATAGGAGCCTCTGCCAGGTATTTATATCTAGAATGTTCAAAACTGTGAGGACTAGGACCACGGAACTGTACATCACTGTTCTGACTTTCACGTAATCCTTCCCTAGGAATATTACTAACAATCAAACCAGCAGCTATTGCATCATTGAAGCTATAGACTTTGTCGTTCATTAGATTAACATATACATTCTCATTCCATTCAATAATGTTTTTGTCTATGGCCTTCTGTAAGGTAATGATAATACCTTCTCTAGCTAAATCACGAATTTCTTGGCACTGTGATGTAACTATTTCCATCTCAATCATTTCACGTAAGGAGTGCTCCTTCCCTGTGCTAGGGTCAACAAATTTTCTATTTTCACCATCATAAAGTCCCTGGTTGACAGCACTGTACAAACTTAAGCCTTTTGGTGAAAGGATGAATCCTTTTTCCACAGCTTCGGCTAAACTTATTGTGTCACCAGATTGTGGGTTTTTAAAATCTCCAGTGTTTACATCAATCATCCCCAAACTAGCTGCCCGACGCAATGTAATTGGCTGAATCGTATCAGGATCAATGACTTTGGAATTTGATTGGTTTAAAATCCCAGATGAGAACGCTTCTCTCAGCTTGATTCTGTTCTGATCACTTGATAAGATCTCTTCAACGTAAATTTCAACCGAACTCTTGGAATCTACTTGATCTGCTGATGCTGCTGGTATAATATTTCTGCTAACATATTCTGATGTGATAGGTTTCCATATTCCATTGTCTAAATACTTCCCATGAACAGGGTCAATTACACCGTCACTAATAGCGTCATACAAAGATATCACTTTGTCACCAAATAAAATTTCTTTGGCTCCAGCATTGATCAGATGGTTCTGTATACTGTCCTGAATTGTAAGAAGTTTACCAGTGAAAGGATCTTTTATCATTCCAGTTATATCATCAAGCAAACCTTTTTGAATGGCATTTGAAAGAGTTCCTATTCTACAACTTTCTTGTGAGACCGATGTTATTAGTGTATCTATGGTGATACCCTTTGAAGTTTTCTGCCATTCACTTTCTTCATTTTCCAATTGGTCATTACTAATGGCTGGAGTCAACCTCTCAACCAATAGTCCTTTATCTAATGCTGCTTTAAAACTAATCCCTTCTGGTAAAGACTGATCACCTGTACCAATCATATTTGATTTTAATGCCAAGGTCAAAGGAATCCTTTCATCAGAAGTTTCATCATAAAAAGAGACATTATCTACATCCACAGTTCCTTTATCAATGGCCTCTAGAAGAGTTGATTTATCATCATGTAGGGTAAAGTCCATAGTGTCAGTATTTATCAAACAAAGACGAAGTGCTTCTCCAAATTTAATTGGCTTCTTGAAAGAGATTTGTGATATAATCTTTTCTCTTTCTGTATGAACATTTTTTGGGGAAGATTGGCTCTCTGAGGATCTTTGTCTCAAGTTAGATACTTTCAGAATGTTACAAAGACTTCTACCATTCAAAATAAATCCCTTCTCTATAGCTGTTACTAAATCCATAGTTTGATCATTTCCACATTTTAATTGTGCTGTTTGTGGGATAAATATTCCCATATCTACAGCTTGAGTCAAGATCATTATAGTATTGTCAACAGGATCCTTAATCAATGTTTCTTCATTGTCAATTAGCCCAGATAATATAGCTTCTGATAATGGCACACGATCATCACTGGTCATACTTTGCATACGAAGAGTATGCATGTTCAGTAGTCCATAATGCACAGCTTCATCTAATGTAACTCTTGTAAAAGGTACATCTAATACCATATGTTCCTCAATGGCTTTTTCTAGTGGGAATGTCTTCATATGTTTCCTATCCAGCATAGATGCTGTTTTATCACTAATAATTCCTTTGTCCGCAGCTTCAGACAATGAAACAAATTTTCCAGTTTCTGGGTTTTTTACTCGTGACCTTATCCTATGTATCAGTCCTGTTTTCAAAGCTTCACCTAGGGTAACAGACATATTAGTTCTTGGATCATGAAAGGTACAGCGATGTTTTTCAAATATTCCTTGTTCAACAGCCCTCTGAATACCAAACTGTGGCTGAGTAAAATGTCTGCGTCTATTTTGTTCAGTCTGTGATGACATGCTTGTTTCTAGTATCTGTCTCATTTCCAAATACTGATTTATTTTTGAGTCTTTCAGAAGTGTGTCTACTGTAGACAAAATTGGTCGAATTTCATCCTCAAAACTATCAATAATTAGTCCCATTGAAACTGTATCATGAGGTGACAAGTTTTCCATATAGTAACATGTCTCTGGGTCAACGACCCCACACTTTATAGCATCCTTCAGAGATACTACACCTTTGTCAATTAGAATCACTTTAGTGTTTTTATCGTCTACAAATTTACATACAATAGCCTGAGACAATGTCATTCTTAGATTATTTCTCGGGTCACTTATCTTTTTTGTATCTTTGTTGTATAGACCCATTTTGACTATTTGGGGTATTGTAAATCCATGAGATGGAATATCCACTATAAGATCTCCACTGATTTTCTCTCCTATGTCAAGGTCATCAGAATATATTGTTCTCTTCTCTGACCTTGAGAATGTATCATTAAAGCTAACATCCAATGGTACAAATGTGTCCAATTTAACATCTTTGACTAACGTTTGTGATAAATCAATAATTCCAAACTCTATTCCTTGTTTAATATCTATACACATTTTTGACACTTTGTCTATGACTTCTTTGGAGTCAACATCATAGATACCACACCTGACAGCTTCAACAAGTCCTAGTCCAGGACAGTGTATTGCCTGATGTAGTAAGCCTTTGTCCAATGCTGATTTCAAATCATAAAACTCATCACTTAAAATATCATGAATGATGCACTCCTCAATGTTTACAAGTCCTGAGACAGTGGCATCATTAAATGGAACTATTTCATTTGTTTCTGTATTTTTGACAAGAATATCTTCACATTTGATTAATTTTGATTTAATGGTCTCATGAAAGTTGAGAATTTCTCCTGTCCTTGGGTCAGTAAATTTCCTCTGGATAGGATTATAAACATCTTGATGTATAGCATCAACAAGATTTAAGTCAGTACTGCCTAAATTTTGTACAATATATCCCTTAGAAACAGCTTCTGTAAATGTAATGCTCTTTTTATCAGAACACTTATATTTTCCAGTGTGAGGGTCAATAATATTCTCTGCTAATGCACCATCAAGTGTCACCAATGTTTGGTACTGCAAGTTACGAACTAAGAAAGCGGTTCTATCAATGAGACCACTGTCTATAGCAGCTTGTAATGATACTGGGTTTACAGTTCCAGGATCAACAAAAGCCCCATCCTCCTCTATCAAGTCTTCTTCAATAATATCCATAACTCCATACTTTGGCTGGTTAGACAAATCAATCAATATTCCTCTTTCAATACTATCAAGTAATGAGAGAACATTCCCAGAGACTGTGTCTACACACCTTCCAGATGTAATATTTATAAGTCCTTTCTGGAGCGCTACATCTAACTCATGAATAGTGCCTTCCTTTGTATCTCTGACACGAATCAAGCTAGAATCTAACATACCAGAAAATATTGCTTCAGAAAAGGCCAGCTCATTTTCATTATCTGGTGATAGGAATTTTTCCTTGTCTTTAGAATAAAGTCCTTCTTCTATAACCTCTGACAATGTCAGCTGATATGGTGACTTGCATCTAACAACAAGACCTTTACTTAAGGCAAAGTTAAGTGCAATTGGAAGCCCTGATGATAACATCATTCTGCCCGATACAGGATCAATAATACGTTTGTCAATAGCTTCACCAAGAGTTAATATATCCTTACTGACTGGATCACGAACTAAAGAGTCTATGTGAATCAGACCAAGTTCAAGTGCTTCACTAAACGATACCTCTTCATCTGTTTCTATATTGGTTACAGTATTTTTGATTGGAACATATAATCCACTGTCAATCACAGCATCTAAAGTCACAGGCAGATCTGCTTTTAAACACACATCAATTGAATGTTTACGTTTTTCACGTGAGAAATTATCACTTGAACTAGACAATAGCTTATCAGCCTCAAAAGAAACATGTTTGCTTTGTTTTGATAACTTCCTCAAATCAATTTCTGTATCACTATCAACTACAATATTCAGAGTTAAAGCTTTGCTCCATGAGCACCATTTTTCATTTATTGTATCACGGACAAAACACCGATCTGACATTTCACCACTAGTAAAGGATCCTTCATCTATCACTTTTAATATTCCACAATCTAAGGCCTGTTTGAATGTTAATTTATGTCCTGTTGCACTGTCAATTATAATTTTATCCTCTACTGTTTCTGAATCTAATTTACGATTTTCACTCATTAGGAAAGATCTGATTGGCTGACTCAAACGTCTCCCTTCACATTTCATTTTCAACTGATTAATCATGATCTTTTCAGCACTTGACCCAATGTAAATTTCTCCAGTATTTGAATCAACTTGAAGTTTTTGCTCTTGAAGCATTCCAGATTCAAGAATAGAATCAAGATCCATAAAATCTCCTGTGTCTAAGAATTTTACTTCTGTGCTAACAGCATCAACAAGTCCATGTTTTACAGCAGCCCCAAGAGAAAAGTTGGAAGCTGTAACTGGATCGGTAACAAGTCCTGTGTTTGGATCAAACAACCCCCTGTTGTATAACTCAACCAATGAAAAGATTTGTTTTTTAACTGGACTTCCTCCTTGTTCTTTTGATGTATCATTTTCCAGTGCACCAACCTGAAATTTCTCCATTGAGAGCATATTCTGACAGAAAAATTACTACCCTTTCTCTTCAACATAATCTATTTTTCTAAAAGAAATTTTAAAAATGATGTCTAAGTCAGCCAAATCATATCTCTGAATTAAAAAAAAAATAGCAATACTTATCATAACTCCATATCTGCACAATGGTAAAATTTTCAACTGAGAATTCAAAATGATATTCCCTGATAAAAATGAATACAGTGGTAAAAAGGTATCTATGTATACTCAACTCTGAATCTAATACAGAATCTACTTTGCATCCAATAACTTATTTACAGATATTTTTTATCTTTAAAATTTTGTTGAAGAGAAAGTATATATCTTAATGTCTGTGGACAAATAAAATCAATGAATAATTCACAAAAAAGTAGCAAGAAAAGTTGGCAACATCTATAAAACATAAATATAACTAAATTACAAAGAAACATATATAAGAATGTTTATTACAAATAATAGAATCAAACATAAACCTATTCCAATGCATATATTCTCAAAAAGTCAAACATAAATTAACAATCAGCAAGCCAAATTAGCTGTAGCTAAAATGTGAATTATGGAAAAAAATACCCCCCGCTACATATAAATGTGCCTGTCATTTACATGAACCTTTCAATGGTTGTCTTATAATTATTCTGAAATGGTTTTTTTTGTGTTATTTGAAGAATTTGGTGTTGATGGCAAATTTTTTATAATTTTTTTTTTTTTTTTAATTTACAACTTTTATAGACTTGGAACAATGTTGAGCTTGATATGAGATGCATCGGATAGAAATCGATCTACATGTATAAGACTCTGATTTTGGAACTATCAAATACAAAATAAAAGATGAATTTTGGTCTGTTTTGAAGGGTCTTTATATCAACTCAATTTTTAAACATTTACAGACTTTGCATAGAGATTTTTTCAACCCGAAATAGGTCAAACTTTTTGATATTCATTTGCATAAGGTCGTCTTCTATCTGACACAGCTCATATATTGTATAGACACCTGTATGCTGCCCTTAAAATGCCAATTGGATAGTGGTATTACTAGGTTACTGTCTAATTAACGTAATCCCCACATCTCTTTTTATTCATATTAAAACAGGAAAGGGCAATTAGTTATTGATTTTGGACCAATATTTCGACACTGGTAAAACTGAATACTGTAAATTCAGAAATTATTGCGAGGTTTTTATTAATGCGAATAATGCGACTGGGTGACTATCGCAATAATAAGAACTCGCATTCTGATGTCTGTTACATATATCTGTATGCAGATTTTCGTGATATCGCAATAATTAATTTCGCATTTTTGTCCACTCTTGAAAAATCGCAATAATAAATGCACGCAATAATTTCTGAATTTACAGTAATATGCAATATGTTTTGCTCTAGAAGTAATTTTGTTGAGATTTATAACTGATGATATCTGTTTTGTGAAGTGTATATGGTATTTTTTTTTCATTTATATCCAAACCAGACACAAAGAATGATATTGTGATTTCAGTTTTCAGATCAAAAGGACTTAATTTTCCTATGCCCAGTACAATGCAGTCTAAAAGGTTAAATGTATATTTTTCAGATACTGTATATTTTTCAGATACAAAGTATGTACCTTTCTAGACATGTAAATATCAATCATTTTCAACAAAACAACTAATTATAATACAATTGTAATCAACAAAACACCTAGTTATGATATAATTGTAGTTAACAAAACAGAACGAAATATAATATATATCTATATAAAAAATAAATAATAACAAATACACTTAACATGGCAAGTAAATTTCTTCTGACGTCTTTCTACCTTAAATTTTACTTAAGGAATCAACTTGATGCAGTTTTCACATCTTTTGATAAAAATCAAACTTAAACCATGAACAATTCAATATTACAGGTTAAAAAGTTTTCAAGTTTCAGTAAAAAATGGTTACCATTTATTTGTGTATTATATAATTGACTTACTATGATCTAGTCTTATCTTTTTAACTTATTTTGTTGAACGGATAACCAAAAAACCTTTAAAGATGTCGAACAAAACATATTTCAGTTTTAAAAGAACTTATTGGCAATAAAAAATATATGCAAAAAAATATACTTGAAAAAATTAGGTTTTTGTAAAAGCTTATCTTATTTGACTCACTCACACAGTATACTATCAAAAATTACTCTTATATATATTAATTAAGTTTCAGAAATTCTATGACTTAATATATCCCTCCCAATATATAACAACATACACACCATTACACTATTTAAAGCTATTAATAACCATGCATTAGTTACACTCACCTCATCAAAAGGAGTGGAACGGTCCAAAGATCTTCTACCAGTCACTTTCACACCACTATCAAATTCATCAGCTTTGTGGTCTACAGCTGTACCATTAACTGGTTTAGATCGTAGCTTAACAGTTTGTTGTTCCACAACAGATGGAGCCATTGTTTCCTCAGAGATAAATAGATCCTTTGTAGGTGTGGTGGTTTCAGTAAACACCAAACCCCTCTTTATTGCTTCAGGTAGAGTTATTGAATCACCCGTTGTTGTTTGTGTTACCTTTCCTGTAGAGTCTATTACAAACCCAGGTTTAGTGACAAATGTAACATCAGCCTTCACAAGAGGCTGCTTGACTTTTCCTTCAGATACATGTAAATCTGTTGTAAGTGCAGTAGATTCAGTAAATACTAAACCTTTAGCTAGTGCCTCGGACAATGGTAATATATCACCTGTTTTTGTGTTCACTACCTTGCCTTTAGAATCCACTTTATACTCAGGCTTTGTGAAGAATGTTGTACTCTCAGGTTGAGTCTGTTGCTCAGTTTCTAAGGACGGTATTTTACCTTTAGCAAATCTTATTTCTGATTTACTTACAGTACTTTCTGTGAAGATAAGACCTTTAGCTGCAGCCTCAGATAAGGACATTATATCTCCTGTGGATGTGTTTACGACTTTGCCCTTAGAATCCACCATAAATCCAGGTTTAGTGACATATGTAGCACTTCCAGATGTGATTTGAATTTCAGTTGATGTTGTTGAAATCACTTCACCATTTATGACTTTAACATCCATTTTTGGTGCAAATGGTGACCCTTCTTTAACTACTGTATACTGGTCTACTGAAGTTGTAATTAGTTCATTATCAGAAGTGACCTTGGGTTGAATGAAACCAGCTTGTAGAGCTGTATGGAGACTCATTACATCTCCAGATTGAGAGTCATTGAAGGTTCCTTTATCAAAGTCAATCTGTCCTTGGGTTATGGCATCTGATATGGAAATAGGTGATTTTTCATTGCTTTGGTAAATATGCTCATCAATCATTTCTGCTTTATCTATTGACAAGAAGCCACAAATCACAGCTTCATCAACAGACATTATTTCCCCTGTATTGGGGTATTTGTATGTTCCAGTTTCCAAATCAATTTTCCCAGTTTTAAAGGCTTCACTAACAGTCAATGTAGGCTCATTTTTGTATTCGTCACTCTTACCAGGTATAGTTGTGGTAGTCATGGTAACTTGTTCATCATAACTAGTTTGATCTATTGGTATCTTTGTATCAACTATGTCTGTGTAAACAACAGCTCCTCTATCTGCTGTGTGAGGGCTTGCTTTCAATAACACTACTGATCCCCCTTGTTGTGTGTTTTGTCTGGTTACCGGAGACAAGAACTGCCTTTGAAGTGCTTCTTCAATAGACATGGGGATTCTCCTGTCCCTGCCTCCGAATTGCCCGTTTTTTGGATCAATGTTTCCGTGTTGAAAAGCTTGCTGAAATGACATAGTTGTCCCATCTTCTTTTGGACTGGAATATTCATATGGCTGAGATGTGGATGAAATAATCATGCCTGCTCTAACAGCTTCATCAACAGTGTAAATCTTTCCAGTCTTTGGATGTGTAAACAAACCTCTTTCTTCATCTATGTAACCTCTTCTAAGTGCCTCATTAAATGTGTAGTTCTCTGTAGCTTTGGCAGGTGACATTGATATTTTACCATCAACCTCTGTGGCTAATACCATTCCCTTCTTCATTGCATCAGATAATGGCATCGTTTCTCCTCTGCGAGTGTCTTTGTAGTTACCCTTTGCATCTAGTACTCCTCTATTTATAGCTTCAGCTACATCAATCATTTGACCTTGAGATGTATCCATGATCTTGGATATATTGTATGTAATTGCTGGTTTTTCTGATTTAACTTTTGTCTGCACTGTTTTAATTGTCTGAACAACACCAGATACTAGACCAGCCTGTAAAGCCTGTTCCATGGGTATAAATGTCCGGGTCTTTGCATCATAATATTTTGTCATATCAGCATCAATGATACCTTTTTGTATAGCTTGGTCAGCTGTCAGCTGTCTGTTTGTAGATGAATCAAGCACGCCTGTGACATTAATTTGCTTCACATCTTTGGTTTCCTTGTCAACATTTCCATTTTGTTGTAAACTTTCTCCCTTAATCAGGTCAATCTTTAGAGCATCCTCCAGTGGCATTGATGCTCCTGTCTTAGGGTCATAGTAGACATGTTTATCTTTGTCTACAATACCTCGTTTCAGAGCTTCATCAAGTGACATAGTTCTGCCAGTAAATGGATCCTTGACTTCAGTAATCATGGTATCTCCTACAGTTACAATGTTTTCTGAACTACCAGCTGCTATTTCTACCAGACCTTTTTCTGCCGCCATTAACAATGGTAGTCTCTCTCCTGTTCTCAGATTAATAACAATTCCTTTATCTGGAATAAATATTCCTTTCCTGATGGCCTCCTGTAGTGGGATCTTGGTACCAGTTTTAGGATCAATGACAGCTTTGACTGTCATGGAGTCTCGTTTAACTGTAGTCACAAAAGGGAATGTCTGTTCTAACTGGACATAACCCCTCCTGGCAGCATCCTCAAGCTCCAGTGTTTCACCAGTATGTTTGTCCAGGTATTTACATAGCCCACCATCTAAAACACCTCTATTAACTGCCTCTTCTACTGACAGCCACTCTCCTGTCCTTGGATCTTTAACCGACTTGACATTATTGATAGGTTTGCTGCCATCAAGACCTTCTAATTCTTCAGATACAGAGTCAGCTCGCACATACCCACGTTTAATGGCTTGAGGTATGCTTAATTTTTCTCCTGTTTGAGTATTTGTGACTATTCCTGATTTCAAATCCAAAATTCCACTTTGAACAGCTTGAGGCACTGGTATGGTTTGTCCACTTCTAGGGTCAACTATTGTTTGAATGTTAAAAGTACGTCTTTCAGTTATGACTTCTGCTGAAGATGGTGATCGTACCATTTTCTGATCTGCTTTTATTTTACCTTCATGAACAGCCTCAGTTATTGGAATAGAGCTTCCATCTTTTTCTTTATAACGTCCAGTTTTTGGGTTGATGATGCCTATTTCTATGGCAAGTTTGACTGGAATGAACTGTCCCTGATCAGCATCAAATACAGATTTGAGATGGAGTGTGTCAGGACTTGTTGTTTCAAATGTTTCTGTATTAGAAGATTTTTCTCCACTGACTAATCCCATTTTCAAAGCTTCACTGATTGGTATTTCTTCACCTGTATTCGAATTCACTATTACACCAGCATGTAGATCTATGATATTTCTCTTGACAGCATCCTGAAGACTGAGACTGTGACCACTAGCTGGGTCAACAACTGTGTTTATCTTTAATGTTTTCACTTGAGTAATTGTATCTTCTTTGGATTCTCCATACAGCTCTGTGCTTTTCATCTCAGAATCTACATCTTTAACTCTGACAAGTTTTTGATTGACAGCATCCATGATGGGTATGATTCTTCCATGTTCATCATCAAAGTATGTTTTACCATCGTGATCAATGACCCCTTTATGAACAGCATCATGTAACTTCAGCTCTTGTCCTGTATTTGGATCGATAACTGATACAATGGACATTCTCTTCTTTTCTGAGAACATGACATCAGCACTGACACCAGATTTTGAAGTCTGTTCTTTCAAAGTCACACTATCCATAACCTTTCCATCAATGAACCCATAATCTAGAGCCTCTTTTATGCTCATTTCTTGACCAGTCAGCGAATTCTTATATGTGCCATGTTGTATGTCTATAATGCCTGACCTAATAGCCTGATCAAGACTGACATCCTTCCTTCCTGCTGAATCTCTCACACCACGAATATCAACTTTACAGGAAACTTTTTCTGATGATTCTAAGATATCAGAGTCACCCACTCCATCTCTGTTTTTTTTGTGCTTATATTCTGTAATCTCTAAATTATCAGGACCAGTGCGAGTTACGACAGTAGACTGCACATCAATTGGTACAGACTTGTCTAGAGATACTGATAATGTTTTAGATACAGGCTTATCTTTGGTGAAGTAATCTTTTACTTTCATAGCTCCATAAATGGGAGCACCGACAAATGCAACAAGACCCATTTTAGCAGCATCCTTCAATGAAATTCTGATACAAGAGTCTTTACTGATAAATTTTCCAGATTTGGGGTCAATTCTTCCCATGTTCAATGCTTCAGTGAGAGTCATCATTTTTCCTGATTTTACATCATAAATACTGCTATCCCCACTAATAAATCCCAAACGAATGGCTTCTTGTAAACTATGCTTTCTTCCTGTTTTTCTATCAGTAAATTCACCTGTCGAGTCATCAAATACACCTTCAGCTAATGCAGCTGTCAGAGTGAAGCCCTCTGGTGTTTCCTGCACTTCGTCGTCAGGGTCAATCAACTGTTTCCTAATAGCATCTAGAACAGCAATTCTAGAACCAGTAGAGGGATCAGTAAATTTACTACTCTCCACATCAATCAGGCCACGGTTCAAGGCTTGAGAGAATGACAAACGATTTTCTTTTGGTGGTTTTTCCTTTGATCTTGGACGTAATTTGACAGGTGAACTTTTAGTGAATTTATATTCAGCACGATCAACTTCTCTGTGAGGTGAAGTTGGAGGGCTGATATAACCTTCATATATGGCTGCACCTAATGACATAACTTCTCCAGTTTTTGGATCTCTGAATGTACCACTTCTCTCATCCACCATTCCTTGGTCTATGGCATCGCTTATGGAGTAGTGATGATCAACGATCTCACTTTGAACTTCACGATAAGTAGTAACACTAAATCCTGGTTGTGGTATCAGACCTTCATAAAAGGCTTCTCTTAATGTAATCTTTTCTCCGGTTCCAGTATGCTTCAGCTTTCCTGTTTCAGGGTCAAATATTCCACACCTGATTGCTTCATTCAATGAAATTAGATCTCCTGTTTTGGGATCTAAAACACTAGAATTATCAATGTCTATTAACTTTTCCTCAATAGCTTTCTGAACAGTAATAGGTTTATGTTTTCCTGGAACAGAAATCTTCCCTTTAAGTGTGACATTTTTATCATTAGAAACAAGTTCATTTAGTGATACAGGCTCTCTTTCTCCTTTCAGTAAAATTTTCGATGATGAACTATATCTAGGTAAACTTCCTGATTTCTGTTCCTCAGTAGTGACTTTTGTTTCATGAAAGACAGTCTTTGATTCTACAGGAGAAAATTTTACTTGTGAAAGCATTTTTGGTTGTTTAGTTTCAACATCATGCATTTTTCCTACCACCATTGATAATGTTTGCGCAGTTGATAAATCAATGTATTTTCTGTTTACTGCTTCATCAATTGAGATAACTTCCCTTGTTTCCTTGAGAGTAATGGTTCCTTCATCCCAGTTAACATCTATGGCTGGTGTTTTGGATTGTAAATCAGCTGATTCTGCTAGTTCCTCTACTGTATCAGAATCCAAAAGACCTCTCTGTACTGCTTGAGGTACAGTCATTACTTCTCCAGTTGACCTCATGATGACCTTTCCAGCATTCCAATCAATAGTCAGATTATCCTTAGATATAAATGGAGAACTTGTAAAGCTTGTATTAGTTATTGTCTGTTCAGAAATACTATCAGAAACTCTGCTGCCATAAGGTTTGGAGTCACCATTCACCAATGAGGAAGGAGGGGATAAAGGGTAGGAGGGCTTGTAAAAAGAAGATCCCTCAACCTCAGAAGAAAATGAAACACCCATAGTAGGCTTTACATGCAGCGAAGAATGAGAAATATCTAGCGTCTCAGAAGTACTACTCTGAGAAAATCTACTTCTGTCAGGACTTACCACAAAACTTTCAGGTCCATTTAAATCAGGTTCATTTTTCTGAAGAGTAGGAAGTTTCATTGTAGGTTTGATACGATCTCCAGGTTTAGCGTATATAATAGTAGTTTGGGGTTCACCTTCCCCATTCAATGTAAATTTTCCAATTGTTTCAGTCTTATTTGTTTCCTGTTCTGTCACATCTGTTATAATTGGGCCTTTAGATTTTATTTCTGTAACTTCTTTTATAACAGGTCCCTTGGTCTTTGTACTTTTTACAGCATCATAGACTACTTTCCCTGCCAAAATAGGTGCTCCAACGACGGCTAGTAGTCCAAATTTCAGTGCATCCTGAACAGTCATTTTGTCTCCAGTCTTAGAATCTTTAATCTTCCCAGATTTCCTATCGAACAGTCCTTTCTTCATTGCTGAATCCAGAGAAATCATTTCACCAGTTCTTGAATCCAATATAGTGACTTCATCAGAGCGCAGCTTTCCATCAAGTATTGCTTGTTCAATGGGAACAGTTTCTCCAGTGGATGAATCCATAACTGTTCCTCTCTTCTGATCCAGTGAGTCAACAACAAGTCCTTGCTGTATAGCAGATGACAGTGGCACTACTTCTCCAGTGGCAGTGTTTGTCACTTCACAAGTTTTCCCATCTATAATTCCTTGTCGTAAAGCTGTCTTCAGTGGCAGTTTGGTTCCAGAGGCTTCATCAACTATCAGAACCAAATTTCCATCAACAATATTACGATTTACAGCTTCCTGAATTGTTATCCTCTCTCCCAAAATTGGCTCCAATAACTGTCCTCTTTCATCAATAAGTTGTGCTTTTTCTGCATCTAGTAGATTCAAAGGGCCTGGTTTTGAGAATTGTGACCTAAACTGTGACCCCAATATGATATTTTGTTGCTGACATTTTGGATAATTGACACGACCAGTATTGCTGTCTATTAATCCCCTATTGAAGCATTCCTTCAGAGTCACAGGTCTATCTAAAGTAAGACTTATCATCGCTTGTTTATCAATATCAACAATTCCTCTACTGACAGCTTCTTTTAACGTAAGTAGTTGACCAGTTTTTGGATCTCTGACTTTCCCTGATGTTGGATCAATAAGACCTACATGAAGAGCCTCGGAGTATGAGAATCCAGAAGGTGCTGATACAGATTCTGATTGAAGAGTTTTGACATCACCCCTAGTTCTCGTTGTCTCTGTTGTTTCCATTATAAGTTGTGGTGTCCTTCCTTTATCACCATCAATGCCATCATAACTCTGTTCAACGTCTGTGGTATAATTAAGAACCTCATCAAAACTGTCATTTTTCATCCTGTCCTCATCTCTAGCTCCTGACCGCTCTAGTTTTATATCAACCACAGATGGGGCAATACCATTTTCTGTCATAGAAGGTGGAACAGGTTCTTCCATTGAAATATTTTGTAGTCGTTCAATATCAGCTGCATCTGTTGATTTTGATAGACTAATGAAGCCTAGTTTTAATGCATCTTCCAATGGTATTCTACTGTTTGTTCTGGTATCCAGAAATGTTCCATTTTCAGCATCAATCAGACCATTCTTTATAGCTGTCACAGCGGATATTTGCTCTCTGGTTTTAGGATTGATCACAGAAGTGACATTCTTTAATGAGAATGGCAGATTTCCAGCACTGAAAGCACTATGTAGTAATTCTTCTTCCTTTGATCTGCCTGTGACATCAGCATGGATCAGGCCTTTGTTTAGTGCTGTGTTAATTGGCAGAGTTTCTCCTGTACCTGGGTTAATGTAAAGTCCTTCTGATATATCCAATATGCCATTCAAGACGGCATCATCATATGAGATCATGTTCATTGTCCTTGGGTCAATAACACTGCTGATACTATAAGAAACTGTTTCAGCAGTAATTTCCTCTACCAATGTAGCTTCAAATGTCTCTTGTTCATCAGTAATGTGTATACTTGATATCTCATGACGATCTTGAGCAGTTTCTATGTTTGAAGTGGCAATAGCTAACTTCCTTTCTATTGCATCATTAATGGACATCCTCTCACCAGTCACAATGTTGATGTACTGAGCATTTACATTATCAATTATTCCTTCCTCAACAGCTTTTTGTATAGATATGGTTTCACCCGTTCTCGGATGTACAACCCATGATACCATAAGTGTTGTCATTTTTGTAGTGGTCATTTTGCTTCCATCCCCTTCATCATTAGAAGTGACTGATGTGAGCTCAGCATCAATAAGTTTTCGTTCAATAGCATCTGGTACAGATAATTTCTCGCCAGTTCTTGTATTTATGTACAATCCATTTCCCTCATCTAAGATACCATCTTTCACAGCTTCAATTACAGGGACAAATTTTCCTGTAATTGGATGTTTGACACTTTTTAATTGGAATGTTTTTGTCTCTCTGAGAATGTCCCCTGTAGCTACAGGCATAGTGCCAATATCCTCAGCCAGAACCCATCCACTATCAACAGCTTCACTGATAGGTATAGACACTCTTCTGCCCTGTTGATCAAATGTCATATACAGTCCTCTTTCTCTATCTAAAATTCCTTGATTGACAGCTTCTGTAACAGATATTTTTTCTCTTGTTCTTGGATGAATGACACTAGTAATTGCAAATGAGCGGATTTCTTTAACAGATGTATCAGATGTATGTGGTTTGTCTGTTTCTCGTCCTGTGGCAAGACCTTTGGCTATGGCTTCATTAATAGTAAATTTATGACCAGTCAGTGGGTGTATAAAGCATCCTTTTGATAGATCTAATATTCCTCTTTTAACTGCTTCTTGTGGAGATATCCTCTCCTTCGTACGTGGATCGGTGATGCTTTGTACTTCAATATGGCGAGTCTGGCTCACCACCGATTCAGCAATGGCAGGTCTCGAAATTGTTGTTGATGTGAAGGAGAAGCCCTCATTTCCTTTCCTAACTATCTTGGATTGAATTTTGGAAGCTCCTGGCTCTGGTAAAGAATCAAAAGAATCAAATTCTATTTCTTCAGAGCTTTCTTCGTCTTTCTCCACTTGAAGAGATGTTGGCGGCCATTCTGTGGACAGTCGTAAAAGTCCCTTCTGTATTGCTTCCTCCACAGGCATTGTTGACCCTGTGTGAGGATCGCGAAATGTTCCGGTTCTTTCCACCAACAAACCCTGAGAGAGGGCTTCTGATACAGATATTGGACGAAAGTTGACCTCTTCATTACCTGGTTGTAGTTTGGTTTGAACAGAGGTATAGGTAATAGCTGGACTTAGAACCTCTAGCACAGTCTGAGCATCATCTGTTGATATAATTCCTTCCTTAGCTGCCATGTTCAGAGTCATTACTCTTCCTGTTCTAGCATTAGTTATCTCCCCTCGTTCTGGATCTAACATTCCAATCTGTATCGCTTTGAGAAGGGACACATTTTTGCCGCTTGCATCCTTCATGGATGTATCACGTGTCAATTTTTCTACCACATCTTTATCTACCAACCCCTGACTGGCTGCAGCTCTAAGTAGTACTCTCCGTCCAGTTCTTGTATCAACAAAATCTCCATTGCTTGTTATTATGCCTTTTCGCATTGCTTCTGGTACTGTCAACATTTTATTTGTAACTGAGTCCTTTACACATGGTCTTGCTAAAAGGACTTCCTCACTGACCAATTTTAAGTAGCCTTTCTGAACAGCTGATGCAATAGGTTGGGCAGGTTCTGCACCAGGTGATACAAACAATCCTCGTGAATCAAGGATACCATTTTCTATTGCTTCTCTAATTGAGAAAACCTCTCCAGATGATGGAATCATCACACATTTTGTACTGTCATCTAGAACTCCATTGTCAAGTGCATCAGAAAATGAAATCACACGACCTGAGTTTGGATCAATTAAGTGACCTTTCTCTGTTATCGATCCTTCTACAATCGCCTTCGGTAGGTAAAGTGGTTTACTCAGAAACTGTCTCTGATAGGCTTGGTCTAAGGGTAACTTCTGACCATTTGACCTATTGATGTATAATCCAGATTCTGGGTCAATCAGACCTTTACTCACAGCTTCCACTAGTGAAATGTATTCTCCTGATGCAGGATCTTTTATTTCTTTCTTTGACGGGTTCAAATGTCCTTTTTCAACTGCTTCTAAAATGGTCATACTTTTTCCTGATAATGGATCAATGATCTTTCCGGTTGATGAGTCAAACAGACCCTTTTCTATAGCATCAGCTAGTCCTAATGCAGATTCTAGTACTGATAGATCAGCACTACCAAACACAGCTTGGGACTGTGTGATAGTGGTAACTGTTACCCCATCTCCTCCTAGGTTTGTTGCAGTTTGTTGTGAGATCAGACCCTTAGACACAGCCTGATGTAATGGAATGTTCTGGCCCGAGTTGGGTTCTCTGTAAGTCATTTTAACAGGATCAAATATTCCTTTCTTCATGGCATCTAATAATGGAATTTGCCTATTTGTAACAGGATCTGTAAGTCCACAAGGTGAGTTCAACTGCTGCAGTAAACCATCTGATATATAACCTTTACTGTATGCTTCTTGTAGTGATAACCTTCTACTTGTTAAAGGGTCTACATAAAACCCTGTTCTAGAGTCAAACAATCCAGTTTTAATAGCATCCACTAAACTAACTTGTCTTCCTGTCTGAGGATTAAGAATGGCTGACACATACAATGTCATTTGACTTGGTGCTATACATTCTTGTTTAACTGTCACTAATATTTGTGAAGTATTGGACATATGATCTTCAGGTGGAGCACTCTGATGTAAAGCCTGAACACTTGTAATACTAGCAACCTTCATGGACAATCGGTTAGGTGCTAAAAGTGGAGGTGATATCATTCTTTTTTGAACTCGTGGACTATCATCTACATCCATACTGTCCATGGTACTTTCAGTTTTATCCATGCGTGGAGTAGAGGTACCGATAGGACGATCCACCATAGCTGTCACTTTACTAACAAATGATTTGCCACCATAACCATTGGTGGTTGTCATTGGTGTTGGGTATCCTTCAAATTCTGATAACTGATGAAAATATCCTTCCATATCCTCATCAACTAACATGGATGATCTTTTGGCAAGTTCTGCACGGAATGTACGTAATAATGGAATTTCTTCATCTATAACCATTTGGAACTGAAAAAGATCAAACATAGGTTAGTCAGTGTGTTATCATAAAACTTAATGCATACTGTTATTTCTTAGTTTTTGGCAGGTTTTTGCAACACTTGTAGAAAGATAATAAAGAATCCAACAGAAGAAAGAATTTTCACAGTTTATTGGAAGGAAAGAAAATCCATGCATCTTATAAAAATCATCATTATTCATATTGGCCTTGTCCAGTGAAATTGGAAGTGTTTGGTTTAAAAAATTCCAATGCTGTAAGATAATTTCAGATAAGGAGGAAAATCATTACTCTTACAATTGTAAAAGTGTAAACAACATTAAAGACAGCAACACCTGTAAATCACCCCAAAGTGATGGTTTATTCTGGTCTACATGTCTATAACTCAGACTAGTATCTGTCAAAGATTTACAAACTTTTGTAGGTTTTTAAAAGTACATGGAACAAGAAATGATTGTAACAGGATGCTGTTACGAAGTCTTCCAAACGAAGCTCCCATAATTCGTAATTCCCATAGTCGCCCGACATTGAGCAAAGTCCAGTGAAAATTGGTTTGGTCCAGCCTGGGGACTAACCCTGTATATCATTCAAATCATCTTGGCATGACAAACCAGAATATATATGGTTTAGGGGTGGGGATCTCGACCATTTACAAGATATTAGAACTTTCTCAAATGGCAGGGGGTCGGGATGACCCCTGGGGATTAATCCTGTATATCATTCAAACCATCTTAGCATGACAAACAAGAATATATATGGTTTAGGGGTGGGGATCTTGACCACTTACAAGATATTAGAACTTTCTTAAATGGCATAGGGTGGGGGTGACCCCTGGGGACTAACCCTGTATTGCATTTGATTTGCTTTATCATGACAAACCAGAATATATATGGTTTAGGGGTGGGGATCTCAACCATTTACAAGATATTAGAACTTTCTCAAATGGCAGGGGGTCGGGATGACCCCTGGGGACTAACTCTGTATATCATTCAAACCATCTTAGCATGACAAACAAGAATATATATGGTTTAGGGGTGGGGATCTTGACCACTTACAAGATATTAGAACTTTCTTGAATGGCATGGGGTGGGGGTGACCCCTGGGGACTAATCCTGTATTTTATTTCATGTGCTTTATCATGACAAACCAGAATATATATGGTTTAGGGGTGGGGATCTCGACCATTTACAAGATATTAGAACTTTTTCAAATGGCAGGGGGTCGGGATGACCCCTGGGGACTAACCCTGTATATCATTTAAACCATCTTAGCATGACAAACCAGAATATATATGGTTTAGGGGTGGGGATCTCGACCTTTTACAAGATATTAAAACTTTCTCAAATGGCATGGGGTGGGGGTGACCCCTGGGGACTAATCCTGTATATCATTCAAACCATCTTAGCATGACAAACCAGAATATATATGGTTTAGGGGTGGGGATCTTGACCACTTACAAGGTATTAGAACATTCTTAAATGGCAGGGGGTGGGGGTGACCCCTGAGGACTAACCCTGTATTTCATTTAATGGGTTTTATCATTTAGAACATTTTCAATTAAAAAGATTGTGTCTATCACAAAAGGTTTTCAATTTATAATCATTTGAAAATTTTAAAAAATAAAATCCCATAGGGTTCTATAGTAAAACCCTCTTTTGTTTTTGCCCCTCAAAGTACCCCTTTATAAACCCCATTGCACAAACAAAACCCTGATTGCACCACTAGACATGTTAGTCTAACATATTGTGAAACCCTAAGTTAATCTGACAAGCGGTTTTGGAGAATGGGTGCGGACAAGTTCAAATTTAAAAGCGGCGGAAGAGGAAGAGGAAGAGGAAGAGGAAGAGGAAGAAGAATAATAATAATAATAATAAGAACTGAGCAAAAACAATAAGTCTTCCCAAACTTCGTTTGGGAGACTTAATAAAAGACATAGTATAAGGATCTATCTTGGCCCCATATTTCAACTTTGTTGAAACAGATGAACTCATGTAAATTTCATTCTAAAATTTCAACAAGATTTTTTGTTTAGACTTTGTTTCATGATTATGAAATTATGGTAGCCCAAAATTCCAATTTTTTGGGAATATTTTAGTCCATTTATCTGTAAAATATGGGAAAATGAAACAAATATGCTAAAAGTTTTTTTATTTCTTGATCATGAAAAAGTTTCTTTCCAAGTTTTTTAAAACTTCAAAAAATTTAAGTGTTAAAAACCTTTAACCAAAGATCGAGCCTAAATGTTGACAATGGAGACAGAATGAAGGGTTGCTATGTCTTGCCTTTGTAACTTTCATTGAAGGACAATCTTTTGACAAGTGATTTGGAATTTTCCAACAGTTGTTTGTAGTATAAATGACAAAGCTACAATACATCATTAAGGGCTATTCCATTAAAATGTATGTGGGAGGGTAGGAAGGGAAGTTTAATTATAGAATGTGGGTCATGGGTCTTTTTTCAGTATGCGTCTATTACCATTATGCAAAATTATCTAAAAAATGGTTCTTGGTTGTAGGGATATTTTGAAAGTCCCTTCCTACCCTCCCACATACATTTTAATGGAATAGCCCTAAAGAGTATTTTTCTTTCATTCAAGGCAAATTTATTTTTGGCTGATTTGCGTAATTCACATTCATTTTATTGTAATATATTTGTGAGTCAATATTATAAAAGTATTTAGTTGCTATTCTATACCTTCAAATTAACATTTGATTCAGATAAAATCCTTGTAATTTCCTTCAGTCTGTGACTAATCCATTTCACCATATCCATATATTGTTTATTCACTATGTCAAGTTCTGTTTTCACTCGCTCTGCTCCATCCTCTCGTTTTTGTTTCTTTGTCATACTTTCTACAAGGGCAGCATCAATGTCCTCTAAGCTAGTTTTGTACTGACGTAATCTTCTGTCGTAAATCTACAATCAAATTTACAATTTTGCTTATTGAAAACTATTGCATGATATTTTGTGAAATTTCAAAAACAACTTTTATTGTTTGTTTTTATAACTGTTATTTGCATAATTCATATTTCTTTTTAAATCAACATCTTATGTTATAGTTTATTCTTCTTTAAATACAGGCATTGAAATCTTAAAATTCAATTAGCAAAATAAACCTTATTTACCCTTAGTCACACTTTTTATCATTTAATATTATTTATATGCATAACACCAAAATCTATCCTTACAATAAGTGCTACCCATCATATACTCTTGCCTTGGTGACAACAACAAATATTTCCTTTGAAGCATCTTTGAGTGAAAATATATCAACTTTCAACAAAAGTGTTACAGAGCAGTATATTAAGCAAATACTTCTAGTTAGGCCAAGCATAGTTAGCATTTTAATAATTCTAGCACGATATAATATACATGTATAAAGTTGTTTGAAACTGTACATAAAATACACATTTATCATTGAATATATTTTATAGTTTATATAAAAACAGACAAAAAGATTTCACATAATTTTGATGACCCCACCTATTTCTGTATGCCAATATCTCTTTACTATAGGGAACATACCAGATCCTTTACTGATGAAATGCTTCAAGAATATGATTGTAATTCACTAATTACTTTCATCAGATATAACAGCCATATCAGAACTTCTTTTAGCCATTGATAAAATGATATTGTATTTAACAAAAGAAAAGCACTGACAAGTTTGCCTTAAAACTCTCTGTCACTGAAGGAGCTAAGACTAAAACGCACAAAGCCATGCAAGCAAAAGTAGCATCATATAATGCTTTAGATATGGCACTACTTTAGTATATATAATAAAAGCAAAAGCACTGCAATGTCATGAGCACACTACAAAGCCATGTTAAATCTGCAACCATACTACTAAAAATAACCTAATGACTTTCAAAATATATGCCAAAATATGATACTGTATTTGCTGTATAACTGTATGGTTTAATTTTCTTTCAAATATCTTATTCAAATTAATCAGAATTCACAGATAAAGAAAACCAGAATTCAAACTTGTTCAGCAATTTTTTCACACCAAAAAAAAATCAATAAACTGAACTTTTGACAACTTATGATAGACAATATGGTATTTCTACTGATCAGTTGAAAAGGTGTTAACCATAAGCATAGTAACTGTCAGTACTTTGGTAAAATAAATCATATCGTGATGATTTCAAATACCCCCTGAACTAAGGACCTATTTATAGCTAAATGAAATTTAAAACAGCAAATACAGTAGCTATAAACACCAATGAATTGTAATCTATTAACATTTTTATAGCCTATATAATTTAGTCACTGCATTCATATATAAAGTGTACAAATATAATATTTAGTTGCATGGTTATAGTTTAGCATATTATGTTACATACTAGATAGATAAAATCTCACCTCCTTCAGTTTGGGTGACTATCGACGCCATGGTAACCAAAACAGGTATGCGACTACTTACATGGAAACCAACAACTGGTAAGCGACTACTTAGACAAGGGTTGCCCTCCATCAATCGATGGAAGAAGGAAGTAGTCAAGCCGTGCATGAATTGTGCTAAGAAAGGCAAACCCAAATTAAAAGCTGTGCTGTAAGCAAAAACCCTGAAATCAAGGCTCTTATCACAGAAAAAAGTAACAAAGAGAAAAAAAGGAAAGAATTTGGCAGAGAATTAGTAGAGATACTACATAGATCACGCTCACTTTATCACTTGCATACCAACAAGACATATATTCTACTGTTAGTATCTACTAGATTAATTGTATACCTTAGCCTCTCTGATAAATTGTCCTCCATATTTGTTTACTGACTCTAACTGGTGCTGGTGTTCTCCAAGACCATTGTATATTGCCTAAAAACAAATAATGGATACAAATAAAAGACAAAAGAATGAAACATATTACAATATTATTCTTTATTCTATAAGCTCAGGAAATGTTTTGACTAGCAGAAAACAAGACAACTGTTTACAAGAATTTTTGTTCCTAATTTCAAAGATTGAAAATAAGAAAACATGGGTTTTAATGATGATCAGAAATGACAGAATTTTAATGCTGCTATACAGGTATTAACTATAAAAATATCTTTTATATGCTGCACTTTTTTTAAAGGTCAAATCTATCATATACCTTTGATAAATTAATTTCACAATAGAAACTATATAATATAACTGAAAAGCATTATCAATCATTTTGTACATTCTTATTCATCAATGAATCTAAAATTTTCACAATATAAATTAAAATTCTTTGACCAAATATCATTATGTCACCTAAAATCCAAATAATGGACATTTTATGTATGTTATATGGATGAAGCATCATCATATTTATATGGTTCAATCTGTTGCATGTAATATTGTGCAAGCCTAACAAAAGATAGTTGATGGACATATGCATATATGTGGTTTGAACCTTACCATAGATGGTTCAATCTGTTGCTGGACTTCCTCGATATTGTTTGTAAGGGGAGGTAATTGATTAATTTTCATCTGTAGGCGTTTCATCCATTGTTGTTCATCCTTTACACCACTGGTATACAGGGATAATAAGTTAGAGGAAGATTCGAATACTCTTCTCCTGTAATTATATAGATTTTACAATCAAATTTTAATTTTCAATTAATTAAAAAATCTAATTGACACATGTTAAAACATAAATTCTACTGTGTCTATTTAAATTTCTATATGGGTTATAACTATAAAGAAATAAAACTGTTTATCTCCTCCCATTAAGTTAAAAGCCATTTTCTATCAATATAAATTCAATGGCAGTCACTTTGGTGAAGAATGCAATAGGCTTGTGATTGATAAACTATTTTCTTATCCCATGCATTGTTTAAAACTAACCTGACTGAGATAAGCAGGGAGTTGTGTTAATAATACAGCCTTTTCTTAATGTTATGATTTTTAGATCATTAAATCCTTTCACCAAATATATATTTCCCTCATTTTAATTCCTTTTGAACCATTTTGCTCTGGATACTGTATTTTGGTCATAAACAAGCTTCTGTCCCAATTTCATAATATTCCATGTATGTTTGACAAAGTTATTGATGTCCAAAAAAACTTTAACCACAGACTGAACCTAAATATTGATGCCGCCGATAGAATCTAGGATCGCTGCCTCGCATTCGCGAAATTTTAAGCTTGACAAAAAATTAATAAAAAAAAGCCTATCAAAATTTCATAAAAGAAGTGTGAATTAAAAAAAAACCTATCAAATCGTTGACAGTGTGTTACAAAAGTGACAGCCACATACAATAAATTCATTAACTTGATTGTTTCTATTTAAATTTCTATCCTCTAGGAAAAGTACCTTTCAACAATTTGTAATATGATGTGTTCCCATCGTTGTCTGAGGCCATCAACCTCCTTATCAACAGTCTCCAGATCATTGTGACGAGATGTGCCTGGTCGACAGTGTTTTAGAAGAACTCTAAGATTTTCTACATCTTTTGATAATCTATCTAACTTTGGCTGCTGCTGTTGTATAGATGAATCTAAATCCTAGAAAATTAGCCAATGGTTAATGAAAACAAGCTTCAATATTGTAACATCCTTCTGACTTTGACAAAAATATACCAAGTGTTCATAAAAAAAATAACAGTATATGACTTCAAAATGAAAATTAAGGAAAACATGTAATTTAATGTTTTACTTGCCAACATCAATAATTGGTTTTAATGTCAGAAATATCATTTTCACACAAAACTTAAACAGAGCCAGAAAATATATATTTGAAAATCTAAAATCTAATTCTATATCTACTGTTACTTTGATGGAAATAAAAATGAACTTCAAGTAAATCAAAAGATTTTTTTAAAGTTAAATTATAAACAAAAACAGTTTTAAAATATCAACAAAGAGTATTAGATACATACTTGGAGTTCTTCATGAACTTGTCTAAATGTATCCGGATCAGCTGACATGTTGTCATGTGACACCAGAGCTATCTCATAGTCTGCTACTAACTGTCTCATCTGCTCTATGCCAGTTAATAAAGAATCTGTTGCTTTTAATCTGTAAAAAATAACCAATAACTTCCATTACAAATAAATTCTATCATTGTAACAAGAAAAAATGCTTATGAGGTTTCTACCATTGAAACAAGAAAAAATGCTTATGAGGTTTTATACTGGTAAACTATGAAGAGGTATTTTATTGGATATTCCAATAATGAACCGACACATTTTTCTGTCTAAATGAACATTATGCAGAATTTTTCAATCTTTTAAGAATTCAAATTTATATCAGATTTTACAGACCATGCTCAACCATATCTTATGGTAAATTGGAATGGTTTCCATCACATAATTACCAATCTGAGATTCATATTTGACCTTAGTTGTATCGCCCCATTTTGACCTATGTGAGAGGTCATATTGCATTTAAGTGTTTTACTAGTACGACTTTTACCCTGGAAAGGTAAAACTATATATAGGACCACAGCATAATATTTACCTATCGAAGTAAACCCGTGAGAGAGATCTTATTTGATCCCAACGTTGTACCACAGCATGATATTTACCTATCTAAGTAAACCCGTGAGAGAGATCTTATTTGATCCCAACGTTGTACTACAGCATGATATTTTGATTCTGCTATATGAGATTTATGAGGAAGACTTGCATAGGTAGATTTCAGGACATCAACTCCATTCTCTAACTCGCTAGCATTGGCCTCCCATACCTGAAGTAAAACAAGTTTTATTTCAATTCTATTTATTAAACATGTTGTAGGAAGATTTTATTATTCTGATGTAATATCTTACACATTTTGTTTTTTATCATATCAATGAAACCATAATAAGTTCTACTAGTCTTGGCATCTAATTTTGGTTATGTAGCAATTAACGCAACAAACATTACTATGGAACTTTAATTTTTTTGTTAATTAAAAAAATTAATTTGATTCAGACCAGAAAGCTGACTTAACAAAATAAGACTTACCTATTTTTTTATATTCAACATCTATAATAAGTATCTTGACATACTTTTAGTTTTATCTTAAATGACATTTTAAGCTAAACATTTTCTAAATAGATTGATTGATTGTTGGTTGCTTAACGTCCAGTGGCAAATATTTCATGCATATTCAGGACGATTTTCTAAATAGAGGATGTGGTTAATAGTTTATTAATCGAACCTTTTGTTGTTCCACGATATGACGAAGACCAAGTTTGTCACGAGGTAGATGATCCTGGAGTCTCGACATCAACTCCTGTTCACAGTCCATGAAACGTTTATTAAATGAATCAACTTCATGGATAAGCTTCTGATCAGGAGATTTTGTCTTATGTGATTCTGTACAAAATATACAACATAATGTTATAAGTTAAAAAAAAAAAAAAAAAGAAACATTTTATACATAATGATTTTTATTTAAATGACAGTTTTAGTACTCCACATGTCATTCTGACTTTTCTTTTATGTTATTTAAGTTGTATAAGTCACAAGTTTAAGAGCATCTAAACATAAATATGTCTTTTCAAAGTGGTATCCATTTTTTTTGGTTTTATAACTTATCAGTTTTTTTAACATATAACTAACATATGTGGTATTCTTAACATGACATATTGAATAAATACATAGACTTATTGTATAATATGTAATAATCACTGATACATAAAACACGACTAAAAAACATATGGAATTAATACCCCAAACTGTAACAATCATCGTTGAATGAAAAATCTTAACACAGCTAAGAAAAGTGGTAAAATCCTTTTATTAATGAAGAATATGACAATACATGCAAATTATTTTTACATAATTTTTCATTATTTTTAAATCATTTTTGACTTATGGATTAAAAATATTTCTTGGCAACTAGAATAAACAGCTCTTTACCTTCTTCTTGAGCAGTTGCTGAAAGACTTAGAAAGATTTGGTTACATTCTGCTAATTCTCCCCTTAATTTTCTCATTTCATGTGTGGTCTCTCCTACTTCTGTGATTAACTTCTCAGCATCTTCATTTACAGTTCTCCAAAACATCTCCCTCCTTCCTGGCTCTAAACTCATAAACTAAAAAAAAACAAAAAAAATGTAACTAAGTGTCCTTTTTTCAAAACTTAACTATTTACATCATAAGTATTTCATTTTGTGCTAGTACATTACTGCTTTTACTATTCTCTCTAACTTTCATCTTTGTTTTACTTTATAGTGTCTTAGTATAAGATTGTTTACATAATTTAGTTTTCTCAATCTATGCATTATATAATTTAATATGCAAAAAAAGCTGAAGTTTTACTGAATTTTATGTAGATGAGAGAAAAATATTCTGAACACTGAATTTGAAATGTTTCATTGAAATATACCTTTAAAAAAACATTTTAAACATCATGAAAATTTTTCAAAGACATCTCTTTCCCTTTTCTTTTTTAGAGTTCAAACATAGTTGCACTGCAAGGAGGTCCGACTTCTTTTTTAATCTTCTATCAGTGGTTAAAAATAACTTCAATACCTGTTTAAGATCCCAGTTCTTTATGACCCTGACTGTATTCAATATCATGTTGTGTTTAGTGGACCTCTGTCTCATTTTCCATAAACTATGTAAATGTTCAAATTGTACATGAAGCCTACAAAAAACAACCACACAATTTAAACATCAAGGAAGACCAGCGCAAAACAGTTGATTTTTTAAAAGGATTGGCCTTCAACATTCAAGATCTTACAGCAAATTAGTAAATTCTTTTTTGTTAATTTAAGTTGCTTTCAAAATATACCATAATTTGTAGGCAGTAAGATTTTTATTTGGTAACTGTAAATTCTACACATTTGTTTTACATTAAAAGTTTTGTCATCTAAGAAAAAGATATAAAAGTATCATATACCTGTATATGTGTGACCTACCTCTCAGCCTGTGATATGGCATCTTTATTTGGCGGGGGAATGACAAAACATATAGATGGCAACAATTCCTCATCACCATTTGACAATGCAACCTATAATATTGAAAAAATTTTAACCAACCTTATATTTATAGAACTATTGCAATTTTCCTAGAAGAAATTTTTTAAAAGGATATTTATAGGTGTTTTGTTGTTATAAAATCTCAATATTACTAAATTAATGGTGTTTTCTAAATAATGTTCTTCTTTGCACTTTGCAGAGATAAGAAATGTGGCTTATGACTTAAAACAAAAATTTTACCCCCACATTTGTCTTCTTTTTGCAGGTCAGAAACTTGGACAGCAGTCCTTGTTTGCATAATAGTTTTTTTTTCAATTTTAGAATTCGGTGTTAATGGCAAATATTTGGTTCTCTCTGTTATAATTATTCAAAACTTATGTATATATGTTAACCATAACAACCTTGTCAGAAGTTTGACATTTTCTCTCACAAGGTTACAGGTTACAGGAAACATCACTTCAATCAGACACATTATTCACTTTAATAGACTGCCTGCAAATCAGTCTTAATTTTAATCCTAAATGCTGAGTGTTTGGTAGAGAAGCAGAAAGTATCAAGTTTTAAAGTCTTTGATTTTACCAAATTTATGATCAATTAAGTTGACTGTCAATTGTCTAGTTTTAAAATCTCATCCAAAAGCTATCAAAACTTTTAACGCCATATAAAATTCATTCAACTCATATTCCCTGTTAAACAAGTATTTCAATTAACCAATTACCTTCCACTTGGTTCTGCTTGAAGTATCTAATAACTCATATTCTTGTCCTCTCTGTAATATTTCCTGAAACAATATTTTATAGTATAACAAGAATTCATGCATTGTCTTGCTAAGCAAACTCCCCCCATTTTTAATTATCTGAAAACAGGAAGAAGGCATCTAACAGATCCTAAAACTGCTCACACAACTAATCACTGCCCACCTATTTGTGAATAAAATATTGTGTGTAGGTTTCATGAAAGCTATTACATAAATTTAAAACATATAAAAACTCTATTAATCTAAGGATATCTGTATGTCCACAAAAAATTGTACTGTTCTAATAAAGGACATTTGTCTGTAGATGAACATGAACTATACAAACTTTTTGGTGTCTGTATGAACATAAACATGAACTATACAAACCTTTTGGTGTCTGTATGTATATAAACATGAACTGTACAAACCTTTTGGTGTCTGTATATACATAAACATGAACTTTGCAAACCTTGGTGTCTGTATGTACATAAACATGAACTGTACAAACCTTTTGGTGTCTGTTTGTACATAAACATGAACTATACAAACCTTTTGGTGGCTGTATGTACATAAACATGAACTATACAAACCTTTTGGTGTCTGTATGTATATAAACATGAACTGTACAAACCTTTTGGTGTCTGTATATACATAAACATGAACTATACAAACCTTGGTGTCTGTATGTACATAAACATGAACTGTACAAACCTTTTGCTGTCTGTATGTACATAAACATGAACTATACAAACCTTTTGGTGTCTGTATGTACATAAACATTGAACTGTACTTTCAGAGGTAACATGTTCAGTTCTTTTTTCTAATGGAATAACTTCATCACTAGTCTGGATCAAGTTTGCTATTTGTTTATCAAATTCTGTTAACTGTTCTTGCATTTTATGTAAATCACTTATTTGTCTTTTGGCATCATCAATGCTTAAATTTTCTTGTCCATATATTGTATTAAGAAGTTCTGAACATTGAGTCATTTCAGATCCGCACTGTCGACACTCTTGAAAGAACTGATGATAGGTGGTGATAGATTTAACATGGGATTCCAAACATAATGTTAATTGTAACAGTAATGACCACTGTGACTGCATCTCCTCCATGTAGGCTTTTATTGTATCAGCTGCTGGGTGTCGGTCAAGAACTAGCGCTGTTCCTCGCTCCTGTACAGAGTTGAACTGAACTTCTCTCAATTCCAATTCATGGATCAAACTCTGTAACAATAAAAATCATCAAATTAAACCTCATGATATTATTTGTAGCATCAAATATTTTTGTTTTGTAAATAAAACTTTTTTTAAATATTCACTCTTGATACAAATTTAAATCTATTTTGATATGAGGTGAAAAATGTACATTTTCATAGAATTTGAAATTATTTTTCTGAATTTTCAAAAAATTTTAAATAAATATGTGTGGGTATTGGAAATGGACTTGAAGTACAGTATGTCAATAATTTCTGTAAAATCATCAAGTTTTGATCATGCTCTGTGTCAGCAAATGTGATGTGCTATATATAGGTTGACTATCAGAAGCTTAAAAGCCAATAACACTGTTTATAAAAGTTATTTAATTTAAAAAAAAAACTATGAACAAATGCTAAATGAGGGTACTCTGTGAAAATACCCCCCCTTAAAAAATGAAAGAAAATAAAACAAAAACAAAAATGCTAAAATTTGCTATCTGGTACATAGTACTTCTACATATATATCATGGATAGCCTAATTCTTTTTTTTACCATCAATCTTTTGAAAACCAATTTCCAATACAAATATGTGATCTTGTGAACATATTCAATAATTGCTTTCTTTTTAAGCACTATTTATAAACAGTGTTTCATTACGTTCAGCTGTTCACACAGAACATCTAATGAGAGAAGGACACTTACTGAAGAAATCATCTTCTGTACATTAACATTCCAGAACATCCAACAACACTGGTTTATATTGTCAAACTCGGGCAATAAAATATTTGTTATTCTCAAAGTCAATTTACTGGCCTAACAACATGCAAGTTCTAAAAGCAATATTACATCATGCCTATATTGGACTAACCATTGAGATAGAACGGAAATCATGCATGGTGATGAAGTGACATTGATATTTGGAGTTTTTGTATAATATTTTTTGGAAAAGAATGCTTTTAGTTGACACTCTAAAAGATAGCGTTAGTTACAAATGCCTAACATGTAAACACTCAAACCTTTTGAAGTGGTGACTGAAAATTTCAACAAACCAAATTCATTAAGCAACTTAATACTAATCCTGGGATGGTAACTAAATTCATTGTAACCCTTGGAAACAACCTACATCCAATTCCATTGATAATGTGGAATACTCTCAGAATCAACGTTAAGCATAGTGACATAGATATTTAATTTTTTATATGTAAATTTTCATGATTATAATAATGATGTGTAATGTTTTGTTGGTTAAAATTATTGCTAAATTTTTCTTGAGTGAAATAATTGGCAGCAAAATGGTGAAAGACTAGTGATCTTTAACTGTGTATGTTGGCCAATCACTTTTTCAGTTGACCAATGACATGCTGAAAGCTAGATTGTTATAATTGCCTATACAATAATATATAACTTTTTTTTCAGGTTTTTAATTTTTTTTTTATTCTGAAATATATGTTTTATTTACACAACTATTTCATTATTTGTGTATGTGTGTGTGTAATTTAAATTCAAAGATATATAAGCCTTATATGATGATAATTACCTTATAAGCACCATCTGTGGTGTGAGGGTCTGTATTCATGTTTATTTCTCTTGTAACTTGTTGGTCTTCTTTGTCATTCAACCAGATCAGTTCCTGCATGGCTGTCTGTAAGAATTCTCTTAAAGAATCCAAGCTTCTGGAACGTCTAGTTGAGGTTTTCTAGAATTGGAACATTTTAAAACCAATAAATATTTACATATAACATAAAATCAGGATTCATGCACATTTTCATCATAAAATAGAAGGACATTTAAAGGAATTTCATAGCATAATTTTCCAATTTTCAAGGACCAGCTGTTCAATTTTCTAGCTCTTACAATAAAAGTAATATTCACACAATCATTATATGACCAGCACATGAATTCATGATCTATATTCTTTAAAAGATTGATCTGATTATTGTTTGCTTTATGTCCATTGGCAAGTATTTCATGCATATAAATCGAATAATTATAAAATTCTGTTTCTTCTGTGTTAAACATATGTTGATAATAATCAGTGTAGCAAAGACTCTCAAAAACATTATTTTTCAACTTTCAACTATTTAACAAGATAATGACTTTTATTATTATTATTATCAATCCATATAAAAAGTAATTTAGTGTGGACTGAAACCATTAATTCCAGAACAGTCAATAAGCCGTTTATCCCGCATAGGATTATTGAACAATTAGGTTATCAAGGACTTTCAAGTCTTTCATTTTCTTACTTTCGGTTTCTAGTACTTTTGCAATTTCTATACAAACCCTGTTTTATGAAAGCTATTTACCACAAAAGTAGCAAACATCTGCTCATAATCAATGCAGATTCATTACATAATAAATGAATCTACTTATTAATTAAACACAATTTTCCTACATCATTATATTCCTATTGCTTTTCATATTACATACTTAATTACGGCAAATATTATAATGTTTGAGAAGTCACTTTAATTTGTGTTATTACATCACTGACAGAGACAATTACAATTCAATTATCTTACTATAAGAACTTACTATTAATAAAGAATAAGCCACTTCGACTTTAGATAACCATTCTGCATATAAGTTCTGATCTTCTGGTGATAAAATTCTCTGTAAAAAATAACTTGTTGTTACTAATGACATAGTGATAACAATCATATAATAGATACAGTGTGAAGGAGATGTGCATTTACAGCTTAGAAAAGGTCACAAATAATATAGTTTTCAAGAACATAATATACTATGGTATAGGCTAATTCTGAAAACATCAGGTTATAATCTTTAGATTACTCTTTTCCTTATATTGTTTAAAAAGTAAGGACATGTAGTGTGATTGCCAATGTCTAAGGACGTGACATCGTATCCAATCAAGATCATAATCAAGACAACTATTCGACAGCGTCCAAATGTCATAGATGTAAACAGATATAAGTCACTGTACAGTTTGTATATTTGTGTAAAACTTGTATTGATTAAACAAACAATTCAGAATATTTTTTGTTGGTTTATAAATGATACCAATTACTAAAACCTGCTTTGATACCAAAGTTACAACTCACCCCATCTGAAATGCATTTTTCAATTTCTATGCGAAAGTTTTGTATTTGTTGATGCTCTAACTGATGAGAACTACAAAGGGTTTCTACGGTAGATAAATCTGTACCGTATTCTCTTGACTCGAGCTCTGCCTGCAATACAACAAAACAACACTTATACTTCATTACCAAGTCAGATATTGAACTCTTCTTTTCTTCCTATTCTCCTGACAACAAAATCTTATAAAAGTTCTCATTAATGAATTGAAAAAAATACTTAACTCTTTAATATTGTAAATACTGATAAAAAGACAGAACTAAAATAACTCACTAAGTACTGATAAATTGAACTCATGCTTAGAGTAAATCAAGAGAGCCAGTTTTAAAGTTTCCTTTAGTGTGTTTACTTTTACTATGCTGTATTGTTTCTTTTAAAAGTACTACCATTTCGCTAAAACACATAGGAAAATGCACTTTTTTCTTAATATTTCTTATTTCCTTTTTTTTTTCAAATGGTGGTGATTCATTGAAAATCCAGTTGTACATTACCTGTTTATTTTCTACCCATGACAAACATTCATGAACATGTTTAAATGTTGGGTTCATATCTGTAGGTCTAATTTCTGTTACATATTCTCTCCTCCTGGTAACGGTCACTCCCTCCTCGACATAGGACTTAGATATAAGTTTCTGTACAACTTCACCAAACAGCTGAGTTCTTAACTGTGATACTCTTGACTTAATGGAGGAAACTCTAGTAACACAAAATTTAAAAGATAACAATAACAAAGAAATAAACTAAAATTCTAAAATCAATTGCCTTAATTTCTTGAAAATGTAATTAATATCAATATTTGCCAAATATTAATGTATTTTTTGAAAATCATGGCACTGGGTACGTAATGTTTGGTATTTGAAACATAGGAAGATTTTGTGGTTCACCGTATTACTGATGGAGAAAACCAATATGATTTTTCAGTCATTTTATCAAAAAATCTCTCCATTTGTTAGATAGTTTCCTAACAATGTCTAAGTTGTAATGTAGTGATTTTTAAAGATTGATGTTTTGTACAACTTTCCCTGTCTCTTATTTTGACATTTGTACTTTTCATCTTTGTTGAATCTAGAGGTGTTTATCATTATTGACATTGTAGCATACCTTCTGCTTAGCTGTTCTGCAGTAGAAAACCTTCCATCTTGGAGGGCTTGTACATCACGAAACATACTGCGTGCATTCTCCTCAATATTACGAAGGGCCTCATCAAGGGCATCACATTTACGTTTGGCTTCATGTGGGTGAACAACATCAACTCGACCTTGTTCTTCATACACTCCAATTGCAACCTCGTCTAACTTGTCCTCTTGGTATTTACAGTCTCGGTGAAGCTTCTCTGCCAATCTTTGTAACCTTTCAAGTCTAAGATCAAATGATAATTGGATTAAATGTTGGTCTTTTTTAATTGTAATACATAATGACCATTCAAGAATTTTATACATAATCAATTGAGAAAAAAGTGTATCAATTAATGGAGAATTGTGTGATAAATAATTTTAAGTGCATTCAACATATTGAAAAATTCAAAGTATCTGCAAATAGGAAGTAGGTATCCAACAGATAAAAAAAGTGCTGACACTTTTCAGCTCATCAATGTCAAGCTGCTGACCAAATATAAAGTCATTATATTCTCTAGTTTTTGAGAAAAGTGTGATGAAAATATTTGTTGGACAAACCTATGGACAGAGCAATAGACAGAGAATCATAGTAAAGAGAGGACAAGGTGATTACAATATAGCCCCTACTTCTAGAGTTGGGTATAATAATATGCAGATTTCTACTTAAAAAAATAAATGGAGAATGTGTCTTTGCGGCAACAGATGCACACGCTTGTAAATATGCACAAGTCAACTTCCACATACAGATGCAGAATACATGTAGTTAAGACTGTTTTGTGATTATAATTATGCATTGTGTATAAGTTTCATAATATTTGGTGGAGGCAAACTAAAGTTAGAGAACAGAAATGACAAATTCAGCAATTTTTATGTTTATAAAGGGCATAACTCATGAACGGTAAATGTGATGCCACCCAATTTCGAACCTGATCTGTGTTTTGTGGCAATAAGCATTGTGTATAAGTTATACAAGATTTGGTTGAGGCAAACTTAAGTTAGAGAATGGAAACCAATTTTGGGGACGTATGGACAGGAATGGATGGGACGATCGAGAAGGACAGGACAGACAAGGGTAACACTTAACGCCCCGTCCACTACGGCGGGGGCATAAAAATCAAATATATATACACTATTCATATATTTACTATTGCAATTGCACTTTGGTTGACACTGTGTTTAAGGCCAATAATGAAAGACTATATGATTAAGAGGACCGGATACATAATGTTTCCTTTAATTCTTACCTGACTACTTCTGACTGCACTAGGCTGTCCCTTTCTTGTTGGGCAAATGTAAATCTGTTCCAAAGTCTGTTGATATTATCGGGGTGGAATTCATCAGGGATACCCATATCTCCTGTGCTTGGTCCCAGACCCTGCAATGTAAAGTATATAGGTCCATGATTTTTATGATGACCAAAACAATTGTCTGTTTAATGAATATTAGGTGATTAAAAACCAATTTAAAATGTTTTATCTCGATACAGAAATGTTAAAACATGCATATTTCATCCCTTAATAATTTCTCTGTAATTGAAGCCAAAGAAGACCTTTTACCTGTATTTCATCATATATGCGTAGTAGTTTTTGTTTGGTGTCAAGTCTTGGTGGAATGTCTTCTGTTCTAAATCTTTTGCATTCTGCTAGCACAGACTGAAACAGAAAATATAACAGATTATAAAATATAGAAATTATATGCTTCCAAAAGATTTTATTCATTTCATTAAAACAATGTCAGATTCTTGTTATGTTAATATTGACTTCTGGAATGAAAGTGATCAATTTCTCAAAAAGTTTTTAAAAAAAAATTTGGCTACAGTTAATTCATTTTTTACTATGTGTTTCATTCCTGAATATTTTTATTACTTTTTAAATCACTGAACATTAAATCAATGAGAAGTTGGGAACTGACACACAAATCTGTATCATCTATTGCACTATCTTAACTATGTGTTTTAATCTTAATTCCAGGCACTGAACTCTTTAACAGAGATCAAGGTCAACGAAACATCACAGATGCACATGTAATCCATATAATAAATTCCCATTTCAAATATCTTTTTTATTATTTCTGACATAAGACCATATCCAAAAATTAAAAACCTATTATGTACAGTAACTGGGTAACACAACTAATCTGGAAACTGTAACCTTGCCACAAGGATAAATGACAATGACTGGCTGACAACATGTTTGATGTATGTGCTTACAGACTGAAAGACATGTATAAATTAAATCAATATGCCACAATATAGGCCATACACATTATGTTCCTTCATTGACACTCACTCTCATTTCTATCAGTGTTGTTGGAAATGTCTTGTCCATCATAATGTTGGTTGCTTCCTTTAGCCACATACATAATGAACTGGCTAAATCTCGGTATTCTTCTTGTTTTATTTGACGTTCCTGCAAAAAATATTGAAAAGTATTAAGTCAGATTCAATTATCAGACAAGTACTACTGGGGTGTTTTATTCACAGGAGGGATACACAAATTTATCATTAAGACTACTGGCAACATACTGTACATGGCAAACATTGTCACATAGGAATACTTTTATAATCTCATTGTTTTTGAATTCCTTTCTCATGTAATGTTTGTACTTCAAAAAATAGCTAAGGAAACACATTGCATAGAGAGAGCACATTTAAACACATACATTATTATGTAATGTTTATTCCATAATCTGCACCTTTAAGAACAAAAAATATAGCATATAAAACACTTACATTATCACGTAATGTTTGTTCCACACTCGGCACCTCTGGGAAAACATCGTACAGTGAGGACACATAAGTAATAATAGACTTCTCATCTGGCTCTGACACATCCACATCTAAGGAACAAAACAAACATTATACTAGCTTTGTTATGGAGAGTTAAAATGTCAACCAGGTCCACATCTGTGATAATACAACTATGTATACATGATACATCCGTAGCTATTTTATTTGTGTACTATATACAAACAGTGATAGTAAGTTGATCTCATAAGCAGAACCAAAAAAACAACTGTTGTGTTGATGTCAGCTCTTTGCTAGTCTCTCTTAATTCTATACACAACTTGACAAGGACTCAGGTGAGATTTTGAGCTTGACATCAGGGTACAGGCACTTGTTTACAGTTAAACCTCTGGATGTCTTTTTCTGGTTTTGTCATGCAATTAAGTTGCTGAATCATGAAATATACTTTTATTCTTTCTTTAAGGGGCTTTTGGTATATATAATTCATAAAAATTGCAGTAGTCAGTTTGTCCTGTATTTTACAGAAGGACAGTCAATTATTAGAGTCCTCAACCTACTAACACTCTGTTTTAAGGATCTCTGATCACTACCTACTTAAATAATAAATAATTCATCATAATTAATTTGCCATGAATTACAAAACTTAATGACAATATGTAAAGTGATACTTAATACAGTATCCTGTATGTACCATACAACAATAAAAGTTTATAGTCCATTAGTTCCCTAGTAATTGATATCCCTCATATAAACAATTGACAGCCAAAATCTACATTTTCAGTGAGGTAAACAAATATTAAATCTCAAATTTCTACTTATTGAATACAATGACCCTATCTATTAATATTCAATAATGTTAAATGGCCCTTATATTTGTCAGTCTATTTAAGATAAAATTTTTGTTATGAAAATCAAGAGAACACAAATAATCAGCAAAGAGCAACGAGTACTGTCAGATATTGAATTTAAAAAGACTTGTAAGCTGACATAACTAAAACACTGATGTAGAGTTGTAAAGTTTTAACAGCTTAAATAATTTGCAGAAGTTGTTTTTGTGGTTTGTTCATTAATTTTCCAGGACAGGTATCTTTGTAATGGTGCTTGCTTGTTGGTGAATACTCCAAGAATGCCCATGCTGAAATGTCTCGCCTGTTTTACTTATCATTGAATTTAAGTTGAAGTCTGTGGTATGAAGGTTTTACTACAAGTATCACAAAAACTTAACTTTATCAATGTTCTAACAGACATGTACCCCTTACAATCATTCCATACTACAAACACTGATCCATGAAATGAGGTCAAATTCAGGTGAACCCTGTCTGACAGACATGTAGACCTTGCAAGGAGCCCAAATACCAAATATAATTATCCTATTACTCATAATAAGTGAGTATTACACATGACAAAAAAACTATATTTTTTTTTCAAGCAGTAACTGAACCATGAAAATGAGGTCAAGGACATTGGACATATGACAGACGGCAACTTTGCAACATAAGATATCTGCATACAAAGTATGAAGCATCCAGTTCTTCTACTTTCTAAAATATAAACTTTATACAAATAGTTTATGCTGTCGCTGTCACGGCTGTAAGTCTGTAATCCTTAGGTCTCGCATTCTGCAACTTTCATCGCAAACGAGATAATAAACCATATAACAAATATCAACATTTTTAATACTACACAAATGTATCTTTCAGAATATTTGTTTGTTAAGGTAGATCATAAGTATATACTTTTTGAGATAGAATTTTCTTATACTTTGCCAAAAGGAAGATTTTACTATGCTTTTTTCAAAAATATAATAAAAAGGATGGGTCACCGTGCTATTTTCCAAGCTATGAGTCGTTGAAAATTGCCTAAATTTGGTTAGATTGTTCATGAAAAAACACATTTGTGTGCATAAAAAAAATTCTATGAGATAGAATATTGAAATAAATTGTAAGAAGATAGGTTTTATAATATGTTTTAAGAAAATAAAAAGAAAAAATGGTGTCACCGAACTTGGTTTCTTGCTACATGTAAAAATTAAAAATTTCCCTATCAGTCCAGTATATATTTTTTACTAAAAGAGTTATCTCCCCTTAAATGGCTTATTTGAAAGAAATGATTCTAAAAACACAAAATTTGATATTTGTTTAAATATTTTGAATAATACAATAAATCACCAAGTTTTCTTTATATAAATAAACAATCTAACCATTAAATTGCAAATCTGTCTCCAAATTTGCAGATTTGGGCAAATAACTAGACCATTTTTGTACTGAGATTGTACAATCCAAGATGGCGGTATACCATGAATCTACCTTAAGTCAGCTAATTAAAGCTTTGGCAAAGTCTGTTCCTCTCTGAAGCAAATGATGTCTTTATTTATTTTAGTATTTTTGATGCAAGTGTACAAAAATTCTACACAAATTCATCTCAAATAAATACATCACTTATATAATATCTTTAGTTACCCATCCTAGATCGTATTTGTATAACATTAAGATCACCGTTTAAACTTTGAATGCATCCAATAAGTGAAACTTTATGAACTGAGAGGAAATTTTTAATGTGTGAAAAGTTTTAATGTTTAATAGAAATAAGTGATTTATTGCCCCTGTTCCTTAAATATCTATCGGATATAATACAAGTTAACAGCTAAGAATAGTTTTGTACGATGTGTTTAAAGAATTAACATCCAAATGTTAAATTTAATGATATAACTGAAATCATTCCTATTGAATATCTCAACAATTAAATTGTCAATACACAATACAGGTAGATAATTTACAGGTAGGTAGAAGTTGAACAGGTATACTATTTCACCTGTCTTTATTTATTTCAAATTATCCAGAAAAATATAATGAGCACTGCTATATAAGACTCCTTTATACAAATATCATGTATTTACAAATTCAATAACCGAAGCATTTTAAATTTTAATCAGGTCGACAAAACTTATACCCACAATAGATAAAAGGAGAGTCATTCAGGTATCTCATTTAACAATAGAAAGATGTTTGTCTATCCAGAGTCAGGTATCATAGCTCTGGTATGTCATACAGTGTCAAAACATTAATCTGAACAAGTTACTTTGTTCATTGTCATAACAAAAAAGAAATTGTTCGTTTTGTTCTAAATTCGGTCAATCAGAATAATTAAAGACTCTCTCCTGATGTGAACTGAGCAGTATGTTATTAAGCCACCTATCTCTTACACCTGTTAATTTTACCTGTCAGTTTTTCTAACAAATCTTTGAATTCTGTCCATATTTTTAGACCAGGTGTTTCATCAAATTGTTCTGAAACATGCACTTTTAGACTTTTCCAGCTCACTAATAAGTAAGTACAAACAGCTGGAGGTTACAGAATAAGGGTATTAAACACTTCTTTCTCAAGTACAAGTTTATTTACAAAGTTCTTTGATCTTCGTAAGTTAAACCCAAAACTTCTTGAACCCAACATCAACATATATCAGCAAAGTACTTAAACACCACTGTTGACAATCTACACTATGTGTGAACTATAGGTACTATTTTGGGCCTGCTTTGGGTATCTCATGAAATGTCTAGGATTCATGCTGTTTCTAAAGATGTATGAACTTTCAAGAACATTTAAAGCATTTAAGGGAGAGTTTCAAAGTGTACTACTGCAATTGATGCTTAGAGGATATCTAGATCTTGCTTTAAGAATGTGTCCTCATTGCAGAAAGACTCTTGCTTTAAGAATGTGTCCTCATTGCAGAAAGACTCTTGCTTTAAGAATGTGTCCTCATTGCAGAAAGACTTATTTTTCTAGAATTTTCCAAGTAAAAAACAACAAAAAGGTATTCAACAAACATTACTGAATCCACAGTACACTGATTACTCCAACAAATTCTCATCTTCACACACTTATCTTTCATTATGAAAAGTCAATGCAAGCTAACCCTAGGGGCAAACTTCACGTGCGCTTGTTGGTACATCACTTGAAGACTTCCCAATAAGTCAAGAAAAAAGAACAGCAGTAAAGAACTATATTTTCTGATATAAACTGTTGTTTTTTTTTTCTTTTCAATTCAATTCCATACCCTTTCAACAATAATAATTGATGAAATAATGAGTCAATCTCTAAATCGCAACGAGTCTTTATAAGTTGTAAATTATTTTTTAAATATGGCTAGATATTGCACACCAACTTTCTGATATGTATAATAAGATACCAACCTTCAGGGTCAAGAAGTCTTGTGACAGCTAATTCTCTTTCTGCTGTACCAAATGCTAGCTCTAAGTTTTGCCGATTGTTATTGTGTCTTGTACGGCTTATGTCAATCAAATCTGGCCTGAAAAGGAAACATAGTTAATATCAATATGATTCTGTGAAGACACATATCCATGGCTATAGTAAAATGGTTAAAAAGGCCCACTGTTATTTGACTTAACTGGTTTTTTTTTAAAACTTTATCCCATGTCTGTTCCTCTTTTGTTATATATTGATTGATTGGTGTTTAACGCCACTCTCAGCACAATTGGCTATTTCTTGGCGGTCAGTTTCTATTCATGGAGGAAGCCGGAGTCCCCGGAAAGAACCTTCAACAGGAAAACTGACAATTCTTGTCACTTAAGATTGGAGTCAACTGTGTCTGCCATGTGCAGGATTCGAACTCATCACCCTTAGTTTTGACAGGCTAGTGATACAGTAGTAGAACTATTTAGACCACTTGGCCACCGAAGCCCCTTACATTTATGTATATTATACTTAGTTTTAGGGATGACAGAAACCAGAGAATCCTGAAAAATTCTTAAACTCATGTAATTTCAAGTGCACCAATCTATTTCTGCTGACCTGTAATTCATGATGAATAACTTACTTTTTTCGACAGTCATGTCTAGTTTCATAAAAAGACCTTTACTTGATATATTGATAAAAAATATGGCGGATCATTGTCCATACAACTAATACATGAACTTTCAGACCAAAGAAAAGATGATCTTAGACGCTAAAACTAAATTAAACAATTTTTGTTTAAACTTTCAGTAAAAATAGCTAAAGATCATGAAAACTGGTTTAACTGTAGAGCAATGATGAAATGTAATTAAAGTTAATGGATCATAACTATCTCTTAGATATACAAATCTCAGCAGGCTTGAGTAAATCTTCTATCATACAATAATAAATTAGTAATAATTTCAACATTTTTGCTGATCTTCCAGTATATATTATGTATTTTTGTAGCTGATTTAAGTTTTATGTCAACTGAAGCCAATTTCCTTTTCTTATTACTAATCTAAGAACCATTCCATTCCTAATTTTGATTTAAGTCATTTCTGATTTAATTACATATACCAAAATCTAAGTAGCCATCTTTTATCATCAAAGCTGATTGCAACTATAGTAAAATCTTCACATTATAACATTTATAGCTGCTCACTACGACTGGTGGTTTTCTCCATATCACGTTTACAAACTTAGCCTTATAGTACTAAGAAGAGAGGTATAAAACAGTTAACATACCAAAGTATACAACCCAGGAAACCCAATAATGTCTCCTCTCTTTATGGTATATTACAACTATTCAAATGACAGATAGCAGCATTAATGACAACAGACAGCAACAAAACAACCAAATGGAAAAGAGGGGATACTGTGTATTCATTCCTGTGTGATGGGATTGCTTTGCTTCCCTTCAGTATTAGATACTTAGACAGCTGTAAGCAGTTGCACTAGGGAAGTACTTCTTTAGCTTGAGCTAATGATCTCACTTCAACAACATCAGTCAAATCATGTCATCAAAGTCTAGTTATATTCCCATTTGTGAAAGCCTTTCTTTTCATGCTTAAAAGTATGATAAGTAATATAATCATACAATGTTTTATTTTTGGTAAATTTACAGGATCAAATAAACCCTAAAATATACTGTACTATCTCTTTATCAGAGTCTAATCAAGTTGTGAAAAAACTCAACAGAGACTATACCAAAGATCAGACATCAATTGTTTAGGATGGACAAAAACCAATCCCAACAGAAAAAGAACAAGAAGTAAGGAATAGCAGAATTTTTAAAAGTGAAACAGAAGTAGTTATGTTATGGGCTGTATATTTTATGGAAAGTACAATTTTTGTTTCTTATCTGTCAATTTATATAATAAATAATGAAATCCATCACATCTTGTTTTACCATAAATATCTCTTCTCATCTGATAAAAGTATTACTATACACTTTCTTCACTCACTTAAACTTTTTAATGTGTATTGCCTACCATAACATTAGATAAATCACTTAATAACAATGTTTAATTAGCTCCTGGACAAGTGTTACTTTCATAAATCTTGTTTGATGTTTATATCAATCCTCAGGTTACATTGTATAAAATACAGACATCAAATACTTGTAATTTTCCTTATCACTTTTATTGTAAATGAAAACTTTCACAAAAATCTCTCTAAATACAGGTAACAACATAGCTAAGGTATTTCTCATCTTTTACTTAATAAGGCAATTAATTTGAGGTAGTGATGTTATTCAGAGTTTAACAGGTTTTGTTAAGAAAGTGAAACTTTGTAATGAAATACCAAACTCTGTAAAAATACCCAAGGTAATTACAAAATGAAGTCTCAACTGTCAGTTTGTGGCCAAATAAGGATTAACTGTAAAATTGAATGTAATAATACAAAGACATAAAAAAGAAAAAGAAGACCAAGTTGTAAAATGGAATTTCTGTTTTAACAAATAGTCTAATGAAGTAATATACATTTCAGGTCTATTCTGTATGTAGAAGGTTCATTATGATCAGCTCTATAGGGTGACCTTGAGGAATAACATGTATACATTTCAGGTCTATTCTGTATGTAGAAGGTTCATTATGATCAGCTCTATAGGGTGACCTTGAGGAATAACATGTATATATTTCAGGTCTATTCTGTATGTAGAAGGTTCAATATGATCAGCTCTATAGGGTGACCTTGAGGAATAACATGTACATATTTCAGGTCTATTCTGTATGTAGAAGGTTCATTATGATCAGCTCTATAGGGTGACCTTGAGGAATAACATGTACATATTTCAGGTCTATTCTGTATGTAGAAGGTTCATTATGATCAGCTCTATAGGGTGACCTTGAGGAATAACATGTATATATTTCAGGTCTATTCTGTATGTAGTAGGTTCATTATGATCAGCTCTATAGGGTGACCTTGAGGTATAACATGTATACATTTCAGGTCTATTCTGTATGTAGAAGGTTCATTATGATCAGCTCTATAGGGTGACCTTGAGGAATAACATGTATACATTTCAGGTCTATTCTGTATGTAGAAGGTTCATTATGATCAGCTCTATAGGGTGACCTTGAGGAATAACATGTATATATTTCAGGTCTATTCTGTATGTAGAAGGTTCATTATGATCAGCTCTAAAGGGTGACCTTGAGGAATAACATGTATATATTTCAGGTCTATTCTGTATGTAGAAGGTTCATTATGATCAGCTCTATAGGGTGACCTTGAGGTATAACATGTATATATTTCAGGTCTATTCTGTATGTAGAAGGTTCATTATGATCAGCTCTATAGGTGACCTTGAGGAATAATATGTATACATTTCAGGTCTATTCTGTATGTAGAAGGTTCAATATGATCAGCTCTATAGGGTGACCTTGAGGAATAACATGTACATATTTCAGGTCTATTCTGTATGTAGAAGGTTCATTATGATCAGCTCTATAGGGTGACCTTGAGGAATAACATGTATACATTTCAGGTCTATTCTGTATGTAGAAGGTTCATTATGATCAGCTCTATAGGGTGACCTTGAGGAATAATATGTATGCATTTCAGGTCTATTCTGTATGTAGAAGGTTCATTATGATCAGCTCTATAGGGTGACCTTGAGGAATAACATGTACATATTTCAGGTCTATTCTGTATGTAGAAGGTTCATTATGATCAGCTCTATAGGGTGACCTTGAGGAATAACATGTATACATTTCAGGTCTATTCTGTATGTAGAAGGTTCATTATGATCAGCTCTATAGGGTGACCTTGAGGAATAACATGTATACATTTCAGCTCTATTTTGTATAAAGAAGGTTCATTATGATCAGCTCTATTTCATGGTAAAGCATGATAAATGCAGGATATCCAATTACATTGAATGGCATCCTGATGTATATGACCTTACAGAAGTACAAGTCAAACTACATAACCAATCAATGCATAGGTAAGAATGAGCCACATCCAAACATTTTTGTGGTCTAAAATAAATTTGTATGTAGGTGGTAAATGTCTAGGTTGACGAACAAGGAGACTGACCAACAATCTTAATGATAGTTCTCATGTTAGTTTTATTTGAGCTTATTGTGAAGGTAAAAACAACCAAACTAGAATTTGACTATGTTGGTGTTATTATACAATGATACAAGGAATGATCTGGTCATACAATGATCACCAATGTGACTGAAGTTAACTATTTGTATAAGATGCCACTGTAACAGTGTAATGGTGGGTACAGTTACTCCCTTGTTTGTTTTTGGCTTACTACTGTGGGAGTGGATTAACCTAGTTTAATAAACTAAATATGAATTTTTATATCCTAAGTCAGTTATTTTCAAGATGTTAAAGCTGAATGATGGCCAGAATTATATAGTATTATAGTAATAACTCAGTCAATCTTATGCATATTTATTTTGAAAATAAATAAGGACAAAAGATAATTTTTTATCTTTCAACAACTAACAGTACTAAAATTACCTCAACTGCTTATAATGCTTTCAACAACTAACAGTACTTAAATTACCTCAACTGCTTATAATGCACACTGTATGCAGTCAACAGAAAACCATCCTACATTGTACTTAGGCTTAGTTATGCACATATTTTAAACATAAAGTATTTGATACAGTTTTGAAGCAGCAAAAAAGAAACTAAGAAACAACTAACAGACCATAACTATTGCCACTAAACCATATGGCATTCAGATACAGTGAATCAGCAGGTTTTGTCAAAATGCAGTGGTTGCAAGACTGTCACAAGACCATGGGTTTCAAATTGTAAGATCAGAAATTTTGACCTGAGGTTATTGGATGACCATAACTGTAACCCCTAGCCTAAGACCTTCACAAATTGTCTCGCCATAATCTAGCCTTTTTGTAATAAGGTGGTGTAAAGCAAACACCAATCAATCAATCAATCAATCAATTCACACAATTGTCAACTAATATACCAAAAATTATTACACATAAAAGTAAACATCTTATACAGTTTTTTTTTCTACCTGTTTCTATGTATGATGGCAAGGAAAGCTTTTCCATCTCTCCAGCTGTTTGTGAAGTTGCGTATTTTGACCCCAGGATATCCCTCAACTGTTCTCTGGCCCCAAATTTTTAAAGCTTCTTTAGAGGATATGTCCTCAGGTTGTCCTGGAACTACTATCTCTGAGATCTGTAAAAAAAGAAACATTTTTCAAAACTTTAAATCAATTCATTGATAAAAAAAAATTGAGTATACAAATTCAACCATATCTTAAAATATTTATTGCACAGGATATAGATTAATTTGGCCTCTGTATGGATTACATGTATGAATGATATCTGAAATATATTCCATATAAACTGTGTATACAATTTTCAAACCACTTATATGTCACTTGTTCTATCAAATTTTGAAAGATAAAAACAAATATTTTTTTAATATATCCTTTTTACTCTTCAACATTGAAAATATGATGCCTGATTTATATATTTATTGCACTGATAAATCCATGTTTTTATTTACATTGAAGGACAAAACTTTTTTAATTAATTTTTGTATTATTAAAAATTATTAAAAATGACAATTTGAAAACAGACATTTTTTTTGCCATTTATCTCTATAAAACATTTGACCAAAGTTATGCTAGAAAATGAAAAAAAAATACTAAATTGAATTAGTACAACCTGGCATAAGGCTGTTTATTTAATAGTATATCAGTCCTAAATATTTTAAATGTAATAATATAAACACTGGAAGTATTAAATTAAAATTGCTGGTAATAATAATACCAAAGAAGATTAGAAAATAAAACAATTAGCATGATAAAGTGTAATAGATCATATATTTATAAATATTAAACCAGAGTTATGGTATGGTGAGTATAAGGCATTTAACTTTTGTTTACAAGTTCTGTTTTTTAAATGACCACAATACAGTTACAATCCTATAAGATTAATAGACTTAGGAAACAAGCCATCTGCTCACAAATATGTAGAGGGCTGAACTAACAACAAATTCTTGACGTAAAGTAACCCATGCCATTAGATACAATTGAGACATGTGCAAATCCAAATCATGATTCAGCAACAAAAAACAAAGAAAGGCTGTCTACAGTTCAATAATAAAAATGGTACGCATCAGCTGGTAGTCGATCAATAGAGAATTTATTGACTGAAACAAATTATTGTTATGTGTGTGCAGTTCAAATAATTAAATATTCAAACATTATCAGATATTTATGATTTGTCATCTGAATTATGCAAGTTTTCTGAAAATGGTATTTTCTGAACTAGAACAAAAAATACAATATAATGAAGTCTTCTCATATGTACCTTTTGCAATAAGATTAAAGATATAAGTATATACAACAGCTGCTAATGAGGAAACATTGGCCGCAATCAATGTCAAAAGGGCATCAGATACGACACAAAATATCAGTCTAGAACTGTCCATTAAAGATTGATTTTTTTCCTTCCTTATAATGACATAATATACACTCTGAACTGTTTTGGTAAAAGAAAGCAAGCTCTGCAAGAAAGGTTCAGACAAACTTAAAATATACGACCACAAAATTTTTTTGCGGTCATATAAAAATGAAAACCCTGTATGCCTTCATGTAATACCTTCAATATTAGCCCAATACCCTAAGCAATGACTCCAAACAAATTATTTGCACAATGTTTACTAGTTTACTAAATAGTCTTATATGTTTCAGATTTAGTGTGGGGTCCATTTCGCTGAACAAGTATAAATTATTGTTGAGGGGTCAGCTGAAGCTAGCCTCTGGGTGCGGGATTTTCTCGCTGCATTGAATACCCATTGGTGGCAATTTCTGCTCTATGGTCGGATTGTTGTCACTTTGACACATTCCCCGTTTCAATTCTCAATTCTTTTGAAACTTCTGCCCCTTTGTTTTTGAAATATAACATTGAAAACAACTACTTTCTGCTAAACACTTTCATTAAAGTACTTTAAAGACCCATGTAAAAACTTCTGGTCCATGTTAAAACTGTTCTTATGTAAAAACATTTGGCCCATGTTAAACCTGTTCTTATCTCTATACTATATTTAAGTAATGATAATAATATATTATTAATGAATTGACAAATGGTATTCACATGATGTTGTTAGGCCACCCATATACAACCTAGTAGACTTTACCTTGGCCTAGTGACAAATTGAGTGAGTACTATCAGGACTAATCTATACAGTAGTTACAAATCAATTCTACCCTATTTGTTTGATCTTGACTTAGTGTAATTGTATCATTCTGATAGTTAAATGCTGATTTATGTCACAGAATTCCTTAACTTAAGGTATGACGGTAATCTTACAGGTCAATGTTTTATTTGGATCATTTTTGCTCTACATATAAATTTTGAATGCTAAAACAAGGTGAACTAGAGCAGCAATACCTATATATAATATATATATCAGATTTACGCATATAGCCCCTTAACCAACAAGACACCAGATACTATTGCAGAACAGAATTGTGAAAACGGCATGTGCAGGGCAAAACAGATTTGTACAGTACTACAATTCAAAAATGTCTAAAGCATGCAGCAACTGAGTATCTTACAAATCCTATTTCAATCACAGTCCTCATATTATCATGTTGACCTTATAGAATGTCAACCCAAATTAAACAACATGATGGTCAATATTGGTTTAAGTTTATCTATTCAATTACAAGGGGGATATAACTTGGGTGGCTTATTGTCTAAACTGTGTCCAATATTATCCTTAAGAGGGTAAATACTTCAAAGAGGTTATCCAGGCAGAAAATTCTAATTTCTACACATTATGTGACATATGTAAACAACAATAATATGAATTAACATGTATTTGCTTAAAATGTAGGTCATTATCTACATACAGAGAAGCAAATTATGTATATCAGCAAATAAATCTCAAATTTTCTTTGATACAGGTAGCAATGAAGGAGGATACACCTGAACATGAATACCTCAGGAATAATCACAAAGAGAGTTTAAAAAACATGAATAAAAGTTCACTGATCCAAACAGCTTTTCTACCACAGAAAAGGACAGATTTTAGATCATAAACTTTGTCAATAAAAAACAGTCAATATTTGTTTTCTTAGCCTGGTAAAAAAGCTAAGCCTGATATAAAATTGATATGAAGATTCAATATTTTTTTTCCCAATAAGCATATATATATGAAATATGTGAGGTGAAAAAAACACAAATATGTCATATTTAAATAGTATTTCTGAAAATGTTTTTGCACAGTGGGTTGCCAACTTTATTATGAAAAGAAAACATAAAAGTGCATCATGTGCCATCGATCATATCTGACAAAAAATACCTTATTTTATATAATTCTAGAATGTAGTCTTCATTACAACCAAGAAAGTTAAGGAAGCATAAGAAAAAATAAGACATTTTGCAGGAAGTATTAACAGCTGTCCTATCTATGAACTTTGGATAGTAACCTCTGTCAGGTAATTAACCTGAGAATGTCCTGTATATCATTATTTTCCCTACCTGATTAGAACCTGAAGCCACATCAGTTTGACTCCTAGGAACTTGTAATGGTGCTTTTCCCTTTGTTTTCTTCTTCTTTTTTTTAAAACAGCTAAACATTGCAAAATGTCAACTTGACACCACCTTATACTATCCACCCTCCACCCTTAATTCCACTGTATCATCGTAAATAATTAGCCAGAGTCCACACACTTTTACCTAAATAAATCCCAGTATGATATATTCCTCGGACATTCGCCAGGTATTTAAACGATGACAACACACAAAAACTTCAAACAATGCGCAGGTAATCCAATCAATACTATAAGCCAGGTAAAAATATCAGGTATGACAGTGTTTTAATTAGAACATCTTAATTATTTAATCACTAATTACATCTAAATTAATTCATATCCTTATATCGAAACTATATGAATGACATAGATGAAATCTGCTGCACGACAACTATCTACTGATTCAAGCACAGGTAAACTTTGGATAACTGACCAAGATAGGGAACGATATCAAATGAAAAGCGAAAATACTGTCCCGATTAACAAGCTAGTGATAATGATTATTTGAGTGGTCACTAGGATTCCCAAACCCAATGACTGGACACACCTGGACACAAAAATGTACCTGTATGATTTAGAAAGATGATGTATGATAGAAGGCCCATACAGGTCCTGAAGATGCATATTAAAAATATAAGTAAAAGGCGTTGTTTGTAAGTGAAAGTATGTTTTACCTGCAGGGTGCATCTTTTGATGTAAACAAAAAATGTCAAGAAAAATATTTTTATTTGTGAATGAAATATTGTTTATAAAATAAGGTCACCAATAATGAGTCAATGAAAAGATGAATATGTAGTTGTATGAATTATGAAACACACATTAATATAGAAAAACTTACTAATATGGGGAAAATGTCAAAGTGTTGTGAACATAATAAATGACCAATTAAAAGTCAAAAGACAGACAAATCAATAAAGAAAGATTAAAGAATTGCGAAACCAGTGGAGACATACAGAAGATTGTCGACTAATCATTTCTTGTAATTGAATGAAAGTGAATGACTTACTCTTAGTGGTGTCTGAGAAGTCTTACACTTTACATAATCTCCATCAAATCTTACAAAAAGTTCTCCATTTATCCAAAAGCAAGAATATAACACCGGTGTTCTAAAATGAGCTTGAAATGTTTCAGCATTGTTCTTGAAAATCCCAGAACATATTTTTCTGAAAATGGCTGCATAATCCATTCAACAGACGATAACTGCATTGATCTGCAGATTGTTATATTTAATATTACATTGTCATACATATATGCAAGGTAATTAATTATAAGGTGAATACAAATAGTGTTAATCAGCTTATTAAATTATATATTGGATATATTTAACCAAATACATCCAAGATGATATATTTGTATTGTTCTAGACTGTTCATAACAATTCAATATTTTTGGCAACAGTACATTAAATAGCCCTCACTTTATCAATAAATATGAAAATTAGCCGTATTATCTTGAAATTATAGAAATAACTTTTATCTTATCACCTAACTATAAACATAAATGTACACACACCTCGATAAGACAGACAAAAAGCAAATACATGTGTGAAAACATGTACTAAATAAAATACATACAAGCGAGAAAACAATGCAACAGCAATAAAAATTAATTATGCAAACATTTTGAC